TTAGAAGGGGATGAGGTTTATGTCTTGAAAGATTGTCCACCAGCTCAGAGTATCGGCAAGACTGTTATGGATAAAGGTTATATGTTCGTTTGGGATCCCCGAGAAAATGTTCCATATCTAATTGCACCTGAGAACATCAATAGATGCAAACTTAAGGTTCCCCGCAATGCTAGGATTTGTGCCTCACGTATTGTCGAATATGTTCCCCAATACGATGAACAACTTAGTCCGCGTAACTTTGTTCCAGCAGAAAGGTTAACCCCAGTTTCCACAGCTCTTCCAGCTGATCCTTTGCCGGATGAGGATTCTGGTTATTCACCTAGTTTTGCAGGCCAAGATGTCGCACGTCTTGACGAAGTTGCTGAGGCCGATGATCCAAGAGATGCAGCTGCATCCAGCAGCTCACATGCAAGTGTACCGGAAGGTGCTGCTCCTAGCGCGCCACCGCACCCTTTAGATGATAAGTTGCTTGTTGAGTTAGGTGATGGTATCCCTATCAAAGATGAAGTCTTGAAAAAGGAAGCCACTAGCTTAGAGCATCTTTTGACTCACTACCCCAAAAATCCATATTGCCCATTATGCCATATTGCTAAGGATACTGCAATGCGGGTCTCTCATGTCAAGGATGGAAAGTCCGATGATAAGATTGATCCACCAAAACAACCTTTTGAGCAATTGGCCACTGATGATGTTATCCTTGCAAAAGGGTCTGAGCACTTTGGTACGGGGATAGGAGGGGTTAAAACACACCATGTGGTAAGGGACCTTTACTCTGGTGCACGAATAGCATATCCCCTATCAAAAAGAGATGTTGAATCACATGCCAAAAATTTTCGACATTTCGTGGGATTGAAAGCCAATGAACTTGCCACCCACACACTTATCAAAATGGACGAAGCACAGGAATTGGAGCAGGCTGCCCATCAGGTCGGCTTCGTTCCTGAGACGTCCCTTCCCAACCGTTGGCCGCACAACGCTCTGTTAGAGCGCGACATCCGGGAAGAGAAAGAGTGTTGCAGGGTTGTTCACTTACAATCTGGTTTGCCTTATGAGTATCACACTTATAGTTACCCATACGCATGTCTTTCCATGACTTTTGATAGACCTTCTATTGCGGACCCTGAAAAGACCCAATGGGAAGCTCTTACACGTGAAAAGTTTGATGGTAAGCGTTTGTGTTTTGGTCAACTTGTGTATTATCGCAAGAAGCATCCAACAAAAAGGACCTTAGAACCCAACATGGCTCCTGGTTTGTTTCTTGGTTGGCGAATCGATTCTGGTTTTCGTTACAGATATGTTGTTCGGATATTAGATTATCAAGAGTTTCGAACTAGAGGTGCTTCATGTGTTTCCGATGTACCCGAGCCTGAACTATACCTCCCAGATGGTGATGCCTATTTTCCCGTCGGCTTTTCGAAGCATCAGGCCTTAATCAGGGGGGATGATCCCGATGATGTTAGACTTCCTGAAATAGCCCTGCAAAATGTTCCGTTTCCACCAGACGGCGGTTTAGCTTCCCCATCTACACCCGGTCCCAAACCTAGATCGGTTTATATCACCTTAGACCGCATCATAAAGTTTAAGGAGACTCCCGGTTGTACAGGGTGTAAAAATAAGACTCGGTACCATAATGCAGAGTGCCGCAAACGGTTCCAGAAACTAGTTGATGAAGAAAAGGAGCTGGAAGCCAAGTCAAAGCCCATATCAGAGTCGGTAGTTGTCGAACCTCCGAGCGAAGTTCCTAGTGCGCTTGAGGATGCCCCCGTGGACCCACCACCGGAGGACAGTGTATTTGATGATGAAGGTGAAATCACAATTGCTGTTCCTTATAGCGTCTCTGGTGCTGCCACTTTGCCCCAGACTGCTCCCAGCTGCGCTGAGTTATGTAGGGATTCCTTGCCAGTGTTCGGTGCACAGCCCGTGCCTGCATGCCCTGCAGTTAATCAGCCTCCTAAGAATAACAATAACCGTCGTAAACGACGTGCCTTGAAGAAAAGCCAGAGGTCCAATGAGAAGTCAACACTGTTTGAGTTTGCATGTTCCCTCAACTCACAGCTTGGGTTGACAAGTGAACAATGTAACGTTAATCACATTGGGTTATGCAAGGAAAGGATAGACTTAAGTGATGAGAATCAATGTTCCCAACTTGATTATCAAATAGGTGAAGCCGCAAAAGTTGCACCACCTAACCTTTGGTCGTCCATACCATGCACGTCTGGTTCTCCTTGGCAGTATATCAATAGACGGAAGGGAGGAGCTGCTTATATGAAAAGATTAGCGCTCCAACTCCGAGAATCGAAACGACTTTTCAAAAGCTTTACCAAAAGGGCAGAATTAGTTTTGAAACTAGGAGGCACTGTTTCTTTTGAATGGCCACGTCCCTCAACTGGCTGGAAGAGACCAGATGTCGTAGCTTTCTTTAATTCTCACCCTGAGTTTATGGAAGTTGATTTCGATGGTTGTGCAGTAGGTCTTAAGTCCAGGAAAGGTGTTCCCATCAAAAAGCCTTGGAGAGTCCGAACCACTTCCCAAAGAGTAGTAGATGTTTTTAAAAATAAAAAGTGCAGTTGTGAACAGCCACATGAAAAGTGTGAAGGCTCGGAAACGGCGCGATCAGCTATGTATCCTCCAGAGATGGCATTTTTGATTACCCAAGCGCTGTACCCTGCTAAGTGTTCCCAACAACATGCTCCCGCAATGCCATGCGCTCCACTTTCAACCGAACCCCAAGAGCACCGCGAAGTTGAACAACATCTTAAACATGTGTCCCCACTAGCTGGTTTTGAGGATCTTGCAGTTGCCATTGAAACAGATCCAACAGTAAACTGCTTAGTGTCGGAGCTTCTAGACCATGAGCGTTTGTTGTCACAAGCCTTCGGGCATGAAGATAACAATGAACCCTCCCAAGAGGTTCAAGCTATGGTAACTAAGTTGCTTTCTAGGGCCGAGATGTTATCCAACCCCCAAGCCCTTGATGCTGTTAAGGCCAAGGCCGAAGGACTGATCAAGGCGGGAACGTGGTCACTTGATTCCGTTCGGGAAAAGGAAGATGTACGCGCCGAGGCCAAGCGCACAGGAGTGTCCGTTCATTTCGGGCAACTCATGACCATAGCATCCATTAAATTCTTCGAGCTTGCGCAGCACCTGCAAAAGATGAAGGGCAGGATCGTCTATAGAGGCGACTGCGCAAAGGATGAACATGGCGCTGCAGCGGTCTACCAGGAGCTAGGGCTAAACCCGACTTCGGTCCAAGGTTTGAATGCTTGTTTGGCATACGGTTCCCTGCCAGGTAATAGCTCATCCGCAGCCGATGCTGTAAAGGCTTACGTTCAAGCACTCCTGTCTTCAAAATACAAGACATGGATAGAACTACCGCCTGAGCTAAGACCAAAACATTGGCGAGATAAGTTTGTTAAACCTGTAGTCCTCCTAGTTAAAGCCTTATATGGTCATCCTGATGCCGGTGGCCTTTGGGAGCAGCACCTTAAGAAAATTATCCGCAACCTAGGTGGCCAAGAGGTACCCGAGTACCCTGGTAACTTCTTTCTCCCAGATACAAAGTTGTTACTTTCCACCTATGTAGATGATCTCACACTTGCTGGTCCCACTGACCAACATGATGCCTTCTGGGCAAAGCTGACATCTGTTGTGGATATTGAGCCACCTGAACCAATATACCGAATTTTAGGTCGCAATCATCTAGTAATGCCATTGCCCAAAACCGAGGGTTCCGAGGAATGTGCTGCGTTTCGCGCACAAGAAGCCTTAGTCTTTGACATGCTAGATTATGCACACCAAACAGTTGATCTTTATAAGTCCATCACCAACACCAAAAGTTTGAAGCATGCTGCCACTCCTTTTGTACCTGATGGTTCTGTCTCTGTTGAAGATGAAGAGGCTAAAGGTGAACTGGCACCCAATGCATGCCGCATTCTTATGAAGGCGTTGTGGCTTGGGCGGCTGTCCAGACCTGACATAATAAAACCCATCAACGATTTAGCCACTAAAGTGCAGTCTTGGTCCAGGGGGGACGATAAGAGGTTGTTAAGACTCATCCAATACATAGACTCTACACCCCAATACCGTCTAGTGGGTACCATCAAAGATAATCCCGAAGATCTTGAGTTACGTTTATACGTTGACGCAGATTTCGCCGGTGATCGTCTTAGTGGAAAATCCACAAACGGTGGGTATTTAGTTCTATATGGGCCTAACTCCTTCTTCCCTCTTGCGTGGGTTAGCAAACGCCAAACATCCACATCCCGTTCTACCACAGAATCAGAAGTGGTTTCCTTGGCTTATTCCCTTTACCAAGAAGGCCTGCCGGCCCTGCAACTCTGGGAGCTTCTCCTAGGGCGCTCCGTGACGCTTAGAGTTTTAGAAGATAACCAAGCTACCATCCTGGTAGTACGTAAAGGTTATTCCCCTAAGCTTAGGCACATCACTCGCACCCATAAGGTTAATTTGTCCGGGCTGTCCGAAGTCTTCCGTGATGACTCAGCCGAGCTTGAGTACTGTCAGACCGACAGTCAGGCTGCGGACATCTTCACCAAGGCGTTGCCACCCCAAAAGTGGGCCCCGGCACTGCGCTTGCTGGGCATTCGCGTAGATTTAGGTAGTGGACTCAAAGCCAGGGAAGGGGCTGCTACCTAGCGCCCTAACCTGTATACTAGTTGCCAGCGTTAGACCGGGTAGGGGGGAGTAGAAATATTACGACCCCTATACCACCACTGTATATACTAGTATTAGTTCACTCCACACTGTAGCTATGATTCCAACATTCAATGTATATAGCCATGCACATAGTAACGGTAGCATTATCCCCAATCCAGTCGGGTTTAATGCCATAATCCGTAATTACATGGCTCAAGTCGCAAGCAGAAAAGTAGCGGCTTGTAAGATTTTGATGTTAAGGAGTTCAAACTGGTTGGTCCCCTGTTTGTCCCCCTTTTCTTGTTAAACCCTACTTATCCCATTTTCCCTTCAACTCCCCGGGCCAGGTTTGATGGTGGCGATCTACTTCCGTGACCGCCGCGACGGCTTAGACGTGCTGAACGGTGCCATGGTGGATTTATGGTTGGTGAACATGACTTACCCGGCCTGGTAAACATAGATAGATATATTGAATAGCTGGCCCAGTCGATGAAATACTTGATTTACTTATATAAAGGTGATTTTAACCATAGTGGATTTAACCTGAGATTGGCATTTGATCAACGGGATTTTTAGGTGATTTATGTTAGGAAAATTGCTGCGTATCCAGAGACACTGTTCGGGCTGGGTTTATGGTCTATATGATACTGCATCTCTGTAGTTGCAACAGTTTAGATCTGGGGCGCATTTTGCCGAGTATGCCGTTGATCACCTTGAAATTTGATGTTTTACCATATGAAAGCGATCAACATGTATTTATTGTTGAATTGATTCTAAGAGCACTTCTTTGTCATCGGACACGAGAACAACCGCACTTCCGATCCCTATCATATAGATGGTGGTGAACACAACTAGCACACCACTTTTTTGAGATTTAAATTGATGTTAACAAACATTTCCCCAGATAATCTATGGCTTGTGCTAGAAATTCACCGTTGTGACCATAAGGGGCCTGAAACGCCACACACTATCACTTTCCGTGGCTTAATTCAGTGGTTGAACGGTTGGAGATGGTTTTTATCAAAACGATGGGCACTAATAAGATGTATCACAATGTTGAGATACCAGTACATACATATTATGATAGTATTTATATATATATCTATCTGAGTATAGAATATGGTATTTATATTTATATATCAAACATAGTATATATATACATATATCATTCCAAAACCCAAAAATCCCAGAAACTTGTTTGACGATGTTCGAGGGCTAATCTTCATACTTAAGTATATTGTGGATATAATTACAATAGCCCAGATGCTCCATGGTGCTGGAAAATTTACCTACATTTCCCCCTCAAAAATGGCGGTCCAAATGTACTGTAGGTAATTATTGCAGCACCATGGAGCATCTGGGTACACTCTGGTTATTTAGCATAGCTATGGAAAATTGCCTATTTACAGATTTACAGATGATTTTCCCAGCTATAAAGCTCCATTTATAGTGGATTTTCCAGTTCGCTATGTTAAATAACCAGATGGTATATGATGCCTCTGGTAATTTGTAACATAGCTATTGAACATGGCCCAGTCGAAATAGTGGATTTACCCATTAATAGCATGGTGATTTTCCATAGTTATGTGAATGTGTGGCACTCAAATTCCGTTGGGTAGGCTTCGGCTTCCAGATCCTACGTTTGGTGCTGTTTGGCTCCTCTGGATCCCACTTATATAAAACTGGATCCCACAGTCGGCTGGGTCAAGATTTCTGACCTTTAGAGTTATAAAAGGTACATGAGTTTTAGCCATGCTTAATATTGTTTAGTTTAGTTTTGTTTTAAGTCCAGAAGTGCATAAGTAAAAGACCCATTATAGTATTATAGTTATTGCCTTCTGTGGCCCGCGATTTTGCCTCATGCTGTCCACAGCTTTTGTCCAAGTGGAACCGCGTTTTTTTCCACCTGAGATATCCGGAGCCCCAAACCTCCGCAGGCTATTTGAATATCTTGCAGAGCGTCGTGCTGCCATTTGCCGCCGTCCCCTTACTGTCCTTTGCAGGTCCAGTTTGGTTGGTTACGGTTGAACCTGGTTTTCCGATGGTTTTAACCGTGGTTTTTTAGTGGTTATGCAATGGATATATCATGAGTATATGGTGGGTTTACAATGACTATATAGTGCGTTAATATGGGTTCATATAGTGAGTCTACAATGGGTAGAATGGGAATCTAACGTGCATGATTAGGTGCAAACGTTTGATTGATCGTCCCTGTTTGTGTAAATATGATTGTTACGTATATGTATGCATATGAGAAGATATGTATATATATATATATATATACACACGTGTATGTGTATATATATATATATAAACATATGAGCTGCGCTATAAACTCTTTATGTATTGGTGAGTAAGGGGACGGTCATAAGGTGGCTTCGCGTAAGCCAAAACTGCAGTGGCGTAAGAGCTGCGCAAGGTTTTTGGCTTTGAATGTTGTGCGTAAGCCTGCGTAAGGCATGCTTGAAAAGCACCTTTTGGCTAAAGAATGAAAGAAACATGAGGGTCAATATGCTTGGTCACGTTGATGACAGTCAAATGGAAGGGAAACCGAGCTCCAGATATTGCAGACTAGGCAAAACCAGTGTGGCCACGGTTCGGTTCGGTTTTACAGGAAGTCGGTTCGGTTCCTAAACGGTTCGGTTCCTATAGAAACCGGTTTTTCCGGTTCCACGGTTCCAATTTGTTCGGGTTGAGAAATGTTCATTGCTGCCACGAAACCAATTTTGAAAAAAGAATGTGTTTTTTCGCGTAAGGAACGCGTAAGGTATGCGTAAGGAACGCGTAAGGCCCACCTGCTTTATCTGAACAGTTGCCCCATGGCCCCGAAACGTCGCCCCATGGCCCCGAATGGCCCCGTAAGCCCCGAAAAGCAGGCTCGAAAGCGTCGACCGCAACAGGCAACATTGAAAGCTGACGGTTCAGGCTCGTCCTCAACATCCTCTTCTTCAACATCTTCATCTTCGGATTCGACAAATGATGAATGACGCACTGAAATACTCTGTTGAAAAAAAGGCCGCGTAAGGAACGTGTCACGAAAAAAGATGACTTTGTGGTGACTTACTTTCGCGTAAGCCTTGCGTAAGCCCATAGAAAGCCCAGATCCCCGCGTAAGAGAAACCCCCAATAGCGTAAGGATGCGCAAGCATGTGCGTAAGCATGTTCTTACGACCTAAGAATCTATCAAGGTTTCCAGCATGGCTCATATGTACATATGTACACATATATATATATATATACACGTATGTATGTGCAACTGATATATTCATGCAAACGATTTACAATTTGCCATTTGTTTCCTGAAACAGTCATGTCTCCAACCAACCGAGACATTGACACTCACCAACAGCTACATACATCCATCAGATCCAGACCAACAAATACATAAATTTGCCAACGTTCTTTTGCATTGACAAGTACAAAATATGAGGTTGATAAGTCTTGCCACACCACTGGTGACGTCTTTCTTCTCCTGACTGACAGACTGATGAAGTAATGCGACGAAATAAATCTCAACAACTCAGCCTATTATGATGCATTTGGCATGGGCCAATTAATCAAAATGTTCGCTGCAACCCCTAGGTTTGCCCGCGGCCAATCCCGCATATCCTTTGACATGCTCAAATCCCTGCGCAGGGGCTAAAACCCTAAAACCCTAAATCCTGAAAACTTAAAGTCAAAATCACTCCGTATAGCCAGTGTTTTCATTCATCCTCTGGTGATAAGTATATCTATCATATTGTTTGGATGTGTTGTCTGAGTGTGGGCGAGCCAGGGGGTTGCGGGGAAAATGTTTACACTACAAACCCATCACCCTCATTAATCCATTTCGTTGCCAACATAAATCATCATAAATTACCATGAATCACCAGGGACCTTCATAAATAATCACGCACCCAGTATAAACCCATGATCGACCAGACACTTTGTTTTTTGAATGCATCACCATGATATGTTCATCATAATTCCATGATAATCGCATTCAAACCCTACCAAATCCCACTGAATCCTTTTAAAACATCATCAAATCCCATTAGATTCCCATTAACTCCCATGAAGACATGCATAAATCCTATTAAATGTCCATTAAGTCCCATTAAAACAACATTAAAATCTTCTAAAACTACCATACAGGATGGTGCCCCCCAGTTATAAGTTGGTTTATAAACCCCATTAACTATAGTTATATCTGCCATAAACCATAGTTATGGGAGTTATAAACCAACTTATCTAACTATGGGGCACCACCTTGTACCATAGAACCACCATTATTTTGCTGACTTCACTTCTCCCCTGGCTCCACGCCAGGCTCTTACCGCATCATGGGGCGTCTGGCGTTGTCCAAGCCTGCCATGGGAAGCGCCTGGCTGGCGATGTCCATGACGATTGGCGCCAACATGTGCCGCGGATGCACCATATCGGGTTCATGGTGGTTTGATGGGAATTTCATGGTGATTTCATGGTGATTTTATGTTTGTTTTTGTGTGTTTTTGAGGCGATTGAATGGGACTTCATGGGGGATTCAATGCGAATCCAATGGGAATATAGCGGGAACTTCATGGGGATTCAATGGGGGGTTCATGATTCATGGTGGTTTCAGGGAGAATGCATGGAAATTAATGGAATTTCATGGGACTTGATGGAGGTTTAATTGAACATGTTGGGGATTTAAGATGATTTAACGGGATTCAATAGGAATATAATGAGGAATGTACATATGGGAAAGAGATTTGATGGGATTTGAATGGGGTTGATAGTGATTTTATGACATTTCCTGGGAATTCAATGGTGATTTAATGGGACTTGATAGAACTTGATGGTGGTGTATGGTTGTGTATGGCGGTTCAATGGCAATATAATGGAATATATGGGAATGTGAAGGTGATTTAACAGGATTCAATGGGACTTGATAGTGGTTGTTTCACGGGATACAATTGGGATTCAACTGGGCAAAATGCATCAAAGTAGTGATTTCATGGTGATTTTGTGTGATGTTTTTTGGGACTTTCATGGGGATTGAATTGTGGGATTGAACAATGGGATTGAATTATGATATATATATATATATATCTGCATAATTTAGAGCGAGGGCTGACGAGGTACGAGGTGAATCTTTGCAATTTAAGCGAGGTGAATTAATTAAATTCAGACAGCGAGGTGGGCCGAAATTGCTTTCAAAGCATGTGCAACGAGTGAAAAAACAACTTTTCGGGCTCCAGAGAGTTTTTTTGTTCCCATCAGAGTGAAAAAATAGAAAATTAAGGGTGCATTCAGACCCCGTGAAAAAAACTTTCTGGAGCCCGAAAAGTTTTTTTTATCGTAATTTCAGTCAGTGCCCTGTGGTGGCATGCCCGGTTGTTCCAGGACTTCCGTATTTGTTCTACAGTGAAACCACTGTTTAAGAACCCACTGCATTAAGAACCTCAGGGGCTGGATTGCTGGATTCAACTCTGTCTACCAGCTAATTGAAATAAGAACCCTAGGGAACCCTGAAATTTTGGTCAATAGTTCTTATTCACCTTTCCCAGGTAGCGCGACTAGATTCTAAAATTGCTAAAGCTTGAGGTGTAGCGGGGTATCTTGGTGCTGCTGCTGCAGCTTCTCTTCTCTGGGGTCGAATTTGGGGGGAATCGAGGCCCTTGTAAAAGAGGCATCTCGGAAACAGGAAAAAACTTTTTAGGCCCTGAAACTGAAAAGTTTTTTCAGCATCCCCAGGCCTCGGGAGCCCAGAGCGTTGCTGCAACGACGACAAAAATAATTCAAAAAAGTTCAACCGTTCAACCCAAAAGGAGGCAGAGGACTAGTTCGAATGGCTTGCGGTCGAGAAAGAAATGGGACGAGGGCTGAAATCCGTTTTGAATGTAACGAGGCGAGGACTGAAGATTTAATCAGAGGGGAAAAGTAGATTTAAGACGAGGAAACCGTTTTGAATTTAAAGTAAATTTTGCATATATATATATATATATGTGTTGATTGGTTTTTAGCTGGATTTGAATGGGGTTTGAGCGGGAATTCATTGGATTTACACAGTAATTATTGGATTTACTGGGGACTTGATGAAGTGGGACTTAATGAGACTAACTGGGATTAATAGCCAACTATGCTTCGATCAGTTGACTGGATAGATTTATCTTGACAAATGATTTGGGGGCATGTATTATATTTGGGGGCAATCTTGAAATGACTAGACTGTATAGATCAAAGGAGAACACGATTGAAATCCTAAGTTTGGGCTTACACATCTGTCCACTTATAGCCATATAGATCTAGATGTTTAGCTAGCTGGATGGATTACAGCCACACAGATTCTAAATCCTGTTTGGGGCAGTTTATCAACAATCTACTTGTTGAACGACTGGTCAATGGGCGTTGTGCATTATTGTGAATGGTTTGGTTTAGTTGTTAATGAATGTTTATAGTTATTTTTGGCTGGATGACGACTATACTTTGCAGTCAGTTGATTTGATGGTTGCCATACAAGTGTAGATTTCCTATCGCAGGTTAAACCAACCAACTTGGGTATGTAGCATCATTCCACTATCATCTGTACATGTGCAGGACGCATCGATTTTGGTAGGAACAATTTGAATATGACTCGTGATACAACCATATACAACCCGGTCTATTCCTTGTATATATAATTACCCGAGTTATGAAGTCGGGTCGTTAACGACTCACTCACTACTCATTGGAATGCACCCTCAAGAACAGGGAACTGCATTTTCTTGGACGCTGGCTGAATTTGGTTGATAACAACGGATCAAACAACTGAAAAACCCGCTGAGACTGCCGATAATCAAAGAAGATGGTGGAAGCAACCAAAAAACCTGGATTTTTGGCTGACAGCAATACGGACTTCAAGAGCATGAGCTCAAATGAATCATTCAAAAAAATATGAATCTGGGACACATAGTGACGGAACTTTTCAAATATGGGAACATGTTGGAACGCCTTGATATCGGGAGAGCAGCACATGGGACGCCCTGAGGTACCTGGCCTTACAACAATTCGAAGGTCTCTTGCAGCAGTGCTCCAGGTCTTGTTTCGGTGTTCCTGTCGACCCAGTCCAGTTGCAACCTGGGGTTGTTAGAAAATATCGTAACCCCGAATCCATGAGTGATCGTCATTTTTCGTTGAAAAGGTGTGGTTATTGTTTTTTCTTGGCGTATCCCGATTTTGAGACAAGCCCACGTGGGCTTGTCTTAAGTACATGTTGCAAATCTGTTGGGGATGTTTTGAAGCTTGGAAGAGTGGCAGTCCACACCATTTCCTGAGACCCAAATATAATGTTTCTAGGCTGAACATGTGTCTATGCTGAACATGGTTTTCCCTAATCACAAAGACATCGATGACTAGCACGATTGAATTCACACGGCTTGCTTGCTGGATGGGTTGTCGCCAAAACCATACACCCAGTTGATTGTTTCTGGGTTTACCACGTTATCCAGCGAAAAAAGGGTTGATCAAAGAATTAGCGCACCAGTAAGGTCATCAAAGTTTCCTAGATGCGTGTCCCATCGTGCAAGAGTTGACTTTTTTGGGGTTGATACTTGGGGCTGCAGTTGGGCTTACTAATGGGTATAACTATGATGGTAGTAAGCCACATAGGTCATAAGTTGGGATACGGGACCCCTATAACTATGGTTAAGTATTTAGTGACAACTGTTGTAACTCGAACTGCACCCCCAGGTAACCCAGGTACCATCCCCCAAATCAAATTTACACCCTGCCATGAGTCAGAGGTTGGAAGACTACATCCCTCTCAAAGATAGTCATTATTCGGGTCTACGTTAGATTATGTTAGTTGGTATACATATTATATCTGAGAGCACTGACATATACAGATACATATGTATATATATATATACATACACATACATATATGCCACATAACTATGGCAACTATGGTTCCAGTTATGGTACATCTACCAGATACCAAATGTGTATGTATATATATAATGATATATATATATATACAAATATAGTGGTTCGGTATCTATGGTCGTATATCATTATGTATCAGTTTAACAATAACTATGTAACTGATTCAAAACTATATCATGTAAGACTGTAAGGGTTAGATAACTATATGCATGTAACTATATGTATGTAACTATAATATAGATTATTGTAGTATATCTACCATACCCAAGTGACTGACCTCTCTGGTTTTCAGGTCACAGTTGGATTTTGACCACCTTGGTGTGCTCAATCTATTTCGCAGCAGTGCCTGGACGCCGGATCAACTGGATGTGTCTTTATGAGTTTATATGATTTCTTTTTGCATGTACGTGTATATATATATATATATGCAATTTAGGAGAACTCAAAGTATCCAAATTTCAGCAGGTCTTTTTGTACGAATGGTTGACCTAGTGAACATAGTATTGGCATAGTATTGGTGCACGTAGGAGTTTAACTCCAACATTGACGCCCAGGATATATATATATATATGTATACCCTCTGGTAAACTAACATAACTATGGAAAGTCACTATTTTCAATGGGAAAATCCACTATAAATGACCATTTTCAATAGCTATGTTAAATTACCAGAGGGTACATATATTTGAAACCATCATTTAATAGGAAAAATATCGGAAAATCCGCTATCAATGGAGGTTGTACAGAGACTAATGGGTTTAAATTACCAGAGGGTACCATCTACGTGACTTTGCAAGAGAAAGCTGAAAGGTCTGCTTAAGGTGTCAGCTAGCTGTTGGGAAGGGCTCTATATATATATATATATGGTCACATCACAACACGTCATGACGTATCTAGATGCATATATCCCAGATACTCCATTTATCGTACGTGCGTGTACCTACAATGTGGGTCATTCTTGGGTAAGATGTTGGGTATGAAATATTCCACAGGAAACCATGGTTTTATCAACTAAATATTCAGGCTTTGATATTTGCTTTTCCCTTCAGACCAATTCTGTCGGTTGGTGGTTTCAAATATGTGTTACTTTTCATCCGATAAATGGGATGGTGATCCACATTTGTCTCACCATATTTGGGGATTGCAACGACTGGCTAGAATTATGTATGTGCCTGGTAAGACGACTGGTTGCGTAGATTCATGTATTTTTTTAGTGTTCTTTCCATAAACGGAGGACTATTACAGTAACTCAGCCAAACAATGAGTTCTTGTAGGGTATTCATGATCGGCCTTGCGCAGGGTTTCCACATGATTCCAAAGAGTTCTTTTTCTTCCAACATGTTGTAGATGATACTTACCTTCTGGTAGCTATTGAACATGGCCATTTACAGTTGATTTGCCTCCAAAAATGGTGATTTTCCAGTTCGCTTTTTGTGTTAGTGTACCAGGGGATACTCACCACATCTTCCGGTCCAACTTTCCAACGCCATGGGTGGTGCTCTGCCTGCCTGCCAAAAAGGTGGTTCTTGTCTTTGTCAAAGCGCAGAAGTTTGCCGGCGGATGATGCGGGATGAGTGAATCAGTTCTTGGATGCCGCGGGACCCAGTGCATAGTGATCCCTTTTTGGGGCCTATTTCACCGGCGTCCCATGAGATGAATTCAATATTTTTCATGGCTGAGTGAAGCAGGGATCATGGCTGATAGTTGTTTTTACCATAATGTTTTACATATAAATGTGGCATCGTGATTTCTGAGATCAGATCCAAGATATCCAAGATATCCTATAGGAGCGATGATGGTGGACCTTTGGACCTTTGAAGACTCAGAAATGGATCTCAGAAACCAGCAAGCCGTATGAGATAAAAATAGATGCCATCTGGTTATTAAAATTAGCTATGGAAAATCCATTGTAAATGGAGGTTTATAGCTGGGAAAATCATCTGTAAATGGACCATTTTCCATAGCTATGTTAAATAACCAGAGGGTAAGAGATATACATGTTACATATATATATATATATATGTCATCCCCCAAAAAGAGATCATGAATTGGGTGATTTATCGCTATTTTAGGTAGGAGTTCACTGTTCTATATTGTTCTATCTATATTTGGGGATGATTATATCTACCAGGTGGTGCCCCCGAGATAGCCAAGTTGGTTTATAACTCCAATTTCACTATGCTTTATATAGGTGATATATCGAACTAGTTTTTATGGGGTGAATCTAAACCAATAAACATAGCCTTTTTTTTTTCGGGCACCACCTTGTATACATATGATATTCAAAAATTGTACGAATTCACCACTTCAGTCAGACTGGGACGCACCTCCAATGATTTCTGGCTGAGCCCTCCTTCGTACATCGCTACGAACGTATAGGGCGCCCCGGGAGGAGCGCTGAATCAATCGGAGCGTACACCACCGATTGTTTCAATGGATTGGTTTTGTTGGGAAAGTACCTGAGACCCGGAAAGCGTAGCATCGTGATTTTCTTCACCATGAAATACACTCTGGTAAATTAACAGGACGAGCCTGAAAATCGCCTAGTTTTAATTCAAACTCATCTTCCAACCCCGAAAATAGCCAGGGATTGCTATGTTAGATTACCCTCTAGGCATCCAAAGGCTGGAATCCCTCACGAAGTTGTGATTTGGAAGAGGATTTTCAGATGGGAACCCGAGACGGCCATTTTGGGTTTCAGCCGTATTCCCAGAAGGCGACTACAAATGGTCCACTGCGGCCAGAGAGACAACACGTCTCTAGCAGAGAACAAAAAAAATCCGCGCGGATTCGTGCGGGCTCAAAGTGGTAATTTTCCAACGGGTTCCCTTGGATTTGGAAACTGAAGGTATAGTTGATTTGTTATTTATGATTTGCTGGTTGGTGGTTTGGAACATTTTTTATTTTTCCATATATTGGGAATAATAGCCCCATTTGACTAATATTTTTCAGAGGGGGTGAAACCACCAACCAGTTTGTATATTGGACGCTTCGTTACTGACGTTACTTTTTTTGAACGCTGAATTCAACCCAGATGGTGGTGTGAGAATGTGTGATACTTGTATTCAAGACGAGTATACACAACATAAGTTCCATTTGTTTTACCTCTTACCGTGAAAGGTGATTCTGCGTAACTGGTCCTGTGTATTCTTATTCTTCAAACAGGCTACAAGCACTTGAAATCGGGAATACATACCGTGCAGGGCTATATGGTCCTAAACTGATGCGCCCTCCGCTTGTTGCGTTGGTAAACGACCACGGTGATGTGATGTTTCATGTTTGAGCGGGAGGTTTCACTCCACGGATGCAACAAGAGTTCATCATATTTCATCTGGTATTTCCCTTGATTACCTGGTATTTACCTGACATTTCATCGGGATTAATGATTTGTCATCCCATCCCCCTAATATTAAACAACCCCATTCTATGGTTTCAATGTAGAAATTCCCCACCAAAGCATGATTTCGTCTGGGGGTGTTTTTCAGGGCTTAGGGGGAAGAGATTTCCCGATCGGCGCGAAAAAAAACCCAGGAGCTCGAAGAAGAAGAGCGTCGTCCAAGGCCGTGAGGCGCCGTGGCCAAGCCGAAGACAAGCGACAGCATCGGTGAGCTGTTTCTATTGGAATCCAATAAACATCCAACTTTCTGGGATTCTATGAGCATTGGTTGTGAGGATTCATTATCGGTAATCGGATTCTTCATTTCATTTTTGGATAGGAATCCAGTTAGAGATGTGATATACAGCTGAACCAATTAGTATAAACCAATCCCATAGGATCCATGTATGCTATATATGGTAACATTTACCATCAATATACCCCAAATGTTAGCATATATACCATACATGGATCCTATGGGAATGTATAAACCAACTGTAGAAAAACCCCGTTACGTTAATCCACATGATTTTCCCAAGGATAGGATGATCCAAAGATATTTTACAACTTTTGGTTTCTGTCAGGGGATGATTGAATACCCATGACGGATCCATGGTGCTGGGATTTTAATGCTAACATGACTGGGGTATATCGATGGTATCCATGTTACCATATATACCAGCAATATACCCCAGTCATGGTATCTCCTATGGTATATTGATGGTACCCATGGTATATATTCCATACATAATTCATATCCCATGACGGATCCATGTGGATTTGACGGGATGAATTGTTGTCGATTTCTGTCGTCAGCGATAACGTTGCTGGCCATACTAACTGGTTAACGTTGGCGTTTATGAGGAATATCCAATTATTGTAATATTTAGTAATGGTTTATCCATTGGCGTAATTGAATATTGGCCATTACATTTATTGGTTTATATTTATCCAATGTTTATTACATTATATATAGTAATTTATAAATGTATACACCAATATTCAATAATCATTATAAACAATTATTATACATTTGTGTTTATACTATAGTATAATCAATGGTGTTTATAAACACGGAAAACTGATGGGCCTCACCTTGTGTGGTTCCATAAACCCCAACGTTCAACAATTAAACCCTTGGCTTATCATGGTGGCTTAAGGAAGTGTATAAACCAACAAACACAACTGCAATTCCCGACCTATAGAAGTTATGGTGGGTTATGTATCGATAGTAGGCTCTGGCATCCCTCCCATTCATAGGGGTCAGTCGGGGTCAATATACCCGTCATAGGGAATCTCGAATGGTGGGATGACCAGCGGGGGGCCATGCCATTTTTGCAATGTCTTGACCATGGCACATATGATGATATGAAGAGGATGATTATGACTATCATTGTGACTAATTATGTTTTAATATGATGTGATATATGATGTATAAACATATATATATATATACACGCAATGACATACATATGTATATATATATACACATAATAATGGGCTTATCCAGTAATGATTGCACCCAGACTTGGCAATTTCAACAGGACACACATGATGGTTAGCCATGTTGGAATGCGGGGTATCGCATTCATAGACAATGCTGAAAGATATAATAAATCTAAATCTAAATCTGAATATAGTATGAATTTAGATATGAATATAAGTATGAATACATATAATATAAAATACATATGTACACAATGTTACATGTGTGATAGTGATGGTCATCCAAACAATTCCTACCATCCTCTATACGTTTCCTGGAATTCAGTCAAATTTGTTCCGTATTCCATGGGAGTGCCGGATGGGTACCTACCCAAACCGATCAGAAAAGGGAATTCAAGCATCAACCATGGAGATTTAGCTGGAATGGAGATGAGTTGTGAAGCGGATGATAGAGCTGTATTCATTGTGAATGTTTTCCTCAACGCTTCTGGTGATATTTTCAATGAACTTGGGCTACCCGCTTGTAATTTTTCACATAGCCATTGAATATCACCTGGTTTGAGCAGGTAGATCATATATATATATATATATATAAATATATATATGGGCCATGTTTCGCTATATAGCAAATTACCAGAGGGTATTTTGAGCACCTAAAAACTTTGAGCTTCATTCGTCGGCCACACCGGCATCACCGGCCACAAGCGCCATGGCAGTCCGTTCGACTCTTCGGGGGGTTATGCTCAGATGCGTGCTTTAAGATGGAGGAAATTCAAACGACGTGATGTCGATAGATGTTCAATTGTCTAAAGTTGTATGGAAGAGGTTTCATGATGTCTTTGCTGATAGAAAAATAATGTTAACCCAGGATTATTAAACCTGCAGTTTACTTGTGAGGGCATGACAGGAAGTACCATCTCTTCATAGTAGCTTAGACAACTGTTTTTGGGTATTCCCCGCAATTATATAATCAACATAGTTTATCAATCTGGCGTTTACATTACAAACTCTGCTGCTCCTGCCAACTTTTCTTGGTAATTCAACATAACTATGGATTTATTTTTGTGTCTTAACTTAACTTGTAAATCATCTGTAATTTGGCCATTGTCCATAGAGATATGAAATTGCTCGTGGGTAAATCCATCCTGCTTAGGTGATTTGGTGACCTTACTCTTTCAGTTTATGATCCATCACCCTCCGCAGTCATCGCGTGAGTCCGTTTCTCTTTTCACGTGCAAACTGCCGAAGGAAGGATGGCACGCTCATGTGTTCCCTTTAGATATATTACATACATATAATTTGCACAGCAAAGCCTGAAATAGTCATGGGTCAAAATTGTTGCTTTGCCCTGAAAATGGCTGAGATGCTAAAATGGTGGGTCCTTTGGATCAACCTGGTCAAACCAATAGCAATTCCCATCAAGTCAGTTTGGGCATCACCACTGACGTGAGGATCCCTACTTGATGCTTTCCAAGGGGTTGTGGGCTGGGCCGGTACTTGTTTTGGACATGTGTTTGTAGACTCCAAGACTTCAGTTCTTTTGTTGGCGGCTTTGAGCAAAGTGCCAAGTTTCCTTGATGATTTTTATATACTTTCTTCATCAGGGTTGCTCCATCCCATTTTTGGGTTGAAAAAAATAGCACAAAATTTTGTGGGAGTCTGGGGTGTTGGAAGCAACCCTGTTCATTCTTCCATTTGAAATAGCGAAGCTTGAAGTCGAATGCAAAAAGGATCTCACATTTCTTCGGATTTGCTGCTCTGTACCCTGCAAAATTCACTGAAGAGTCAGGTAGGTTCCCCTTTTGTGCTCCCTGGTGCCCAATGATCCCTGGTGATGAGTCTGGTGACGTTTTTTTTTGTTTGGCCATGGTGAAACTTCACCACCCTGGTACATAGATTCCATTCTATACCCATAACGGATCCATGGTGCTGGTATATTAATGCTAACATGACTGGGGTATATTGATGGTAAATGTTACCATATATAGCATACATGGATCCTATGGGATATAGTTGAAACGGTATTGTTGGCATTTTTCAAACGTCAAACTTTGAAGAGTACATAAGACGCTTTCCAATCACTAAGACCTTATCCTTCGAGGTTGTTACTCCCTAGCCCCCATTGGTGGCTTGTTGAACATCGTGGCAGGTGAGGGATGGTAGGGTTGGAATGGAAGAACCAGCGAAACATACGATGGAAATTAGCTAAGTTGCTTTATAGCTAGATCAACTATGGTTTAGGAGATATATAGAATCTAGATTGGTGAACATAAATAGGGTCAACATAGTTAATCTAGCATAGAATATAAATAATTGTTGGTATGTAGCTAGGTGACCACGATGGGTCAACATAAACCATCATCACACATTTCATGTTTTGGAGGCAGCATCATGCAGGAAACCATCCACTTCATGCGGCTGCAAGTGAACCAATCAGCATTTGTTGTATTCATTTTGAACTTGTTTTCATAGCTCGACTGAAACACCAAAAGCCTACAGTTGGTTGGTTAGCGTTTGACAAGCAAACCTGGCAAGCTCTTATTTTTCTTTTGCGTGGTGTGAGATCGCCCATCGACGGAACTTGTTGACTGATTTTGAAGCAATGATTGCCAAGGTATCCAAATCATTTTGCAGACAACCAGCTTCATCAAAATTGCATCACTGGTCAGATTGCTTCACTTCTATGATACAAAACAGTAAATGGCTCCGAACGCTGTAACCCTTAGAGTGGTAGTGGGCTATAAACCTGGAGGCTTTACCAGTTTATGGCTGTTTCGATCCTGTTTGCTGACGAAGATGAGAATCCCAGACGGCGAAATCTTGTAGATTTCATGTCAGGTCCCATCAAGATCATCAAGAGTGACAACTATTCTGTAGGAAATCCAAAAGCCCAATTTTAGTAAAAAAAAATTGAAAACATGATCGTATACTGAAAGCCATCCAATAGCTGTAAAGTGAGCAATCGTGAAAAGAGATGTTAAAATAAAAGCCAATCAACTCCATCAAGACTCAAGAAGAGCCAAACAGCAGCCAAACAACCCAAACAACACAACACAGTACACAGAGAGTCAAACACGCAACCAAGACAAGAAGCAGCAAGCGAAAAAAACGAAAGTGAGCTACAGCGGCTCTCACAATCAGTACATGAGGAAGCACTCTAAAACTCGTCATCGTGGTCATCATTTGCGCTCAAGAGCTGGTGCTTCAAAGAATGCACTGGAGCAGAATGGTACATATTTGTCAAAGAAATCCTTCTGCCATGTTACTTCACTGCAATGTTACTTTGCACATCCAGAACAATCTGGTTGCTGATCCTAATTTCCAGTCCAACTTCAAATTTATGTTCCAATGTTAGTCAACTTCACATATTTTTCCGGGCAGGTTGATACCCCGAATCATTGCTGCCTGTGTTGAAATCTCCGTGGCTCATCGACGTGCGGGTTTCGACGTGCTCGTCGAACATCGAAGGCTGCCATGTCAATGGTCTTTGTTCCTCCTACCTTGAGGCCAGGAGGGCCCAATCTCAGATCCACCCAGAAGGATCGTCAATACTCATGGTTAATAACCATTAATAGGGGCTAGTCATCCAATGGTTCATAGGGATTTATAATAACCATTATAAGGATCCTTATTATAGATGGGATGACCATCAACCATATATAGTGAGTATTGACCATGGCTCATGTGTAGCGAGTTAGTTCCAACCCCAGATTAATAATCCCTGCAGGATGGGGCCTTCCAGTTATAAGTTGGTTTGTACACCATGATAACCCCCATTAACTATAGTTATATCAACCATAAACCATTTTTAAGCCACTTATAAACAAACTTTGCTATCTTGGGGCCCCCATCCTGTGGTCCCTGTTTGATTTAGTAGGGCTGGTCACTCCAACAAGTGATATCTTTTGCTACTAAAATGATTCCCTCCCAATAATCAACAGCCAAGGCTTGACTGTACAACATGGTATACCACAACAAATCCCCATAGCCGCAGCAATATAGAAGCCTGAATACTGTGAGCTATTCCATAAATGTCAAAATGTCAGGGTGAAGCACACCATACTCAGATTCACCATACTTTCGCACAATGTCTGCAATTCTATCCAAGTCTAGTTAAGTATATATTCCATTGTCAAAAGATGACAATATATACCCATATTGCGGGATGGTCATCAATGCATTTTCATAGGGATTGAGAGGGAAACCCACGAATTGGTTGGATTCCCATGGAATGGGATGGATGAACGGGGGCCCCATGAATCATCTTATATAAGTTTTATTAAGTTTCTGGGTAAATTATAACGACCTCACTGTTCTCCCTCACTGGAATAATGGTTAGTAAGGGAAATGATCCCCTTTTATGGCCGAACTATTCAGGTTAGTGAAATATAATAATTTACCCAGAAGTTTGTATATTCCAATTATATCCAACAAACCCACATGAATTGATATAACATATCCCCATGAAATCCCAGAAATTCCATTTACCAGTTCTAAGTGGATAGATTTTATTATAGTTATAGGGGCCCCATTTCGGGGCCCCATATCCCAACTTATGAAGTTCCAGGTATCCCATGGTGAAAAACCTGGAAAAGCAACCTCAACTGCACCCAAAAATAGTACGAGTAGGTTATATTAGTCACCAAGCCGCATCACCATTCCATCCAATGAAATCCCTAATTAAGTCACCATTTTCCCTATAGTTGCTAGTTAAATCAGCATTTTCCCTTGTCAAATCACCATGTTCCCCAAAAGTTAAAACACCATGTTCCCCAAAAGTTAAATACCATGTTCCCTCGTAAAATCCCAACTTATGAAGTTTAACATTCCTCAACTTTGGTCTAAGTTTCTACTTGGTATGGTTACCATGGTTCATTCCCTAGTTTTTTGGTTACTTTGATAGCTTATACCATGCTTACTCTCTGGTCATTTAACATAGCCATGGTATAGATAGCCCATTTATAGATGATTTTCCCAGCTATAAACCTCCATTTAGGCAAAGGGTTTTCCATGGCGAACTGTTAAATAACCAGATGGTATACCCTCTGGTAAACATACAAAAAGCTATTGAAAATGACCATTGAAATAGTGAGATTTCCCATGAAAAATGGTGATTTTCTATAGTTATGTAACAGTTTACCAGAGGGGACCTAAAAGTAACCTCCACCATGGCTCCATTGCCAGCGCTGGGCCTAGGCCTCCCAGCATCGTTCCGGGAGGCCCCAAGAGCACCCAAAGACAACGTCTGAGGGATACGGGAAAAACCCATATTAATTCACCATGAATTCACCATTCCCCAGTGATATTATTCACCATTAACCATATAAACGTCCCAGTTGGGATATGTTAACCATATAATTCACCATATTAATTCACCATTCCCCATATTGTGATATTATTCACATATTCACCACATATTCACCATATAATTCACCATATAATTCACCATATAGTTGGGATGTGATTCACCATTAATTAACCATTTGGAGGTGTGCTAAAATTGGGGGGTATCCCTAAATCATGAATTTCACGAGGAATTTCCAAAAAATAAACCATCCATTTTGGGGTACCCCCCATTTAAGCACACCACCACAATTTTATTCTGATTTCCGTATCAAAATAATGGTGATTTTTCCAGGAGCTACCTTAGATAACGAGAGGGTTTTTATGGGATAAGAGGGGACAATTATAGGGATTTCATGGGGATTCACTGGAAATTGAATGCTGATTTCTTGGGGATTTAATGGGGATTAATGGATATATGCCCTTTGAATCCCTTTGATAATTTAGCTTAGCTATGGAAAGTCACCTATTTTTTCATTTCAAAATCATCATACAGCATCGAAGAAAAGGGACAATTTTCCACAGTGATGTTAAACAACCAGAGGGTATAGTTACTACCTTCTGGTTAATCCGCTCCATGGCTTGCTGGAGAATTCCCCAGAAACAGAAAAACCGATCAGATTTTCCCAGCTATAAACTGTGTAAAAATCTCCATTCTTTGGGAATTTCTCAGCCAGCCACGTTTGATGATCGGAGGTGAAAAAATGCTGGAAGAGTCATTGAATGAAATGAAGGTTTGCGAATGATTTTGCAATAGCTGAACCCATAGGACCCATGGTGCTGCTATATATGGTAGCATGGATCCCATCAATATACCCCGAATGTTAGCATATATACCATACATGGATCCGTCATGGGGAATAGAACTGGTGTCTCATCTCAAAACATTCGGTTTGCGGGTTAGTTTCATGTTCACCCAGAACTGGAGGATCAGTCCAGTTACGACCGCCCTGGAAGAACTGGGATAAACTTTCAGGTACCCTCTGGGAATTTAACATATGGAAAATGGACCATTTGTAGATATGATTTACCTATAAAAAATGGTGATTTTCCATAGCTATGTTAGTTTACCAGAGGGTATTTTCGAATTCTGAGGAGGTCCTGGGGCCACCAAGCAATTTAGAGAAATTTTAGTCATAATTTCAATGGTAGCCCAGGATTTAAACAACAACTGTGTACTATTACAGTAATAGTGAGATATCACCTTTGAGAGTAATTTATCATTATCATGTCGAAAACGGCACCCAAGCACAGAGTAGCCACCAGCAAAGGAGAGTGCCAGGGAGAGTAACTTATCAATAAAATCTTGTGGTGGCTCCCTAATCAAATCATTTACTCAACAGAATGTATTCATGGTTAAACTGATTGATATTAGTTGGCTACTTCAACCTTTCATCATATTCCAAAGTTGCGGTTGATACGCCACTTCTGGCTGATTAAACTTGAAGTGGGTAGGTTCTGTAGAGGGCACATCCCTACCCTCTTAAAAATGGAATTTGAGGGGGGAGTCGTACTGAAATTTCATTTTAAAATTCCATGTTTGCAATCATGTTTTCTCAATGATCAATATTCGCTGAGCCATCAAATTGCGTCGATGCATCCTTTAGCAAAAACACGACATGGACCGACATGGTGGATGTAGACGTTCTATCAGGGCTCAGGGGTCTTCAAATGTCACTATTTTGCTGGGTTATTTTATCACCACTTGAAATGATGGATAGATAGTCGTGAAGCCGCCATGAGGGTGATGTGTATACTGTTGGTGTCTTGAAGGTGGGTCAATTTTGGAGTAGAACCTATAGAGCTTTGGACGGCAAAAAGTCGATGCTTCTGGGATAGCATTCCAGCCTTTTCGATTTGGTTTCCCTACACCATGCTGCCATGTTCGATAGGTGTTTGCTCTACTGTTGTATGATATATTAGAACTCCTCTGGTTTGAGAAATCGATAGCATCCAGTGGTGAGAAGCCCATGACCCTGGCATTTCTTTGCCTCAGGCTGCACGATACCTATGCAGGGGCCTATGCCCCACTTTGAGGCAAAGAAAGTTCATCGGATAGCAACGTTCCCCCTGGGCTCTTAGCACTTGACCCTCTGGTTATGACTAACATAGCCATGGAAAATGGCCCGTTTATAGATGGTTTATCTATTAAAAATGGTGATTTTCCATGGCAAACTGTTAAATAACCAGATGGTACTATTTTTCGTAGCAAAGTATCATGAATTTTCACCATTTTGGGCGGTTATCCCCCAACCAGAGTTGAAAGATTCGGGCTTCCAGCGATCCATTGCTGGAGATCCACGAAGATTGAAGGGATCTTGTAACAGATGTGTCATGGAGCTGGTCAAAAATCCCATGACACATCCCAATTCTATAGCCCATGACGGATCCATGGTGCTGGTATCTTGATGCTAAAAATGACTGGGGTTTTTGTTGATGGGATCCATGGCACACCATATAAAGCAGCACCATGGATCCGTCATGGGTAGCCATTTAAATGAAAAACCTGCCGCAAGAACGGTCCCATCAACCAAGCACGGGGGTCGTTACGATGGTCAACGGCCAAAGGCCATGCCGCTTGATGGGATGACGATGCCTATGGCAATGCAACCAAACTTGAGCCTTGGACAACGATGATGATAACGATTGAGTATAGTAGAGTAGCAGCAGTAATAAGCCTGCAATGGATAGAATATGATATATTGATTGTTTCAAACGTGTTTTCAATTTTGATCAGTTATTTTGGATTTTTCATGATTTTTCTATGTTTTATCTGCTCCAGGATGACTATGTACAATACATGTATATATATATACATACACATGAGTAACGGATAAAAATATTGTAATGTACTTAGTCTTCCTTCGCCTTAGCCTTCCTGAGGGTGTGCAAAACCTTCATTACCGATAGGGGACGACCCTATACCTATACCTAAATAACCAGAGGGTAATTGTAGCATGCTGTTTTCCTTAAGTCATACTATAAAATACTATAAATAGAACTCTTGAATCTATCACTTACCCTCTGGTAATTTAACATAGCTATTGAAAATGACCATTTATAGATATGATTTACCTATAAAAAATGGTGGATCTTTCCATAGTTTTTTGTATGTTTACCAGGCCGGGTAACTCAACTATCCCTTGAAATGGTGAGCCCTTGAACTGCCGGGGAGGGCAGGAAATCTCCGACAGCCCCAAAAAACCGAGGAACAATCCATGCTTACTGCGCCAGCTCAGAATGCCGATGCAGCCGGGTCTCCCGGTCTCCCCAGTCGTACATTCCGTAGCTACGTTGCGGTGGGCCCCCGTTGTTTAATGAGATGGTTATTATAGATGGTATAAGTGAGTTTATAACATTTTATAACCATAGAATTATCCTCTATAACTAGCTAGTTTATCCCATAAACTGCTAGGTAGTTTACCAGTAATGAGATGGATAAGTTAGTTTATAGGTAGTTTACAAGCCCAATTCACTGGTTCGTTGATTGCCGTATAAACCATAGAATTCACCAAGGCATAAACCAGCTTAGCTATGGGGCCCAACCTTGTACCTCCCTGTTTGTCCGAAATGTGCTGCCTAATCACAAATTTCCGTGCTAAAATGGCAATCTGGTGGTATACCCTACAAGGTAGTGCCCCCCAGTTATAAGTTGATTTATAAACCATAGAAAGTATAGATATATCAAATCACCTATAAACCATATAGTTATTGGAGTTATGTGAACCCCAACTTAGCGATTTAGCTCACTGGGGCACCACCCATTTGGTTCAGACACATCCAAAACTTTGTGGAACTGAAGGCTGGTGAGTTCCAAAACTTCGCCAACAAAATTCGACAGATATCCCATGATGGGACCCCATGTTTGCTCGAACGATGTCCTAATTTTGGTCAGATCCAAAGGCCCCTTACGCTGGCAACATCAGCATTCGGAAAGGCGTTAAAGGGACACCTTTTGGTCTGCTGAAAGTCGATTTCTGTTTTGCTGAAGTTGGTTCAATCCCAATTCGGCTGGTGAAAATCTGGGATTCCTGTAAATTCACTGGGAATCCCCATGTTTTTTTTCCCTGGGATGCGTTCGTCCCAGGTGTTACTGGCGGGTTTGACAACTCCAAGTTGTCACGATTCACCCCATAGATTTATAGTTTTGGTGGGTGATTTTCCCACCAGTTCCAAGGGCAAGGCTCCGGGTGGGTGCAGTCAAAAATAGGGCAAGCTGGGTGCCACATTCGATTCGATTTGGGCACTTTTCAGCAAGTCAAGCATTTGTTTTTTGAATGGAAGCCGCATGGAAATCGTGGTCAACACCTATGAAATATAATATTTGGGGGAACGACATCCATAGCTACTACAAGGTGGGACCCTCTTTTGTTATGCATGTTTATAAATTCCACGATTACATCCAGTAGCTATAGTTACATTCCCTACCCATAGGATCCATGTATGCTATATATGGTGTGCCATGGATCCCATCCATATACCCCAGTCATGTTAGCATATATACCAGCACCACGGATCCGTCATGGGCTATAAAACCCGGTTCACCTTAAGTGATCTAAACGAAAACTGAGCCGAAGTTGCTGCTTCTGGCCACCACCATTCTTCGTGGACCCATATAATTCACCGTTGGTGAATTCACAACAGACTTAGCGATTGGGGGCACCAGATATGAAGTGGTAAGTTGTACATGTTATATCACTATCATTAATATCATATTTTTGTGGTATATTCACCAGACTAGGGATATAATGTTATATAACTGGTTGGTGGTTTCAAACATTTTCTATTTTCTGCCACAATATATGGGATAATCATCCCAACTGACTAATTTTTTTCAGGGCGGTTGAAACCATCAACCAAATAATGTTATATACCCTCTGGTAATTTAACATAACTATGGAATATCACCATGTTCAATTATGGCCATTTTCAATAGCTATGTTAAATTACCAGAGGGTACCACATACCACTCAGTATATCCCTATATAGTCAACTCCTCGTTTTGAACAACTCCCCCACCATGGCCATGATGGCACGCCGCCGCGAAGGTCTCAGATGGTCTCGAAGGCGCTGGGTTTGTTTAGTCGGTGATTTGGCTTGCTAAATCCCAATGGAAAATCCACCATGACTGGGGAATCTACAGTGAATATTTAGACCATTTTTTTTTTGCACCCCTTCTGGGCAAATCCAAGTTATATTAACTATTTAGACTTGGAATTTGAATTGACATAATTGAATGGACTCGATTTTTTGAACTGACTTATTTGAGTTGAAATGCAAGTTTATCTGAAAGTGAGTTGAAATTAACTTGACATAATTGGAATTGAATTTCATTGAGACCTGGCTCTTTGCACTTCCGAATTTTTAATGAAAATTACACGAGTTTGAAGTTAAACTTGTATTGACTTGTCGTTGGATGCTTAGGAAGATCCCAAGATTTGGGAACTGTATTTGGGGGTCAAAAATGCTGTTTATTTAGGTTCCGCTTGTTTCGATCCGTCCTCTTTGCGAGTTTGCGGAAGGATTTTGAAAGTCAGATTACAAGAACAAGATATCCAAACGAATTGGTCGTCTATTTGTTACGGATGTTTGCTGACGGTTCCACAAACAGGGAGTTTTGGGGAATTTTATTTGCGGAGTCAAACACTGCAGTTTATGTAGGTTCCTGCTTCTTTCTTGACCACCAGTTTGTTTGGCAACGTGTTTGAAACAAGATGCAGTAAGAGAACGCAACTTCAAGATCTTGATTGCTTTTTGAGGTTTGATTCAAAAAAATAAGGGGGAAAAACATAGGGCAAAATCAAAAGACAAACATGTGACACAACACATGACTTCCCACAAATGTTCGCTTCCTGTGTTGTGGGCCTGGTTTACTCATCTGTCCTGGGATTTGGCTTTCTTTCGGCACAAAGTATTGACCGGAATCGTTGAACATACGGTGGATAGTTGAAAACAGTGGTAAAATGTGGTAAACATCCCATTATTTCTAGGGTTATCATCCATTTATAGAATGGGATTTTCCCTGAAATAAACCATCCAGCTATTGGGTACCCCATTTATGGACCCCCCCATGTATAAACTCCATAGCCGGTTTATCGGATTTCGCTGGCCCATCCACTGTAGGTCCAGTTCAGCTGATCAGTGGTTACATTCCCTTCCTGGGCACCGTGATCCCGTAGAGTGCCACTCTATTGTCATCGTCATCGTCATCATCATCACCACCATCATCATCATCACCACCATCATCATAGTCATCACCATCGTTATTATCATGATCATCATCATCATTGTTCTGTTGGTCTGACACATACCACCTAGCTTCTTCACTCTCCATCTTGGCCGCCTACCTTGCGTGTTCCCCTTCTCAGGTACAATTTATGCATGAGTACTGTAACTGCTAGAATTCAGTTTTTGTTCGCCCAGTTATGTTATGAAAGCTTGCTGGTTGTACAAAGTGTTGCTTGTATAATGGTATGTATCACAGATTTGCAAAAAAAAGTGTCGAAATACAAAAAACACACGCTAAAGTACCATGTGATATGGGTATTTGGAAGGTCTAGCTCTCTAGCTCTCTCTCTCTCTCTCTATATATATATATATACATATGTATTTATATATACACACATTTAAAACGACCTCATAGCGATCTCACCGGAATGGTGGTTCGTAGAGGTAACTATCCCCAGATGGCCTCAATTCAAATTGGTGAATTAACATAATTTTCCAGATAGATAGGTAGATAGATAGATAGATAGGTAGATAGGCAGATAGGTAGATAGGTAGATAGATAGATGGATAGATGGATAGATGGATAGATAGAGAAATAGATAGAGAAATAGATAGAGAAATAGATAGAGAAATAGATAGAGAAATAGATAGAGAAATAGATAGAGAAATAAATAGAGAAATAGATAGAGAAAGAGAAATAAATAGAGAAATAGATAGAGAAATAGATAGAGAAATAGATAGATAGGTAGATAGATAGATAGACAGACAGGTAGATAGATAGATAGATAGATAGATATATATTTATTTATCACATTAAGTCAATTGAGTCAATTTTTCTGTCGCTGGATGGACCCACACCGTGAGGCTCCAATGACCTCAATGACCTGGGAGGCATCAGAGGCGCTGTCCCGTTTGGGGCGAACGTGCCAGATCAGTGCTAAACCTTGGAGACTTCCTTGGTTGTTAAATGGTGATTTCATGGTGATTTCAATGTGATCTAGCGGGATTTATTGGTAATTTAATGAGATTTAATTGTGATTTTATGGGAGTTGATGGGAATTTTATGGGTTTTTTATCTTTGAATCGCATCACGGATGAGTTGGTCCAGCCACATCGTATGGAACACATCTATGGAATTGTTCACGGCTGCATTGCTGCTGTTTCCAACAAGCAACACGTGATCCCATAGAGTGCCACTCTATTGTCATCGTCATCGTCATGATCATCACCACCATCATCATCATCACCACCATCATCATAGTCATCACCATCGTTATTATCATGATCATCATCATCATTGTTCTGTTGGTCTGACACATACCACCTAGCTTCTTCACTCTCCATCTTGGCCGCCTACCTTGCGTGTTCCCCTTCTCAGGTACAATTTATGCATGAGTACTGTAACTGCTAGAATTCAGTTTTTGTTCGCCCAGTTATGTTATGAAAGCTTGCTGGTTGTACAAAGTGTTGCTTGTATAATGGTATGTATCAATGATTTGCAAAAAAAAGTGTCGAAATACAAAAATCACACGCTAAAATACCATGTGATATGGGTATTTGGAAGGTCTAGCTCTATGTCTCTCTATATATATATATATACACATTTAAAACGACCTCATAGCGATCTCACCGGAATGGTGGTTCGTAGAGGTAACTATCCCCAGATGGCCTCAATTCAAATTGGTGAATTAACATCATTTATCCAGATAGATAGATAGATAGATAGACAGGTAGATAGATAGATAGATGTATATATATATATATATCACATTAAGTCAATTTAGTCATTTTTTTTCTGTACCCGGATGGATCAACCCACACCGTGAGGCTACATGCCACGGTACCTGGCAACCATCAGAGGCGCTGTCCCGTTTGGGGGGAATGTGGTGCCAGATCAGCACTAAATGGAATCCTTGGTGACTTCCTTGGTTGCTAAATGGGGATTTCATGGGATTTAACGGGATTTATTGGTACTTTAAAGGGATCTATTGGTGATTTAATGGGAACTGATGGGTAGTTCATGAGTTCAATCTCTGCAGCATCTACTGATGAATTGTATCTATGTCTGTCTGTATGTATGTAATATAATGATATATACTGTATGTAATGAGTGTAATGTAATCTGATAGTGTAACGTAATGTAATGTAACGCAACGTACTGTAATGTAATGGTTTTGTCGTGTATACATAGTTAAATGTAGTTAATTCATGTTTTGTTTTGTTATGTTTATGATGTGTTGTAGTATGATTTATTTTGTTATGTTATTGTATGTTATGTTATGTTATGTCATGTTAATGTTTTGTTGAATGCTATGTTAGTGCAATGCTATGTTGATTGTTATGTTAAGTTAATGTTATTGTGCTATGTTCATGTTATGATAATGTTAACGTAACGTAATGTAATGTCATATAATATCATATACATACCCTGAACTTCCAAAGGCCTTCAAAACGAGGTCCTTTCACTAGAGGCCCTCATACAGAGGTCCTTTCGGCAAAGGCCCTTAAAACGCTTATAGCTGTCCAAATTGGTTCGTATATACGTGCCCCTCAGACGCACAAAACTCCTCACAGAGCGGACGCGCACTTGCTTGCACACAGCCACACAGCAGAATTTCTTACGCCGAGTTCTTTGGCGCGGCTGCATCTTTTGTTTCTAAGTTTGGTTCAGAGCAGTCAGATTTAAAAGAATCATCGGATCTCAGCGGCTAGATGTCCCGCGCTGTTTTTATTGGCACACAAATTCGTTTTTTAAACTCTCATATGTTTCATAGTGCCTTCATCCAAAAAACGTGTGCATAGCCGAAACCTTCAGGCATGTCAAAATGTCGGTCCCCCCAATGCACGGTCCTTTCACGCTGTGGGAGGTCCTTTCACGCTCATTCACGCGGATTCACGCTCAGTTTCGTCCAACAATTTTGCAAACATGCAGAACAAAAAATACTTTACTTCGTGTGATCCCCACCATGACATTTATACATTTTCTTACTGGCAAATCTTCTGGCATTCTATCTGACATATCTTCTGACAATCTATTTGGCATTCTATCTGGCATATCTTCTGGCATATGATCTGGTATATCTTCTGGCATATCTTCTGGCATTCTATCTGGCAAATCTTCTGGCATTCTATCTGGCATATCTTCTGGCACTCTATCTGACATATCTTCTGGCATTCAATCAGGCATTCTATCTGGCATATCTTCTGGCATATTTTCTGGCATTCTATCTGGCAAATCTTCTGGCATTCTATCTGGCAAATCTTCTGGCATTCTATCTGGCATATCTTCTGGCATTCTATCTGACATATCTTCTGGCATTCTATCTGGCATATCTTTCTGGCATATATTCTGACATATCTTCTGGCATTCTATCTGGCATATCATTCTATTTCTTCTGGCATATCTTCTGACATTCTTTCTGACATTCTTTCTAACTTTCTTCTGCACATTCTTTGTCCCATATCTTCCTACATGAGGTCCGGCAGGGAACACTTGGCGTGGATACGCGGTTGAGGTCGCAGGGAACACTGGTGGTCGTGGTTGAGGTCCGGCAGGGAACACTGGGCGGGGATGGTCGTGGTTGAGGTCCGCAGGGAACACTGGGCGTGGATTCGTGGTTGAGGTCCGGCAGGGAACACTGGGCGTGGATGGTCGTGGTTGAGGTCCGGCAGGGAACACTGGGCGGGGATGGTCGTGGTTGAGGTCTGGCAGGGAACACTGGGCGTGGATGGTCGTGGTTGAGGTCCGACAGCGGGTCGCAGTTGGACGAGGAGGACGACGAGGAGGACGACAAGGAGGAGGAGAGGAGAAGAGGAGAGGAGAAGCAGGCAACTGACATAAAATCTAACAACCCTCACCTGGCAGGTGGGGAAAAACACGACAGTAACCACTTTTTTCTCTGTTTGAAAGTAACCACAAAATCAAGTTTGGATTGGCTGGTCGCTGCAGTAGAACTGAATTAGCCAGCTCCGATGGATGGTGACTTGGGAAACCAGAAGCTTCTGTGCGCGTAGGTTGCATCGTTTTGGCATTGCGTACTGGTTTTTATTTGAGCGCCCATGTATATCAACATCCCCTCTCAAATGTTTGGTGGGGATTTGTTGGTAATTTAATGGGATCTAACGGTGATTTAATGATGTTTTAATGGGGGTTGATGGGTATTTCATGGGTTGAATCTATGAATCGCATCACGGATGAGTTGGTCTAGCCGTCTAGCCACATCGTATGGCATACATCCGACTGCTCTTTTGGGTCAATTTTCATGACACTCTCTTTGACGACCACAGCAGTGGTTACTAAACATGGTTCCAGTCTACAAGTTGAGCCAGTCCGGATTCAGGTCCTCGCTTTCGGGGATGAACATGGATCCCATTGAAATCATTTCGGGTGTTCCATGGAATTGGGAAATTAAGCGCTAAAACGGCCATGAATGCGGGAGAATAATCATTAAACAATGGATTTGGGGCCTGCTCTCAGACAAACCCACATTGGACTATTGCATCAACTAACAAAGATTGAGACGGCCGAACTTCATACGCACACCAAACAAGATGCGCCTTCCTTCCAGAAAATTATCGGCAGTTTGGCTGATACCCAAAATTTGGGAAATCCAAAGTGCGCATTTCTTAGGTTTCAGCCAAATGGGTGTTTCCTAAGTCATGGGGGTACCCCCAAATCATCCATCTTAATAGGACTTTCCATTGTAAACCATCCATTTTGGGTATCCCCATCTATGGAAACCTCCAAATTAGAATCAAACACTGAGTTTTTTTGTCCTTTGGGTGGGCGGTTGGAAATCTGAGCACGGTTGAAGGGACTATCACGACCTGAGGTATCCCAAAATTCTAACCACCAATCACAAGTGCCAATGAATTTGATTCTGGTGCCTATTCAGAAGGATGATTTTCAATTGACTTTAGTTGGGTTGACCTTGGATGGTAGTTTAGTACTTTGACCTGTTGCTAAACATGTCTTATAATGATCTATACTACCAGCAAAGCAACAACATGCAGAGTATCTCAGATTGGACATGCAGTTGACTTTATTTGTATATATAATTATAATATATATCTGGGTAAATTATAACGACCTCACTGCGACCTCACTGGAATCATAGTTAGTAAGGGGAATCATCCCCAAATGGCCGCAAGATTCAGGTTAGTGAAAAATTATAATTTACCCCAGAATATAGTTGTCAAAGGAGTTGAAGGGCTAGCGAACCCTTGGACTCGGACTGGCGTTTCATCAGTTTCTGACTGACGCGACGACTAGCGTCGCGTCACCGAGGATGGTCCCTACAAGTTACCATCCCCAAAATGATCACATTTCATCTTTAAAGTAGTCAAAACATATGGCTTTTGATGGTTATATCATGCTATATCCCAAAAAAATCCAAAAATATGTTTACCTTCAGTTGGACGGAGAAAAACCTGAAATTTTGTTGGTTGCCAAACTCCTCGATTTGTTTGTTGATCCATTCCAGTCCCATGTTTGCTGCATGTATCCTCCATCAAAAAGTAGCCGTGGAAAATCCTCAAAAGTGCCGTTTTTTTTTGGGGGGGACAATCAGGAACATCTGGTTGGTGGTTTGGAATATGATTTTTTTTTCCATAGATTGGGAATTTCATCATCCCAACTGAGAAACTCCATCATTTTTCACAGGGGTAGGCTCAACCACCAACCAGACATCATCGAACTCAATGATCCATTACAAATCCATTTCCCAGCCACGTTTGACTGGAGGATACCCTTCCGCCCCTGGACAGCGGTCGATCCGAGCTCAGGTGCGGGGATCTCCATTGGGAATGGAACCGATATATACATCAACCCCGACAAAAAGATAGATATGGGTATGGATCAATACCTATTAATACCATTTTTAGGGAGATGAACATCCATTTACCAGCTATTTTGATGTTCACCAGGGGTACAAGGTTTTGACACACTGCCATATATGATGATACCCTCTTGGTAATTTAACGTAGCCATTGGAAATGGCCATTTAGTTTGTTGATTTACCCATGAATAGCATGCTGATTTTCCAGTTTACTATCAGTATATGAAATCCCACTGATATATCTTGATAACTTTGTCAGTATATGTTACATTATTTTCTTATATCCACCTCGGAGCGCTAATTGGTGAACATGGCTGACCTTTTAGATGCAGGTCACGTGGGGTATCCATGCGTCAGATGCGTCAGATTCATCGCAATTTGGCCCGTCGAGTCTGGGAAACGATATGCTTCATGATGCTTCATGCGTGTCCCCACTTGACTCATGTTTTTGGGGTAAAGGTATTGGATTTGTTTTTGCATGTGATCAATGGGAAGTTCAGGATCCAAAAAAAAAATGGAGGTACGTTAGTACCATATGTTTGGCCATATTTTGTGGTGATATTCACTTACATAGGCCTTCAAAAAAGTCCTTATATATGGTAGGTACCTCCATTTTAGGATCCTGAAATTCCCATTGATGTGATTTCCCATCTATCCAAAATTCAGCCGGAGACTTCGACCGTTTTCAAGGACAGGTTGGATTCAATGGGACCAACGCGGTAAAATCATGACAACTCGGGATGGTTAGACCACTGATGTTCCGGGGATGGTTGCTTATTGACTTTACCACATAACATAGAATTGGAATCTTTTACCTGGTTGGTGGTTTCAAACATTGTTTTTTTTCCAGAATATATGGGATAATCCCAACCCCATTGACGAACTCATATTTTTCAAGATGGTTAAAACCTCCAACCAGTTACCCAATATTTGTTTTGGATTTTTTCTTGCAGTATCCACATATCCGACATACCATCTGGTTATTTAACATAGCCATGGAAAAGGCAGGTTTATAGCTGGGAAAATCATCTATAAATGGGCCATTTTCCATGGCTATGTTAAATAGCCAGTGGCTGGTGGCTTACATTCCATTGCTCCATGGCTTACACCGGTCCCCTTTCGGCAGCAAGGTCAAGCTTGGTCCAGGCCCGGGACTGCCGTATATGGGGGCCCTCCATCAATGGGGGTACTCCAATAGCTGGATGGTAACTTTTTCATGGAAAATTCCATTTTAAAATGGATGATGTTTTTTCGGAAACCTCCATAATTAGATGAGATATGATATTGCAGAGTCATGATAATGATATATGATATTATATGATAATTATATCTCAGACCCCAATTCATGGGCACCTGGGTTTGAGTTTTTTTGGGATTTGATTGTACTCTTTCGTGGAATCCGAACGTGTTGATTCCGTAATCCTTGATCCCAACCAAGACCATGGTCAAGTTGATGAGTTACACACTTCTGAAGAGTGTGTGCTGAAGTGTTCAGTCCTTCTCTCTTGTTTCGGAACTACCATCTGGTTATGACTAACAGTTCGCCATGGAAAGATCCACCATGCTATTAATAGGTAAACTATCTATAAATGGGTCATTTTCCATGGCTATGTTAAATAACCAGAGGGTAGCTTCGGAACTAGCACTTTTAGCATCTCTTTGCACTTTCCTGTGACAAAGATCTTGGCCAAGTTTGGCTCGTCCCCAGGATGGAGACGAATTCATGATGCTTCTGGACTCTTTGGAGGAAGATCCGAGCTGGATGGTTGGCCCTCACCCTTCAGCAACATTTTGTCATACTATATTTGGGTGATCGTGCTTATCTTTTTTAGCCATAAGTAGGGTGAAACTTGGCGGATGATTAGTTTACTACGGGATAATTATTAATTTTCGAACTTGATGCGGAAAAAAACACATGGTTTGATAGAAGAAACCAACAATATTATATAATATGTTGTGGTTTCTGTTGGGTAATTTTTGGTCAAGTCATTGGGGTACCCACGAGATCATCGAAGTTGAAGTGTCCGATGAGTTCTAGGATTTTTTTCGAAAAGAACTTACTGCTGGTCCCAAATAGACCGTATGTTTTATATTCAACAGCCCCAAATATTCCTAATATGTCATAATGATAGTTGAATATATAATATAAATCTTTTGGATTTAACTCTGTAAATGACCCCCCCAATATGGTCTTAAATATATATATATATATATATATGGTTTAGGCCCTACGTTTTTACTACGGTTTATGGGGTGGTGTTTTATATGGGGGAAAGTATTATTCCTTTGAGTTCTTGGTTGACCCATTGTTGGTCTATTCCAGACTGGTTCAGTAATGACCTTTGATGGCTCATCCAAGATGAGATGGTGGAGATTTACACATTTATGTAGATGGGTTGACGGCATCTCCACCAAGAGTTAGACTTGCAGGAGTCTGAGTGATCCACAAACCATGCATATTATATGGTATAAAATTGTTTATTTATACTATACTCGAAACATTGTATTTATGTAAATTGATATAGTATTTATATAATTATATAACATGTTACTACATATGATATTATGATATACACAACACACACATACACATACTATATACATGTACTCTATACGTATAGATATGTATCAGCGATAACTAAAAAAACTCTGAAACATCCGTCCCTATCCCATCCCCCATCCCATCACCCAAAAACGTCAAGGAGCGCGTTGAACTGATGTCCAAGATGCAGGAAACACGCAAGCGTCTGCAGGTGGGAGAAACTCCGCTCACCGGTTGGGATTTAATGGGATTCAAGCTTCGAACATGTTGATTTAATGGAATTTCATGGGATGAATGTGGAAATTCATGGGGATTGAATGGGATGAAAAAAGGGGAAAGAAATGGAGATATCATTGGGATATTTCATTGGGTATATATAATCAATTGATAAAGAAATTGGATGTGACTAGGGAAAATGCCATATAGTCGGATATACTGCAATATATGAGGGATCCAATTGGGATATAATGGGATATACATATACTATGTTTTCCTACAATATGTGATGGCCTACAATCTGCCTGCTGCTAAGTTTGTTTTCAACCATGTATATAAATGATCGGTTTATCCACCCTTAATGGGGGTGACTCACCCTCAAAACTGGAGATTTGGAAGTAATCTATGATAGCCAAGTTGGCTTTGTTCACTATATATGACAACGAGGGTTTATGGTATATTGACAGAACAAACAATGCTCATGCTACCTTCGGCAATGTCGATGGAGGAAGCCTTGGTATGATGTTTTTCAGTCTTTCCTGTCAGCAGATGTTGGAACTTGCAATATATCGCAACACATACTGTGGATGGAAGAAATCCTGCACCAGTTGATAGATGGTTTCTCCCATTATTTATAGGGTGTCAACCATCCTTTTGGTGGTGCAGGATTTCGCAACCATCCACAGTAACTCATCAATGTTCAAAGCACTTCTGAATTTGATCGTTTCTCCCAGCTGAAATGGGCAAACTATCTTGAACATATGGATCCCAAGCGCAATAGTGGAACAGCATTTGATGGTCAATACCAGGAAATCCAAGTCTTTACCAGGACCCAACTGGAACACAGAATTCCCTTCTTAGCAAACCAGGCTTCTTTTACCAGAAAACTTAAGGTGTTTCTGAAAATTAGGAGTTTACCCACCAAATAGCCATGAAAAACTAGGAGTTTACCAGAAAAAAAATCAGGGGGTGTCTCTGGAAAACCTCGAATCTCAAATAGCCATGATGCTCAACTCTTGAGATTCGAGGTATAGACATGTTCAGACAGATTTCTCTGGATATCCGATATGTTTCCGTTGACAAACCATCGGTGGCAGGGTCTTGGAGGTTTCCCCCGAAATGTTCAACCCATAAATGGCAAGTGAAACAGAGTGAACATGATGTATCATGCATAAATATCTGCATAAATGGTAATTTCAATTCAATTACCCATAGATACCCATAAATGGCAATTTCAATGCATTTAAATATGAATCTCAATATGTTTCCGTATAGTGTCAATCCATGAGGGTTTGAGTGATTCATTGGATTGGTTTAAGGACATTTTACAGGAAGCCCCCTTATTTCATGGGAAAATTGAGGGTTTCCTGTAGATGTCCCAACAAAACCAATCCAATGAGTTTGGAATTAATCATAGACTATATACTAAGGAACAGTAGAATGAAGTACAGTATATCTATCCATGCCTATGCCATATTTATGGAAGTAATCTATGATAAGTTTGGAATTCAGGCAGTTCCCAAAACAATCGGCGCCGAAAACTGCAGGAGGTCCGGGAGCCCAAGAAGGAGCCGGAAGCCATCGAGGATGGAGGCGCGGTTGGAGTGGGATGGGAACAAACGCGCTGGAAGTTGGTGTTTTTGTTGTTTAAAGAGATGCGGGGTTTAACCAACTGAAGTAACTATGTTTATCTGGTTGGTCGTGTGGAACATGTTTTTTTCCATAATATATGGGAATAATCATCCCAATTGACTTTCATATTTTTCAGAGGGGTACGTATACCACCAACCAAGCTATGGTAGATCTTTCATAGATGTATCGAACTGCTTGATGGGGTTTCTAAACCCATGAGGTTGATGTAGTATGGAGGTTTCCGTTTTGTCATGGGGGTAGCCCCAAACAAATCATCCAAACTTCGACCATCTTTTTTGGAAACTCATGGTGACTTGGATCACCCACTTGAAGAAACCACCATATGTACCCCAAATCCATGTGTGTTTATCATTTTCCCTATTCAAATGTCAAAAAAGGGGTGGTACACCCCATTGTCAGATATACCAAAATCATATTAAGTTGGTGACAAATGTCATTACATCCTCATGAAATCCTAGCTGTTTCATGGAGTTCGTTCTATATCCAAATTCTATCCCAAGTATATGAAATCCTTTTTCCCTAGTCAAGTGACAAGAAATTGCCTGGTGAAATCGCCATGTCTACCAGGTTTTATCCAATCGTGCCAGGATACCAAGGATACCGAGGGTCAGATCACCTTGATGAGCAAGAAGAAAGTGGAGCACAGTGTCTTTGGCATCGTTTCCCTTGGGATCCCTTGGGATGGGCAAACTGCTCCAGATGTAGACAAGCCATGGTTTCCCTTCAAACCAACCGGTGAGTTTTTCACAAGATTATTATGTTAAGGGAGGGTATTTCACCTAATCTTAGGGATGAGTATGGGGGTAGATATGGGGGTACCTCCCGTGAACATGGTAAGAAATGGGGTGATGGATGATGGCGAAGCCCTTCTTGGGTGGACCACCTTTGGCTGAATCCCCATGAGAACAAGGCGGAGCTTTTAACATCGAAACTTGGACTTCTCTTATCTGGTTGGTGGTTTGGAACCATGGAATTTTATGACTTTCCATAAACAGTTGGGAATGGAATAATCATCCCAAGTGACTATATCATTTGTTTTTCAGAGGGGTAGGTTCAAACCACCAACCTGTTATATATGTGTATCATGTTGTATCTAAAATTAACATTTTGATCCATCTAAGATGGGTTGTATTTTGACCAGTTGCAGTTGGGTTTATGGCCACAAAATTTATGGGATTCATGGAGGAAACATGGATTATGGAGCAATCAACTTGGGAAGATTTGTAGGTGTAGTATTGGTCAAAATGTAAGACTCTGCGAGCCACAGAGTTTGGCCATTCTTAGTCAAACTAAGTGTCAACTGAGCGAGGAGTGTGAAAGACATATATATCATATATTTTAGCTCTTATGATTGCCATTTATGATTCAACAATGTAAGGGAGTGAATCAATGATATAGAAATGGCACATCCTGGATGATTCAATAGGAATTTACATGGATTTACTGAATGATATCTATGGTCTATGGTTATCTATGGATGGTTTAGATTGGTTTACAATCCCTAGATACCATCAGCATGAGGGACGTGAATCGTGGTTCGGATTGAGGGGAACTTTCACAAAATCAAACATTTCAGCCAGAAGTAGGAACATTGTTTTATCCCGGAATTCCGGACGTGATATTCCCCACCTTGGAATTTAGAGAACAGATGACTGGCAGGGTGACGACCCTGAATGATAGCTAAGTTGGTTTGGTTCACTGAATTCTGTGGTTATGGCAGATATATCGAACCAGTTAATGCGGATTTGAAATCAGCAAACATCACTGGGGGGGCACTTATTTTTGGGAGGTTGTAAATAAGGTAAGTTCCCGAAGTAGGTTTATCCCGAAGAATAAATATATATATAATTATAATTGTATATTATAAGCGTGTTATAAGTATAACCACTAAACATGTTTATGTCATAGGTTTATCCCATTTATATTCCGTAAAACTCAGGTTTTCGTACCAGCGTTCCCAACGGGTGATGCACATGTCATACCAGCGCTTGCTGGGCCGGGCCTCCCAAGAGCGAGCGGCGCTGAGGCTGCTTCTCGATCAGTTGCAACACCTAAGTCCCACTTCCGATGCTCCCAGGTTTGGCCGAAAAAAACGGAATTCAGCTGCCGAAATCGTGACCTTTTTTGGCGAAGAAACATGGGGATTTACCATCTAAAATTGGGATATGATGAGAATATACTGGGTATATGACCATGATCTTGATCTTTAAGTACTTCCCCTGTTTGATTGGTTCATGTTTGTTTCAATATTTTTGACGGCGTTTGTATAGCCATCAATTTCTTTTGGGAAGTTTTAACTATCGAATACTTGGGGATATAATTGAGAAATGATGGATGGTTATGAAATGGGCTTAGTAACCTAGCTGGTTTATGGGGGGGATTCTTACAATCCACAATAGGGATACCTATCAACCAATATGTTGTGAGGGGATAGGGGTATGTTTCATGGCCAGCAATGAAGTTGCAGGAAAGTGTCAGGGTTACAGTACAGGGTATTACAGGTTGCATACTGTGGATGGAAGGATTCTTGCACCACCTTGGATGGTTGAAACCCTCTCAATCATGGGATAAACCACTTATCTACCGGTGCAGGATTTCTTCCACAGTATGTTGTGTCTTTGATTTTTCTACCCAAATCCTTGATTCCAAACGCTTTTTTTTGCCCCGGGCAAGCCAAGATGCATCATGACACATGTTGGGGATCGGTGAATGTTGGGGATCCCTATGGATCCCTATGGATCCAGGCTTCAAAATTGATCCCTTCCCCTGACATTGATGCCATTTGATATTATAATATATATATATATACATAATCAATATATATATATACATTTAATTAGCCTCCAGTAAATTGACATGTAGACCCTGGCTTTTTTTCGGGGTTGGAAGATTAGTTTCCTCTAAACGGTGATTTTCAGGGTCGATGTTAATTTACCAGAGGGTATGTTATACACAGCACATGTTCGCCATTGAATCCCAATGCAGATGGGATTGCAGGTACCATTGGAAAACGAATTCCTTGCCCCTAGCATTAAATATATACCCATAGGATCCATGTATGCTATATATATGGTAACATGGATCCCATCAATATACCCCAGTCATGTTAGCATATATACCAGCACCATGGATCCGTCATGGGATATGAGCACCTGACTGGTTTAATAGTGGCCACGTTCATGGGACTTAAGATCTCCGGGGTTGGATTAATAACACACCATTGACATGGATCAAACATCTTAAGTGGCCTTTAAAATCTATTTAAGATTATTAGTGGCCTCAAGTGACAGTGCTTCAGTATGAAGCTTTCATATCTTAAGTGGGTCAGTTGGTGCATGGTTTGTTGAGCCATGGCCAACTTGTCTCCGATCCGCGAGGTGGTGTCGGCCGGACTTGCTGCAGTTGGGTCTCAGGGGAGGGGGGAAACCACTGGCCATCACTGGCCTGCGGCGTGACACTGGGCTGGTTGCTTTGCTCCCTCTCCACACGGCGCAGCGGTATGCTTTCAAGTATTTCTAGTTTCCAAATGTGAAATTCTGCCATTTGGATGGTTGCGAGTTACGTTATTTTTATAGTTCTGTTAAATATTTATAGTCGCTTTCGTTTACCCTTGAATAGAAAACTCTTATTTTTGTGAGTATACCAGTGCCATCTCCTCCTTTGGTATACTTTGTTCTTTTTTGGATCTACCCTTTGAGGAGATGAGAAAAAAAGGGGCCACAGTCTGGTGAACATAACTCCAATTTGTTTATGGTTTATGACTTTATGGCATGATACTTCCGACATCTTAGAACCATGCTTAGTGTTTTTTTTTTGCCCCCCAAACTTCTAGTTGGGGGCCCCAAAAAATTGTACCGTAGCCAATTCTTGGACGTCAAAGCCACTTGTCTTACCTGGAAAAATCCACGATGATGGTTGCCTGGAAGAATCCACACGGATCCACTGGGAAATTGGACAAATTGCTACGATTTCAACGGGCCATGTTGGGAGGACCAGGTCCATTAGGTCCAATAGCCATTGTCTTAGCAGATCATTATCCAAATATTGTACCCCATTCCATCCTATGCTTTTCAAAACATGTTTTCTTACCGTATTGGGAATAAATCCCAAAGTTCTGGAATGTATTGGACAAACATCGTTGACAACTATTGGATAGCGCACATTTCACACAAAAGATTTTTGATCAAATGCCTCAGCTGGTTCAAAAGTTTAAAAGATCATGTTTGATCTGTTCATCCCCATGTTTGACGCTTAAACGCCAAATACATGGGAAGCGCCCTAACCTGCTTGGGGGTTCAGTTCCAGTTAGCAAGTGCATAATAATATGCAATAATAAGCATAGTATACCCCAGTGTCAAATGGCCAACAATTCCATATCCCTAATATTAATATGTAATGACCCCGATGTGAACCCAATAAATGAATAGATCCAAGACACAACCAAGGTTTATGAGTTGGTGTTGAACATTAATTGGAAAAGATTAATTACGTATAGTTGGATATGGTTGGTTAGTTCTTGACCATTATTTGCCCACTAATATTCCAGTCGTTGTCCAATTTTTGGGGCATATAAACCATCTACGATTGCTGGGATGCACAGGCAAGTGTCCATTTGAATACGTGATTTCCGTCCTGCGGAGATGGCGGGAGCACGTAGGGTGTGGCTTCCAGAACCATTGATTTCTGTGTGAACCTTTTGATTCTTGCATAGTACCCTTTCAAGGATAGAAGAGTCATTTATCAGCATTCAAGTCGAATTTTACATGTCTATCTTTTTGATCGTTGGATACAGTAGAGCCGTAGATTTACCATGATTTACCTGCATATGCGCATTTCCCCCTAATACAGTCAGAAAATAAGCCGGCATCATTGAAAAATGATGCGTAGTGGATACCTGTGTGTATTTACTACATTGACATGCAATGACCCTGAAAATACGCCATGGCGTATAGCAAGCCACAAAAGGACAGACCAGGACAGACAAGTGGTTTGTGGTTTCAAACATTTTTTAAATGTTCCATTTCATATATGGGATAATTAATCATCCCAACTGACGAAGTCCATCATTTTTCAGAGGGGTAGGTCAACCCCCAACCAAACAAGTGTTTCCAGGATGATTTCCAGGTCTCCCAAGGTCTCTAACTTTCCACCTTTCCAACGGGCTTGCTACAAGTAACTTATAACTTGGCCAACCAATCTCATTCCAATGTGGAATACCACCAGCCCAAAATGAATGAACCCATCCCCCCTGGGGCCCCTGGAGATGAAACACCCCTGAAGTGATGCACTTCATGAGTGGTTTCATCTCCTAAAAGTATGGTTTTTGGGGTGTTATATAAGGGCCCAATGCTATCACCAATATCAACGGAGGTTGATCCATTCTGATTGCGGCAAGCAGCCACGCCCCCCGGGGCTGTTTGCCAAGGCAAGATGCCCAGCCAGCTGCTGGCAACGGTGAAGCCAGGGCCCCAAGGGCACTCATGGTATGTCTTGGCACACAGAATGAGTTTTGTCTGCGATCCTCGGGTTGCAACCATGCGTGGTGTGTCAATATCCTCCTGCCCTCCCTTCCGCTTGATCCCTTCGCGAATGAGGCAGACGCAATGGACGGAATCTCCGCTGCCGATTTCAGGACAGACCCCATAATAATTGCCGGCACAAGGGCAGCGAACCTAAACGTATATAAGCAAATCCAACTTTGCATGTGCTTAATCATGCAAGTAAATTAAGTTGTGTTCTGTATTTTGTAGCTGCAAAAAAGGTACCATGCATCGAATTGTGTAGTTGTGCACCCTATGCTTTGTGTCTTGTACCTATCAAAATCCTCTGCACAACTCCTCCCCCCTTATCCGAACCCTGATGCAAGTAACACTTCGGGGGCCCTGTAAACAAGTCAAGCGTTCGTGGTGTTTCCCATCGGTCTGGGGTTGATTCTAAGATTTGCAACAGGCACGCAGGCGTTTGACAAAGGCAGTCTTGCACATAATTCGAGGGACTGTTAGACTTTCCAGGGCTGTTTGTCTATATGATACAGTAATTGTTCCCAGTGGGTTTGGAAACTTTGACTTTTCCACTTCTGATCCCCAACTGGTCACGCTAATTCACGAACAGGTGAAAGGCAAAACTACACAAAACCAGCGGCTTATACCCAACTTTTTTCTGGCATATAGTCCTGCATTGTTACGTTCTTCATGTTGATGATGCCGATGATACGTAGCGATGCTTTAAAATTGAATGACTGTCATGAGGCAATGAGAGTGGCGATAGCGACGATGACAGTGATATATTAAATATACTATTGGTTGGTGTTCCTGCGTTTTCTTGATGCATGCATGCATGCCTTAACTTTTCATATCCAAAGAAACAAGTTTTTGCAACATCTCCCCTCTTTCACATCTCTTTCACGTCAAATCATTGCAAGTGTTTTTGACAACCGATCTTGGATGGCCTAGCAAGACCAGGTTGCCCCCCAGAATCACGTTGCCGGTGCTGAAACATTTTTTCCGTGGTTTTCAATGGTTTCTAATACCTTGTCTGGCTCAAAGGAAACCCCGTTCTTGTTCAGGATACGGAAACCAAAGTGTCAAACGTATATACAATGTGCCCCCCCCCCAGTGATGTTTGTTGGTTTATAAACCCCAGTAACTATAGTTATAAATACTTCAAACTATAGTTATTGGAGTTACAAACCAACTTAGCTATCTATGGGGCCCACTTTGTATATATATATATATAATTACATATAATTGCATTTATATTTGAAGAATATATATATACACACACGTATATATAGTACGTCCCAACTATTCCTTGTTTTCTTGATTCGTTTCAATAGTTTGAAGTGTAGAATCCATACCGGGAACACCAAAATCAGATCGTGATTTACTTGCAATTGAATATTTATAAATACATAATACTGATCTTGCCCGTGCATGCGGCCATGTTATTCAGTTCCAAGAGTCAAGCTGGTTGTGAAACCAATGTTTTTTTTTCTCGAGGAACAACCCCCCAATTGTGCTTTGATTTTTACATAATTTTACCATTATCAAAACTGCAAAACACATGTTTTGTCCTGTGTTCCTTGCAATGTGGTACCCTCTGGTAAACATACAAAAAGCTATTGAACATGGCCATGGAAATAGTGAGTTTTCCCATAAAAAAATGGTGATTTTCCATGGCAAACTGTTAGTCATAACCAGATGGCAAAACGCCAAGTCATTGTGTTCTTAGGTCGTTGTCGGTCTACTACATTGATGCCGATGTGGAAAATCCCCATGGTGCCAAGTCATGGTAACTTCGTGATGAGACGACATGAATCATGGTCTATTCCTAAGATTCTGTGATCTGGTTCACATGTGTTTGATTCTTATTTATTTGATTTTATTTGAACATATACAGGTATCCAGACATCATGATGTTTGTAAAACCTTTGCTGTTCTCGCAGACATCGAAAACCGAGGGTGTTCACCTCGTTGCATACATAAAATGTTGGGGGTGTTTTATCCTGTTAAATTCTCAATTGTTCATGTTCACATACTGATTCAAACGGGGGTTTTGATCCATAGACGCATAAAATGTGCCCCTCCCCAGGTTTGGTTGTTGGTCTATAAACCTCCTGAATACTATACAATACCATAGCCATAGTATATTATAGTTATAAGTATCACTACACCATCGTTATAAGCATCATAAACCATAGTTAGAGTTACGTATGTTCTCCAAATTAGCAAACTGAATCCCATTAAATCCATTTACCATCACGTTATTTAACATAGCCATGGAAAATCCATTAAAAATGGAGGTTTATAGCTGGGCAATTCATCTATAAATGGTCCATCTATACCATGGCTATGTTAAATAACCAGAGGGTAAATCCCATTATATCCCCTATAAATCCCCATAGATCACCATTAAATCACCATAAATCACCATTAAATCCTAATAAATGGTCGTTGGGTAAAGCACCACCAAAGGTCATCCAACGGGGGAAATGATGGGACGCAGGAAGCTCGTCACAGAGCTGGAACGGCACCTGCAGGACCTCGAAATTGGGAAAAGTCCAGGTTTTCAATGGAAAAATGTCTACAATTACTCAGGCTTGTTTTTGTTTATATTCATATATAACAATATATAACATATAATTACATATATATATATTTATAATGTATATTTATATATAAATATTATATACATATGAACTTATTCTTAGATTTATGATTTAAAATATGAATATGATTATATGTATATATATATATATGTATGTATGCTGTATGTGTATATATATATACATATATATATATATATATGGGTAAATTATAACGACCTCACTGCGACCTCACTGGAATCATAGTTAGTAAATGGAATCATCCCCAAATGGCCTTAATTCAGGTAGCTTGATTGTACATGACATCTTTCCACCAACAACGCGTTTTGGAAAGGTTCGTGTCTTATTTTCCCAAGGAGCTGCAGCATGGACGACTGGAATTAAACCTGGACCTAGGTTTGGACGGCAACAACAACTTTGTGACATCTTGCATGATTACTTCACCAAGTCACGTCCTGGATTGGTTGACTTACCTTCACTTTCTTTGGCAGGTGGCCTTGAGCCGTGGCCATTTGATATGGAACAACAAACAAAGAGCTGGGAAAACAAAGAGAAGGCACTCAAAGCAGCACAGAGGAGAACAAGGACCCAAAGACAGTTTCACCAGTGACACAACCACCCAATACGGGTGGATGCAAAAGACATGGCTGCCCTCTGCTTGCGCTGGGGGGGGTCATAAATCAACGGACAACGGCCTTAATTCAGGTTAGTGAAATATTATAATTTACCCATATATATATATGTATGTACATATTACGGGAGGGTAGAAGTGTTTTTTCTCTCAATGCCACATGAACTGCCGGTTCAGCAGTTCAGCTGGGATGATCCAGGTGTGTCAAAGAATTTGCACATATCGAAGGGGACAAGGACTCAACCTATCTCAACGTAAAACAGTCATAGTTCCAACAGTAATTTTGACTCATGGTTTTGAACATGCTTTGAACATAGTTTGGGCAGGTTTGGATTGTGATTCCTCATTGATTGCGATATCTTTTGCCTGGCTTTGAAACTGGCAATCAGGTTTGTATATTGTATAAAACTATACATTCACATACAGATATTGTACTTATTTTGTTGAAGATCCGATGGACAAACTACACTTCCATGATTGTGTCAAGGATGAGTAATCACCCAGCTTAAACCATTCATTGAAGTGGAATTGTTCATCTTCAACACGGAAACAAAGATATGGTCAATGGCTTATGATTGGATTGTGGGAAGGATTGCACGTCTCATGGTCAAAACATTGTCTATGTTCTTATAAAAGGAGATGGCCGTACCCAGTACCCCCCATTATTGGGGGTTTATGCCCCCAATTTGTTGAAGAATCAGATCCATAGCTTGTTCCAACATATTGTTCATGATGGTGGGATGATTGCATATCCCATCCACGGCATTTTAAATCCAAACTTAATATTTTTCTCATAGACGTGAACATCAAATCATATTTGATTCGCCACGAAAAGAAAGCCTTTTATAATCTTTAGATGATGTTCCCATCAAATCCAAATTGTTGCTGCTAAAATCTATCATTTTATATTTTGTGGCTCGCCCCAGTTGGTAAGCGGGTTATCCACCCAGCTACAAGTAGTGCAAGTGTGGTTAGTCCAGGTTGGGGTTGTAGCGCAGTTACCGACTGGGGTGAGCCACCAAGCATCAAATTAAGTCCTAAGGAGCACTTACTTTACTTCATAGCTGTTGTTCCCATCAAATCATTATTTTTCATTATTTTTCGTACAATCTACAAATTCTGTATCAGTGCTTAAGACTTTAAGGATCACCGGGGATGTTCCGACGAAAAAAGGAGTCGGCGAGGTTGCGAGAAGACCTGCAGATGGAGCGGGAGGAGAGATGGGAATGGTGATGTCTTTGTGGTAATCAAAAGATCACAACGGGCACCATGCCGAATCTCCGTAGTTCTAAGTGCTGGTCACCGACACGAGCCAGAATGTGGTGCATATTGGAGGGTCTATAAGGAAATGGTGATTTTATCTATCCAGTGGTGAAGGGAGGGGGCCGTTCGGAGCCAGGGGTATCCATATTCCCTGGGAGTCAGTTGGAGGTTTCCAAGCATATGATAGTTATTGGGATTCAATGGGACATAGCTGGATATATTGATCAACATACAATTGGAAGATAATGCACATTGGATTTGGATTCAAACCGTTTGACGGCTGAGTTGGGTGGATAAGCAACGCCAATCAGAATTGTTTTTTGCTTATGTCTACTGGTATTCTTGATGATATTTCATGGGCTAGTAGTTTTTCTAAAACATTCGGATAACTATGGATTAATTAATTACTGTATTTGTTTTGCCATGAAAAGAAAGCTTTTTATAATCTTATTTGATGTTCTCATCAAATCCAAATTGTTGCTGCTAAAATCTATCATTTTATACTTTGTGGCACGCCCCAGTTGGTAGGCGTGTTTTCCACCCAGCTTCAAGTAGTTCAAGTGTGGTTAGTCCAGGTTGGGGTTGGAACGCACTTACCGACTGGGGTGAGCCACCAAGCATCAAATTAAGTCCTAAGGACCACTTACTTTACTTCATAGCTGTTGTTCCCATCAAATCATTATTTTTCATTATTTTTCGTACAATCTACAAATTCTGTATCAGCGCTTAAGACTTTAAGGACCACCGGGGATGTTCCAACGAAAAAAGGAGTCGGCGAGGTTGCGAGAAGAGCTGCAGATGGAGCGGGAGGAGAGACGGAAATGGTGATGTCTTTTTGGTAATCAGAAGATTACAACGGGCACCATGCCGAATCTCCATAGTTCTGACAGTCACTGTTCCAAGTGCTAATCACCGACACGAACCACAATTTGAGAACATGTGATTAGAATGTGGTGCAAATTGGAGGGTCTATAAGTATACTTACTTATGCGTGTATATATATATATATGTATATATATATATATATGTATAAATAATTATATGTACACATTATATATAAAAGTGGAAGAAACATGTTAGTTTATGATTATATATATATATATACATATATCTACATATTATGTACTTTCAACGGAACTGGTGATTTTATCTATCCAGTGGGGAAGGGAGGGAGCCGTTCGGAGCTAGGGGTTTATGTATCCATATTCCCTATTTCGCACGCGGAGTCAGTTGGAGTTACAATCAGAGCTTTACCAAACATAATATGATAGTTATTGGGATTCAATGGGACATAGCTGGATATATTGATCAACATACAATTGGAAGATAATGCACATTGGATTTGGATTCAAACCGTTTGACAGCTGAGTTGGGTGGATAAAGCAACGCCAAACTGAATTGTTGTTTTTTGCGTATGTCTACTGGTATTCTTGATGATATTTCATGGGCTAGTAGTTTTTTTAAAACACTCGGATAACTATGGATTAATTGCTGTATTTGTTTTGCCACGAAAAGAAAACCTTGTATAATCTTTAGATGATGTTCCCATCAAATCCAAATTGTTGCTGCTAAAATCTATCATTTTATACTTTGTGGCTCGCCCCAGTTGGTAAGCGGGTTATCCACCCAGCTACAAGTAGTGCAAGTGTGGTTAGTCCAGGTTGGGGTTGTAACGCACTTACCGACTGGGGTGAACCACCAAGCATCAAATTAAGTCCTAAGGAGCACTTACTTTACTTCGTAGCTGTTGTTCCCATCAAATCATTATTTTTCTAGTACAATCTACAAATTCTGTATCAGTGCTTAAGACTTTAAGGATCACCGGGGATGTTCCGACGAGAAAAGGAGACGGCGCGGTTGCGACAAGAGCTGCAGATGGAGCGGGAGGAGAGACGGAAATGGTGATGTTTTGGTGGTAATCAGAAGATCACAACGGGCACCATGCCGAATCTCCATAGTTCTGACAGTCACTGTTCCAAGTGCTAATCACCGACACGAACCACAATTTGAGAACATGTGATTAGAATGTGGTGCAAATTGGAGGGTCTATAAGTATACTTACTTATGTGTATATATATATACATATTTAATACAATATTTTTTAAGTGGAAGAAACATGTTAGTTTATGAATATATATATATATACATATATCTACATATTATGTACTTTCAACGGAACTGGTGATTTTATCTATCCAGTGGGGAAGGGAGGGAGCCGTTCGGAGCTAGGGGTTTATGTATCCATATTCCCTATTTCGCACGCGGAGTCAGTTGGAGTTACAATCAGAGCTTACCAAACACAATATGATAGTTATTGGATTCAATGTGATATGGCTGTATATATTACTCAACAATATAACATATAATTGGAAGATATTGGAAGATAATGTACATTGGATTTGGATTTAAACCGTTTGACGGCTGCATTGTGTGGATAAAGCAACGCCAAACAGAAATAGGTGTTGAATTGGATGTCTACTGGTATTCTTGATTATATTTAATCGGCTAGTAGTTTTTCTAAACACTCGGATTTCTATCGATTTCTAATTACTATGTTTTCTTGTGTTTTTTTACTTTACTGGAGGGTACCTGTTTTGTCTTTTTCGTTTTAATGTATGGCAGAGTACATGAGAAGATGATGTCATGGAGATTATCACAGTGATATCTATGCCAATGATAGAGACCGTAGAACTGGTACGTTGGTGCCGTTTTTGGCCAGCTTGGTGGCCAGAGGTGGTATGGGTATGGCTAGTTCACGCCGCCTAAGTTGGGATATGGGGCCCCTATGACTTTGGTGGAAGCTATCCACTTAGTTCACTGGAACTGCACGGAACCAAGAGCTGATTGAATGTGCCGATGGAAGGTCAAAATGGAACTCCATGGGGTAATGAACAGTATACCCCCAACGGAGTCCTTGTTTACTATTGTGGGAGGACCAGAACCCATTATAACCCATTTACCACATCTTAAATCCAAGCTTACATGCTATTTTCCCATAAACATCTTTATTTTGTGATGATTCTCTATGAAAAGAACAATGTTCATAGACACTATTTTCCCATGAAATCGCATTTGTTTTGTTTCTGCTAAAGTCTACTATGTTTAAGGACAACACCCTACAAGTGGGTGCGCCATAGTTAGCTAAGTTCGTTAGCTAGATCAACTAGGGTTTAATGGCAGTTCTACATGCCCCTATAATTACGACATAGGGTCTTAAACGTAAAACCCTAAACCACTTGGGGCAGCAATAATTGTATTCCCTCCGATAATACAATATTGCGCGGTAATGTGATGAAGTGTCCAAGAAGATTCCCTCATTTAGTTCGATGATGTTCCCAGCTCGAAACCTCCATTTGGTGTGGGAACTGTCAAGCCAGCCACGTTTGATGACACCGAAGGGTATCTCTTCTTATATTTACACCAAGTTGTTTTTTCTATATATATGTATATATCTGGTTGGTGGTTTGTTATTTTCCATAATATATGGGATAATCCTTCCCATTGATGAACTCATATTTTCAAGATGGTTAAAACAAATATATATATAATAATAATAATAATAATATATATATAATTATAATATATATATATATATTATACTGGTTAAGCCCATGGAATGCCATGATTTCTCGTCCGAAAAATATGGGCTGATCTTGTCGTCCCAGGAGTCGGCGCGCTTGCGGCAGAAGCATCAACAAGCCGTGCAGGCGGGCGCCGGTGGTTGGGTGTCCAACCCCATCAGTCCGTCGCGTGTTTCGACGCGGGAAAAACGAACGAAAAACGCGAACTGGGTCAACGTGACCATAGGTGATCTGAAAAAAATACTACCAATTACTTTACTTCGAGTGATCCCCACCCTGGCATTTCAAGTCATATATTCTGACCCATATTTTGACATTTTACCTAACATTCTATCTGACATCTATTCTGATATTCTATCTGGCATATCTTCCAGCATGTTATCTGGTATATATTTTGGCGTTCTATCTGGCATATATTCTGGCATTCTATGTGGCATTCTTTCTCGCATATATTTTGGTGGCATTCTATGTGGCATATATTCTGGCAGTCTATCTGGCATATATTCTGGCATATATTCTGGCATTCCATTTGGCCGCTGAGGTCCAGCGGTGCCCACTGAGCTCGGAAGGTCCCAGGTTGAGGTCCAGCGGTGCCCATTGGGCTCGGAAGGTCCCTGGTTGAGGTCCAGCGGTGCCCACTGCGCTCAGAACCTTGCGGTTGAGGTCCAGCCATGCCCACTCAGATCGGAAGCCGGCAGTTGAGGTCCAGCAGTGCCCACTGTGTGTGGAAGTTGGCGAAGAGATTAGCGAAGAGTTGGCAAGGCGGAAGTGGACGTGGAAGTGGAGGCAGAGGTGGTGGAGGAAAAGGAGGAGGACGAGGAGGAGGTGGAGGAGAAGGAGGGGGAGGAGCCGGAACAGCTGTGATAAAATCTAACAACCCTCACCTGGCAGGTGGGTAAATTCTTTGAGTTTCTGTTCGCCGCCTCAATATTTATAATTTTGTTTATCTTCCATGGTTTTCCCCTTGTTTTCCATGGTGTTTCCCAGAGTTTTCTCTTTCAATCAGTACCCCATCTAAATCCTCATGTATTATGGTTAAGTAAGTCCCCATGCATTTTCAATTCCGAACACACGCTACATGGGTTTCGCGTAAAAAGTAGGGTATTGACTAATGATAGTCGGCCGTCATATTCTGCATTACCACTATAAACCATAGTTATTGGAGTTATACGTATCATAAGCCATAACCCAATATGTGACACTGTATACCACCAATCCACCGATTAATCATCATGTTCTGCATTACATTTGCATACCCCACTTTTCGTCACGCCCAAGATTCATTGGCAGCTTAAGGGTATTCCCAAAAGATACTCACCCAAAACAACCATGGCCTTAGGTTTGATAACCCCTGATCAGCCCTTAAGCCGCCTGTTATCGTGGGGCAGCCGGTTTGCCTTTGGCTTTGTATCCCAATTTCTATACATATACACACATATATATATATATGCACTATGCATATAGAAAGATATAGGTGCCTACATATATATATATATATATACATACATTTTATATATACACACATTATATATATACATACATTATATATACATACATGATTGCATAGAGTGTAAATATCATTGCATATACATTTACATATCTAACTACATGACGCTGGTGATATTTTTCCACGTGTATTCCGATCTCCGATCATTCCGATCTTATTTGGCCGGTGAAAACCATTAAATCCTACGGTTAATCCCCATGTTCACTATATACTTCAATCTCTTTTGTTGATGGTGAAATACCTATTTTTCAAGGTTTGATACAGATGTTAGGTTCCATCATGTTTGAAACCTTTCTCAAATTCCATTCTCTTGAGGGGTTAACCATTAGTTTCAATGGTGTTCTCTTGAAGTTTCCATTGAATGTTCTATTCAAACCCATTAAATCCCCATGGATTCCCTACCTGTGGGTGTTGTTTTTTGTAAGCGGATACAACCATAGTTAGTTCGGGGCCAACTTATGGTGGAACCCCTATGGCTTCATGTGCCATGAAGTTCCAACTCTCACTAGATCGTCATTGTCCCATGCAATTCCCATGATGGGACAATTTTCATGGGACAACTCTAAATTCCAAAAAAAAACCAGTCGATTCAATCCTATGAAAATGGCGCAACTCCCATTAATCCATGAATTCCCATTAATTATATTCATTGTCCCTGTTTTCTGCTGACTCGGAATGAACCCAGGACTGGATGCACGAAAAAGCGATCTTCCAAAACCAGATCAACGAGATGTGACGCTGCGAAATCCCATGGGACATATCATGGGAAATCTTTGAATGGTTGGTGATTTCATGGGGAGTTCATTGAGATTTGATATTTCAGCAACAACACTTGGAATTGTGCCACAAAAGTGGGACTTTTTGTCGGATTCACTATGCTAATACTTGCGACTGAATCGGGATTTTGGTGATTCAATGGTGATTTCATAAGATCAATAGGATGTATAATAATTAAACATATGATATCTGAAAATTAGGTAGTTGTTGCCCCGGTTCGTTAGGAAACTTCGTTTATAGCTCGGCGAACTGTTGGATTTATCGTGGATACATCATCGAACTAGTTAGATGTGGAGCTTGAACTGGCAGCTATCTTGGGTGTGCTGAGTTTTTTTTTGATGGGAAACTTCATAGTATGGGCAATGGAGATATTATATATAGTTATATAGTATAAATGAAAGATTACGTTTGTTTCCACATGTTTGGTGGTTTGAACTCGGCTGTTTTTATTTTCATTCCAATGCCACTCGGAAGATCGAACAAGTCTAACTCAGGTTGAGAGGTTGAGAGGTTGAGAGGTTGAGAGGTTGAGACCACCAAACATCAGAAACTCCATTCGGATCCCAGGAGTGGTTCTTTCAGGTTCTCAAAGGAATATAGAAAGGCTCCTCTTGCCAGACTGCCGCTGCAAAATCTCCCAAGGATTGATGATTTTCCTATGAAGATGTGTTGAGGCTGATTTGTATCATTTAGATGCTGATTTAGATGCTGAAAAACATGGTGTTCCCCATGTGTTCCCATGTTTTTTCTTCCATTTCATCACAGATGTTCCCATTGAGTCATCGAAGTGGGAGATTTTCCCATGAAAATCCCATGATTTCCCGATTTCACGACACATTTCCACGTGCCCAGGCAGAAGAGGCTGGAGAAAATGGCCAAGTCCACGTCGAGCGGATCATCTCCTGGAGGTGCCCCCAGTAGACTGGGCGTTCAGTTGGTGAATCTACACGGTGCCCCTGTTAGTAGACCATAGGAAACCATAGGAAAATGTGGGGTTGAATGGGATTTTTATAGCTGATTTATGATAGCTAAGTTGGTGAACATAACTCCAATAACCGTAGTTTATAGCTGATATATCGAACTAGTTAATGGATGTTAATGGGGTTTACAAAGCAATTTATAACTAGGGGTAGATGGGGGTGGGTCAAATTTGTCAAATGGGCAGCACAGATTTTACTAGCCATCTACTGGGGTAAGACCTATACCCAGGTTATAATAGATTATAACATGGTTCTGAGAAATGCGAGATTCGTGACATGACTCGAACAAAAAATTGCTTGTGTTAAGATATCAGCGATCAGGTGATTTTATCACTAGATCAATGTGTGAAACCCAAGAGTGGATGGATTATAACGGAAAACAGAAAATGCATCATTTTAGGAGTACCGCCAGTTTAGAGAACCTTCCAAGTAGATTAGTTAAGAAATAGATCGGAATTAGTTTTGAATAATGTATAGATACATACTGTAGTGATTTATATGATAATTTATACGTTATGACTATTGATAAATATACATAACTATACTAGATTTAGTTATAACTAATTTGGTCATGTTTTAAATATCAGTAAACAGGTTATGACTGTCGACAACTAGATTAGTTGGCTTTGAAGAGTTTGGATCTGTTGGGTTGATGTTTGGTAGACACAACTAGATTAACTGTTGGGATTAACAGTGAAATATCATGAGACAGGGCTACAGACCAACAACGGAACTAGGGGACCGTACATGGCAACCATCTTAAAATTACATTTTAAGCAGCAACATGGGGATCTAAGCCATCTATTAGGGTATCAACTGAGAACGATTGGTGAAGAAACTTCGGTAGCTGGTCAGATCGCCTGCATATCCCATCGCTCATGGGGATGACCATTTGCCATGTGGATTGGGATGAAGAGTATCTGAAACTGGGGAAGGTGGCCATCAGACAATGAGGAGACTGATTATTAAGCAGTGGATTTAGGAGTACTCCACTTTCAGAAGAACATAACATGTATTCATTAGGGCAATTGTGCCAAAATCAAGTTATTCATACATGCATTATTTTGGTTTGGTGAATTAAATTATTTTTAATTCAGACACAATGGATTGTTGTCTTTGCAAGTATGGGAGTCACTATATATGAGTTACTTCTGGGACATACTGGGACGATATTCCAATGGACTGTAATTAGGGGTTACAATGTGGCCACACTGGTTATGTTTGCTGGTTCATAACCCCATCTAGCGAACTAATATGCTACAATCCCACGAATTAATCGTTCGTTATATGAACCAATTAACCTAGTTCGAGCCTCATCAATATACCACAGTCATTTCATCACCACAAAGCCACCAATTTTCATCTAGTTGGTTTAACCAACTTAGCTCCCTGTGGGGCACCACCTTGTAGGAAATATAGTTGCATCTCATTTTGATGTTTGGGATCAAAAATCCCGGGCTGCAACCTAGTTGTGACTGTTACCTCGCATCCAGGGAAGATCTCTACAACTTTCTGCTGGGGATATTCCCATAATCGGGTGAGCTATTATTGTTACCCTCTGGTAAACATATGAAACACTATGGAAAATCACCATGTTTAATGGGTAAATCCACTATAAATGGTAATTTTCAATTGCTTTTTGTATGATTGCCAGAGGGTATTTGATATGGACTGCGTCAAAATGGGTCCTCTACCCCAATGTTTCTTGGTATTGTTGACCACATTCATGGGTCCAAAGTGAGTCATAGCCATGACTGCCAACTAGTCGCGAATCACTTACATCATTGCATCTAAATCCCACGATTTTCTCACCCCATTCAGAAGATATAATATACTACCCCCACTTATAGGATACGATCCATATCACCACCGTATATCATCCTGTTCCCAATGTTTGATATTTTTATCATCAAGATTCAAGATAAATTGATAAATATAAATAATATATACATTATATACATACAACTACATATATATAGTTTTCCCACACTGTAATTCCCAGTGCAAGTCTTCCAAGTCCCCTGAAAGTAGACCCTATATCAGACCGTATATAAATAGTTGAATCTGTGCAGAGTAAAGGGTTTCTTGAGTGCATATGTAAATGTGGGCCCAAGTGATACATTTTGCTGGGCGCACTCTCCACCCCCAACCCCAGAATCCCCATAATTTTGACATCATGAATAATATCATCATTAATCATCATTACCATGCCAAAAATCACATATACATATCGTCATCATTTGCTGTAATATATATGTGTATATATATTTATCAATATATATATATATATCATTATCACATACTGTGGATGGACGAAATCCTGCGCGAGTTGATTATTGTAAGTGTGAACAAAATGGCATAAACCATCTACCAACAGGTGCAGGATTTTAACCATCCACAGTTATTTCCCCTTATTCACCATGACATGAATATATATATATATATATATATATTTATCACTAGTTTAATCACAATTAACCACTATTAACCACGAACTAATCATGTATATCATCCTTTTTTGATCAATATTATCACCTATCCTAAATCCCATTTTGTTGCTAAACCATGAACCACCAACCACTGATCATCCCCTAAATTTCATCAGTTCCCCACTAAACCACTAACCACTATTAACCATTAACCACCTATACTCCACGATCAGCCAAATCCTCATGTGGAGGTTTCCTGAGTCATGGGGGGCACTTCTAGTTATCATCCATTTTTTCATCTATATAAAATATATCTGGATAAGGAGGTTTATATTTTATATACACCATCCATAAAAATCCATTTACAGATGGATTGTACAACTGAATCATCCATTTTGGAGATCCAATAACCATCAATGACCACTAACCATCTAACCCCTGAATCATGGGGGTACCCCATGTTTTTTTTCCATGAAATCAACCCATCCACCCCTCGCTGATTCCTGAAATCCACCAGGCGAATCAGGTTCCAGCGGTGTCGTGCGAATTTGTACCCTTCGGGATATGTCACTTGGTGTGAAAAACGGCCGTTGAACGCAGGTTTAACGCATGTTACAGAATTTTCTAGGGACAATTTGATGCGTTAATTGTGGTTTTAATGACGGTTTTATGTGTTAATGATGGTAAATTTATAGGAACACCTGAAAAGAACACATGGGTTTGGAAGTGTTGATGATGGTTTTAATGATGAAGTTATGATGGTTTCCGATGGTTACTGATGGTGATAGTGATAGCTAATGGTGGTTACAATGACGGGGAATGATGGTTATAATGATACCTGATTATGGTTGATGATGCAATGATGCTTAGCGCTGGTTGATTATCATGGAGGATGTTTAATGATGGTTACAATTATGGTTGATCCTGGCAAAATTAGACGGAACACCCATAAAAGATCATTTGATTATGATGTTAGTGATAGCTACCAATGATTACTGATGAAGATACAGTGGAATGCTAAAGTCGTGCCTAAAATTTGGAAATCATCGTAAATAGCTGGGGAGCACTTGATTTGAAAAGTCGTGCCTTTTTAGTAAAACGCATAGGAATTGCAATGTTTTGTTGGGTTTGGTCTTTGGAATAGTTTTTGTTAATAAATCTTGCGTTTAGGTTGTGTTTAGCATCAAGGATACCTTTTCCATATTGTTAATAAATCTTGCGTTTAGGTTGTGTTTAGCATCAAGAGTACCTTTTCCATATTGTTAATAAATCTTGCGTTTAGGTTGTGTTTAGCATCAAGAGTAACCTTTTCCATACCAAGTCAAACTGGATGTGAGTGTAGCGATGAGTTGGTGTTTCTATCTTTTTCTTTCCAGTGTGCTGCGGCAGCCATTTTCACTTTTTACTGCGTGCTCAACGCGGCATTGTGTCACTTCAGCGTGTTGCTTGAGATGGAGGTGAGAAGGGTCATTGTTGTGTCTTCGTGTCGGTTTTAGTTTCTTATGTGGTTCCGCAGGCGGGTGGGCAGAGAGCCTTTCTTGTTATTTTTTGACGTCGTTTGCTACGTCGTTCGGACGTCGTTCGGCACGTCGTGGTTTCAAAAATAGGAAACTTATAGGAAAGGTTGGTTGTTGTGAATCACGGATGGCAGAGCGAAGCCACTGATGGACCGAGAGCAGCAAAGCGAGAAGAGTCAGCAAAGCGAAAAAGTCAGCGGACCGAAGCGGCAAGTATTTCTCAACCCCAGAAACATGAACGGTAGAATGCAACTGTAGACGGATTTTTGCGGGCATTTGATTTTCCCAAGTGTGGAAACATTCTTCTTATACATACGCGATTCCATGGTGTTTTAAGATTTGGGTAATTATGACTTAGGCATGAGTTTCTTGAAACAGCGATTCCATGGTGATTTACTAGCAAGTTTTGACCCAGGCATGAGTTAGGCATGAGTTTGTCGTTTGACTGTATGCCAAAAAGTATACAACTACAACGATATATAACAGTGTTTTATCGATGTCAATTACTGTCGCGGATTCCCCAAAAAGGAAGGTGGCAGAGCATTGAAACTTCATCCAGTCACCCAGTCTTCCATCCCCTGATTTCTGCGACAGGTCCACTGATCCTCTGCCAAACCAGGCGAAACAGGGACCGGTGAGGAACGATTTGGTATCCCGAATTGGAGGGTGACGATTGGGTTTACCACCCTAAAATTATGGATAAATATACATCATACATATACATCATACATATATATATATATATATTATGTATATATTGTATATATATATATATATATAGTTATATATATATATATGACACATGTATTTTAGAATATAAAAATAGGAAAATATGTACCATTGTACCATGATATGTACCATGATGACAGTGTATGTTTTTTTTTTGCATATCGTTTCTGTGGGAACATGATTGGTCCCTGGGTTCCTGCAGGTTTGGTACATCTGGCAGTTAATTCATCAATGATTCAGACAGCCCATGAGAAGTGCATCCCAGCTATAGTAAATAGTTAATAAGCCCATGTATAGGGAGGATATTCCATATCAAAGTGGTACCCTCTGCTAAACTACCAGTTTTGCTATTGAAAATGGCTAGGCTATTTAGTTAGTTGATTTTCCCATTATATAAAAATGGTGATTTTCCATAGTTTTTTGTATGTTTACCAGAGGGTATTTGATATGTGCATATCCCAGTTGATGGTATGCAGATGCAAGTATGAACTACCCAGCGGAGCCGCACAGTGAGGTTTGGAAACGTGAAACCGCTCGGTTGACGATCAATATCAAACCAGCTGAACAAATACAACATACAACTCACAATTTCACCTCTAAGCATGTGTGCACATGAATATGTCAAGTTTTAATGAAGTGTGGCTTTCAACTACACTTCATTAGCACTTGATATACGTCACAAAATATCTATACATGCATGTGCACACTTCGTCCTATTCCAATCCACCATGTTGTTCCTTTATATATGTATGGGGGCACATGCGATCAACCACCACTTGACAAGTGAATATTACATGTGTTTTTTGTTGTTCACCATTTTTGCATGTGATATTCACTGTTGTTGAAACTGTTTTGAAGCACAGTCATGAATATCACATCGAATTATCGAATGACATATTTCCATGAATGGTTTGTTTGGAGTCCCAGGTCTATGAGACATCATAACGTGATAGGTTTTATTCCCGTAGACTGGTGGGTTTTAGCCAGTGAACTATTTGGGGATGACTATTTTTAAGGGATTTTGATTGGGTGTTAGACCCATAAACCACCACGTTGCTTGTTTTTAGAGTTAGTTCTTGGTGCAATGAATTGTCTAGTTTCCCTCTGGTGATTCAAAATCAATTTTTCATGGGCCATGAGAAAACCAGTTCGCAAACTGTTGGATTGCCGGAGGGTACAGCGAGTTGATTGGAAATCCCATGAAAACCCATCAGTTTTATCCCCCAGAAACCCTCGCAAATTCTAAAAAATACTTCAGCTGATATTCCCTACTTGGGAGTGCACTTACTGTAGTTCTGTTTATAACTGGATATATAACCATAATTATAAATTATAGACGCTAGATTTCAATTTATGAGGGTTATTACTGCAGTTGTATTTACCTCCAAAGTTGGGATAGTTATACAATATAGTGACAACACACCATTGGGACATATCACCTCTATAATTTGGATATGACCTCTATACTCATTTACAATACTGTGGTATTTCCTCTAGTTATCATATTATAGATAAATTATTGGTTATAAACCCTATTGCAGTGAACCAATTAACTGTCATCTTGCTGTAGTTCCCATTATATTACTATAGGTATTGTTCTATTACCATCTGTTAATCATATTGTGAACTCTTATATTACCACTATATAAACCGTTACATTAAAAACGGTTATGGTAACTGTTACATTAACTGCTATATAATTAATTGACAATGGATAATCATTAATTAGCAACTGTTACATTGATACATTAGCAATAATTATAACATTTTCATCCATGTGTTAATCACATTGATAATCATATTCTATAATGTTTATGACCTGTTAATCATATTAATATTAATCATTAAGATTTCCATCTGTTCTATTACCATTTGTTAATCATATCGACCTTCGCCGCTCAGCCAGGCTGCCACGAACTTGGCGGTGGAAGGTTTCAGCCTCTGTGGCAGCAACATCGCAATGTCTGAGGACGGTCCCGCGGTCCCGCGCGACAGGGGAAAGCTATAAGTCATGGGGCTACCCCAAGTGGTCCATTTAACCAGAGGGTATATGCTATATCCACTTTTGATTCTGATTTGTTCTGATTTGCCAGATATATCTGAATTATATTTGGGTGACTATGATCATTAAGTTAACCTCCAAGTGATCATTAAGTCATCGCCTCAGCAGTTATAGCAGTTACTATGAGGGATAATCCAAGCTGATCATCATTGGGATGATTTACCCTCCAGTAAATTAACATGGACCCTGGCAGATAGGAATTGGAAGATGAGTTTCCTGAAAAAAAAATGGTGATTTTCAGGGTCCAACTGTTTATTTACCAGAGGGTAAGTTATCCTCCAAGTTAGTGCTATTTCTTGCTTATGGGAAAAGCAATGCTTTGGGGTAGACACATGACTTAGGAAACCTCCAGATATCTGTAAAGAATCCTATATATATATAATTATATATGCAACTCATTTATAACCAGGGTATCTCTACTCTTGATGGCTAATCTTTTCTAGATCATTTTGGAATCTTTGGAATATCCAGCTGTATTTGGATCAGTTCAAGGTTTTTTCACATTTTTTGGTGCCAACCCAGCCTTCCTGGTTGAAATCCAATAACTCCATGCATTTGGATATTCCGCAAGATATTATCAGAAATTATCAGAAAAGATCTGGTTGGTGGTTTCATTTTTTTATTTTTCCATTTCATATGGGATAATCATTCCACCTGACGAACTCATATTTTTCAGAGGGGTAGGTCAACCACCAACCAGATCAGATGTTTCTTAGAGAAGTAAGGTACATGACCTTTGTCTTGCAGCGGTCTTCGTTCTGCCCCGGCGTTGGAGGGTTGGGGTTACCTGCAGGAAACACCAAAGAGCCCTACTTGAGGTTTGGTAAACATACGAAAAAACTATGGAAAATCATAATTATTTATGGGTAAAGTATAAATGGCCATTTTCAATAGCTAACTGTTAGTTTACCAGAGGCTATACGATTTACATTGATTTACAAAAGCCCACTTAAAACTGGAACTGCAGCCACAATTTGATCAGTAGCAGCTAAACGTTGGTTGATGATTGTTGCGGATGAAACTACCCCTTTATATATTGGGGATTATCCTCATGAAGTGGGATTCCCAACCAAACAGTACTTCATGGAATGACAGATTTGAACACTGCTCAGATAGATGTTGGACAGATGTTCTACGCTCATCCACCTCTCTGGCTATCTGACTATCTACGTCCTTTGGTTTCGATTTAGGATGTTCCATTGATGATGGTCCCAATTGATTTTCATCATATTTCCATAGGTCCTTTTGATTCAACCCCCAAATAGCGACCATTTTGATCCTGTCATCGGTGGCAAAACAAATCCAGATGTTTGCCTCTAGTGCTGTGTATGGTTTAAAGATATCCATACGGTGCCCCCATTTGTTGGGTAAACCTTGCGTCCCAGTACTGCGGAAATCACAATTCACATCTACCCTTTGGTAAACATACAAAAAACTATGGAACATCACAATTTTTGATGGGTAAATCAACGAACTAAATGGCCATGTTCAAGTTCACAAACTGTAAACGTTTACCAGGCCGGGTACCACGTAAAAATCAACACCAGTACTGTGCTTTGGAGCCGGAATTCATTCAACCCACCTTTTGGGCCATGGTGAGTCCTGCATTTTTCATGTTCCAAAAAATGGGTTCGGGGGTTTTCTGTTCAAATTTCCAAAATCCCAGGGTTTTAAAGCCTCCCTTTCCCAAGCAAATGGCCAGACAGGATCGCATGGTGGCCACCAGAAGCCGTGGAAGCAGGTTCAAAGGGCGATGCGAATTGGCTGTTTCTTTGATCATGGATCAAGTCACCAATGAATTTACCCGGCCTGGTAAACTTGCACAAAAAACTATGGAAAGATCCACCATTTTCAATGGGAAAATCCACTATTTCTATGGGTCATGTTCAATAGCTTTTTGTATGTTTATCAGAGGGTACCATATGTATGATTATCAGTGTATATAATAGTACACCCATGTGTATAATGGACGTATATATACATCTACATTTATGGATGTATACTATGACCGGGGGAAGAACGATATCCAGCTATACCAGCTATGACACACGGGTAGCGTTTGGGTACGAGAGTTTTTCACCCACGAATCATAACCATATGTTCGATGGTCAGAAGCTATAGCAGCTAGATGATATATCGATACTCAGGGATGGTCGTCAATCCATTACCCATAGGATCCATGCATGTATGCTATATATGGTAACATTTACCATCAATATACCCCACATGTTAGCATATATACTGTATATACCAGCACCATGGATCCTATGGGTTAAGAAGGATCTATGTGCCACTTGTAAGGAAACCCTAAACATGGTCAGATGACCATGGCCTACAAATCGCATGTACCATATTGTACCATGGCACATATTGTACCATTCCCCAAGAATCTTTGCGGCGTGGTGAATTGTGATCATCACCAGTGGCAAATCGCATATCAGTTACCTGATCTCCCCAAGTTTTTTGTATATATATATATATATATACTGTATATATCTGGGTAAATTATAACGACCTCACTGCGACCTCACTGGAATCATGGTTAGTAAGGGAAATCATCCCAAAATGGCCTTAATTCAGGTTAGTGAAATATTATAATTTTCCCATATATATATATGTGGATATACCATTTTGTTGGATCACCTCCAAATCCATCTGTTTTGCAGACTGCACACAAATTGAATATGTCGCTTTTCGGTGAATCTATCTCTCTCCTCGTGGTTTTTATGAAATCAACGGATTCATATGAATCAATATATCTCCAGTTGATGGACGATATGCTGCCTAACAGGATAGCCGGTTATAGTGGTTATATAGTGGCTATAATACCAATAATAGTGGTTATATATAGTGTTAATACCTCACTACAGTATTACAGTGCGATTTGCACTTCCACGTGCTATACCATCCATATTCATCAACTCTTACAGCTTGGATTCAAGGAACATCAAGGAACCAATTTGCAGGACCTCAAACCCCCGCTATGTTAATGGCCAGGCAATCGATGGTTCTCGGCAGCGCTCCTATCCAAAAGGTGGGACAATTCTCGGGGATTGGCTGAGTATTCTTCCCCGGTTGTGTTTGTTAACTTAACTCCATCTATCTATAGTATACTATAGTATACCAATATAGTATACTATAGTCACTATCAACCAATATAGTTACTATACCATACCAATATCCACATATATATATAGTATACTATAATCACAACCAAGATAAACCCGAGTTAATCTAGTTGCAGACCAACTCATTGTTCTGGCACATGGGCAATATCTTTCGAGACTAGCCAACAAAAAGAAGACACATATTTTAGCGACTTAAAATAGTATCGACCTAATTCATGGGGAAATTAACTTACAGTACCAAAATCAAAACTCTTGGTTTGGTCATTTAATCTGGTTCGGCCCTTCGATTCGGCGTTTTTGGGTTTGGCCCCTTTCTTTACCCTCTGGTAATTTGTTACATAGCCATGGAAGCCATGTTATATATATATATATATATAGATGGTTTACTTGTAAAAATGTGTTTTTCCATAGCAAACCGTTAAATTACCTGAGGGTATATCATGCTATCTCCTTATTTTCTTTTACATTCCCATTAAATCCATTGAACATCAGAAAAAAAACATCTCCAAACGGTGCCATCCCACGCAGATCTCGGCGGGCTGGTACTACGAGGTGCGGGTATGCGAGGTCGAAAGCCGTGGCATGAGCTATGGTAGCGTTGGCGGCCTGGGCATCGGAGTCACCAAGCAGAGCGCCTCGCAGAGCTCGGTTTTCTTTTCAGTGGGATTTGTTTTTGACTCTGATATGTTTTTGGATTTTTTGTGGAACTTTTCTGGAGTCTGGAGTTTTTGTTATTTGACTTCAGGATGTTTCTTATTAACGGGATTTATTTAGATAATTATTTGGGATTTTATGTGACTTTGGTTGGATTTGACTGGGATTTAAGATTTGAATGGAATGCTCATGGGATTTTAAGATACGGTCATGGGATTTAAGTTGGAATTTAATGTCATGTGCGCATCATTTCTAGGGTCTTATGGGCTTTCAACCAATTAAACATAGCAGGTTGTCATTGAGAAATGATGGTTGATTCTCTAGTTCTTAGTGGATCGTGCTACCTGGTTTACGGTGGTGGCAACCCATTATTAAGGGGATACCGGGATACCTATTAACCAACCAGTGCGGATATAGGACTTTGGGTTTATGATTGGGTATACCATGCACAATGTGGTAAACATACACAATGCTGTAAACAAGAAGCTAGAGTAACGACCATCAACGGGTATATGGTATGATGAGATTTAAATATAAGACAATTGTGTATGCGTATGTATGTAAATACGACATGTACGTGTGTATATATATATATATATATAGATATGATAACTTTTTTGATCACTGCATGGATCGGATCATAACACACAACCTATGCCAGCTTGCAGAAGTGGCGTAGGTTGTTAAGCCCAGATGGGTCTCTAAAACATTGGAAGGACAATAAAGATAATGAAAAATGACGATATATGATGATAGATGATTAAATATGATGAAATATGATGAAATATGATGATGATGATGATGATGATGGAGATCCCAACATTTTATTGTTCATTTTATTGACTGAGGATGGATCGAAGACCGGTCCTGCTAAAAGTTGGATACATGTAGCAGGGGATAGGCACCAAGGATCACAAAGGGGATTAATTGATGTGTTGTCCACTGAAGGGATAAGCATAATCTATACCAACAAAAACTCTGCCCACAAAAATGGAACCTTTTTTGGATGGGAAAAGTGGCCTAAGAGTCCAGTTGTGAAGTTTTCTGGTATAATGTGAAACCAGGTTTTGTCCTTTTTCCCCTTCTTATTTCCACCAAAGGCATTCAATTTAGCAGGACTACTTGTCCAAACCAGGCCCCGAAACCAGTTTACTGGATGAATTCTAGCCATAACATAGATTCTTATGGTTTTCTAGGCTCTAAATGACTTCACCACATAACCATACAGAATCCATGTATATTTTTTTAAAACATTTTTTAACGAAGGAAGCTGGAGATCAACCATTGACCATTGCTGTAGCCTTGCTGGCCAAGGTGCATCGCAAAGCATCCGAATTCCCGACAAGGCGTTCCCCCCGTTTTCGCCCCCTTGGGTCACCGTGGGTCACGGCACGGCACGATGCGTCCTGGGGCACGGTAGTGGCGGTAGTGGATAGCTTCGGAACATGGCCCGCTTGATAGGTGGTTTTTCACCTATGAAACACATGAAACACGGTGATTTTCCATAGCACACCGTAAAAAAAAACAGAGGGTTGAATCTGTTCTACTTGTTGCTTGTTTCGATGGGGGAATATACATATTGAGGTGTAGATTGGTTATGTGTGGCCTGTTTTTGGTACATGATCCAAGTCGCCATATGTCATTGACCCACCGAAATTGCCAGGAAGTTTGGGTTCCGGGAAGTGTAGTGTGTGTTCAGAGGCCAGCTTTCAGATTTGTGTTTCATCCGGGTAGAGGAAGTGGAAGATCTTAAGGGGCGACTGTTGGATTGGATATAGCTCGTGCATGCCATAAATGTGTAATCCTTTATGCTTACTGGCATAGCAAATTCTGAATCAAACTAAGATAAATTGAAATCTGAGTGATGGCTTGCAAGAGGTAGTCAGGTAGGATGCGAAGAGCTTTGCTACTTGGTAGTTTCAATGTTCTTATCAATTTTCTCAAATGTGCAAACATTACCCTGATTTCACATGATTTCACCGAAAACTATGAACAAATCAACATATTGGGATGAAATTAGCTACTATTTACTATACATTCATGTTAATCCATGAATATAGACGTCCATATCATTTATCCATATATCATTTTCAATACACACAATATTCTTACATAATCATATACATACATATATATATATACATAATTATACGTATTTGTGTATAACTATATATACATGTATAATTATGTGAATATATACAGAGTGCAATCCACCAGCAAAACCAGCAGTTATTTTTTGGGTTTACCCAGCCATTGGCTCGGCTGAAAAACATTGTGTCCCAGGAAGATGCATGGTAGTTTTAGAACCACGACTATGTGAATAGATGGATAGAGATGGATGGAGATAAACAATTTAATTTGTGTGAAACATGGATAATATATCTATATATATATATGAATAAATGTATAGATAAAGTATATAGATAGAATTATAGATAGGAGATAACAGCCACTCACCTTGAATCCAAACTCCCTAGAACTATCCCATTTCAAACCCTGTGTCGTCCTTGCAATCCGCCATGCAACGCGCCGTTGGATCAGAGGGCTGCTTCACCACTGCCACGGATGTGTCTGACAGCTGTCAAGAGACTCATGGTTCAAGTTATTATTGGACACTTATGTTGACCGTACCAAAACAAAATGGAAACAAACTGAACACAAACCTCTAAATAGGTGTTTGTCACTATAACCGCTTTAAAATTCACGTGATAGCAGTTCTGATGCTGCCTTCAGTTCTTCGCTTTGGCACAAGGATGATTTAGCACTGAGATGAGTCCATCTGAACACCAGAATACATTGGACCACCAGTGCTCCCTAAATCATTCCTTCCATATCCCTAGTCTCGGTTCAACAGGTCTTCTGATTGGTGGTTTGGAACATGAATTTTATTTTTCCCACTGACTAATATTTTTCAGAGGGGTTGAAACCACCAACCAGTTCTTGGTCCAAAAAAAAAATGAAAACCATGGCTTCAATTCGTGTTTTCCCCAGGAATCAGGCCAGTGAAACAAACATCTCCTCAACCTTCAAGTTTGACTACGCGCTCTACGAACCCAGTCTGGCAAGTAAAAAAACATGGCCCGGCCGCACTCATGATCCATGTCTGAAGAGCGTCCTGGCCGCATTGGTTGCTGCCTGGTATTGTTTTTTTTTGTTGGTTTAATTTCCATCATGTGTCCACTATATCCCCATAGAATGCCATCATTCTGTTACATTCCTACATATATATATCATTATATATATATCATTATATATATATCATTATATATATATATATATATATGATTACATAATATATATATATGTATGATTACATAATATAAATATATATATATGTATGATTACATAATATAATTACATATATATATGATTACTTTATATATATATATATTATATACATACACATGCATCCATCCCATGATATCCCATTCGAGAATCCCAGGAGATCTTGCAAAATCTGCACACATCACCATTTTTGCTGCTCGAACGCTCTATCTTCACTCCGCCAAAGATATCCCAATGATAAAAGATCTATGTGATATTATTAATTATGTGTTAATTCTATACATCAATATTAAAAGGTGGGATACACATCAAATATGAATGAATGCATATCATATCATATCAAATGTATGTGTATATATATACATATGTATATAGCCCATGATATCCCCATGATACCCCCATGTCTTCCCCCATCGTGTTGCCCTGACTGCCTCTCAGGGAGGAGTATCCCGAGTTCGTCCAGGGGAGGCACTCTGAGAACAGGCTCTCTGCGTTTCGCGTTTCCCGTTGGGAAAATTTGATCTACAAACGGTGGGGTTTCCACATCTATGTTAGTTTACCATTTGGTTATTTAACATAGCGATGGCAAATCACCATTTTTAATAGGTAAACCCAGGTAAACCATCTATAAATGGACCATTTTCCATGGCTATGTTAAATAACCAGAGAATATATGATGGTAACCAATAATTTTATTGGATGTGTTTATTGACTTGTACGTGATGCTTGTTTCATATCTAGAGTTGGTGGCTTGACCCTGTTTTTTTTACCTAGGTTTGGGTGATTTTGAAGCTAAATGGATAGGTAAAAATAAGACACTCGCGGTATAGGATAGGGATAGAGAACTGCGTCCCAAAAACGCTGTGTGGTTTATTCTGCTCAGTTTTCGGGATGTAACATTAGACCAGTGATGGCACCTGCATTTCCATTTCCTCTTTAGGGTAGTAGTGAAGATGATTTGGAATGGTGGGGAAACAGTGATGAAATCCTTCGCATATGACATCAGTTGATATTTCGGAAACATTGCGTCAAATCGTGTTGTTTGTAATGCTGATGTCCAACTCTGATGCCATAGAACTTGGACGAATTTCATGGTACGCATATGGTACACACTATCCGTGTACGGTCAACAACTGAGATACATATTATATCCAGCATATGTAGATCATTTCCAAGGTCGACCTTGGCGGATATGTTGATAAGTACCCATACAAATTCTATAACCCCATCTACAACGTAGTAAAATCACAATATGATGTTTGCTGATTTACTTTCATGTGATGTACCTTCTAAACAAAAATAACCGATTGCTTGCTGCGCATCACTATTTGTAGGCAAAACATGGAACGATACCCCTAAAATCTCATGGAACATTTCATGATTTCATCATGAAATTTGCAATGATATTCATGATAACTAGCCTATTTCTTTGGCCAAAGCTAAATCCAAAAAAATGTATTCCTTTGTTAAATCCACATGTTTGGATTGTAAAATACCCGCATTTTGGCTGGTTAAAATCGACATTCAAAGATGATGTTCCCATGGAAATCACCCTTGATGATTTTCCGAAGATGAACATCTACAGTTCTATAGATGGGGAAGTCCCCACTACGATCCCTTTTTATAGATGATAAAATCCTGTTCAACTGCCAATAGATCTACCCTCTGGTGGTAATGACTAACATAGCGAACTGGAAAGATCCACCATGCTTTCAATGGGTAAATCCACTATTTCTATGGCCATTTTCAATAGCTATGTTAGTCATTACCAGAGGGTATATCTTGCACACGTTGGGCCATGATTTTATGGATCAATCCATGGGCTGTTTGAATATCTCCGTCAGGAAGGCCCTGACGGTGAAGGATGGCATCTCTAGCAGCGCGGTGGAGCCTCCGCGGTGCATTTGGAGATGGCTTTGTTGGAAGAGCTACCCCAACATCCAGAACATCCAGAGGTTCAGTTCGTATCATTTTTTCCCTATTTTGAAAAATGGCTATTTAATACTAGGTATCCCTCAGACTATCAGACTATCAGACTCATATTGATACAAACTATAATATCTATAATCTTTGGACATTTTCATAGGAAGAGTTCCTAATCGGCGATTTTTCTTGGCCGGATGTTTGCTGGCTGGCTGAGTTTCATTTTGAAATCACGACCATCCAACCATCGACTTTGAGGCTTTTGAGGCTACTTTTGAGCCGCACCAGGGTGCCCAGTGATGAAGACTGCGAAAATCACCCCAGGTACCCTGCCCTCTACTCTAAAATGGCTGGTAGGCCTCAAAATTTAAGAACTGCAAGATTTGGCTATGGATCAATACCTATACATACCATTTTTAGGGGGATGAACATCCATTTACCAGCTATTTTGATGTTCACCAGGGGGATAGGGTTTTGACCCATCCCCATTTGGTAATCTTCTGAATTTATCAAATCCATTCAGATCCAGATTTTTGTTGAGATTCCTCATGATTCCTGAAGTAGACTTATTTTCATGCATTTGTTATATCAGTTTGTGTGAAAATAGGGTACCTTTCTATAAATCCACTATATCCACTAGTTCATTGTCATTGTACCTGCTAAATTGATCTAAATTGGCTGTAACTGAGAGTATAGCCCATGTTCAGACACATCCAAATCATATTAAACTTGGTGATACAGTGGATGGAAGAAATCCTGCACCAGCTAATAGAATCTAATAGGTGGTTTATCCCATTGTTCATAGGCTTTCATCCCAGCTGGTGCAGGATTTCTTCCATCCACAGTATCTCCATGTGTCCCCATGAATTCCCATGAAAAATCTCCAAGTTTCCCTAGTTGGCTGGTTGATCCTGTGGACACCTCATTGGCACAGCCGAGGATTTCCTACGGATGACTCAAGAGTACAGTTCCTCGGCAACGGGTCACCCTAGAGGTGACCAGCTTTTCGCAACACAGAGGGTTTCCATAGTCATGGACGTACCCCAATAGCTGGATGGTTTATAGCGGAAAAATGTGGAAAATCCCAATCTAAAATAGATGATTTGGGGATATCCCCATTTCAGGAAACCTCCAAATGCTGATTTGATTTCATGGGATTTAGCCAACCAACGGTTTCACTTGGTGACTTCTATGGCTCTATGGTGGTAAGTATATGGAATTCGTCAATGACCTTCATAAACCAACTTTTTTTCAGTGTGGGGCAGGGTCATGTGACAAACACGGGATCAATATCATGTGCTAAAACCAACAATAAACTTTTCAACTTTTCAGGATTAGAATCTCACCCATTTCTGGTGAAATTGGGAATAGTTCATGAACATGGCTTCATCATATTCATTATATTACATATACATCTATGTTCATGATGTTCATATTATACATCTATGTTCATGATGTTCATATTATACATCTATGTTCATGATGTTCATATTATACATCTATGTTCATATATAAAGTGCATTGTTTTTTCTTGCATTTGGATCACCCCTTGGCCCCTTGGCCCTGGCGTTTTTTTCCAAGACATCTTACGGGAATCCCACGAGGTCAAGATGAGGAGGCTCTGATCTGCGAAGTTTTGGCGTCCAATGCCCTTTTCAGGACCTCAGTGCTTGGATGGGTGGTGGTTTCGTTGAAGAAAGACATGTTTTTTTGATGGATAAAATGGCCGGTCTTTGCTTGACCAAAACGGATAGGTCAAGATGAAACATACTTTACTAACAGTTGTCAACATTTGGAAGAGGATCAACAAGCTTCGCCATGTGGAAACATGTTAGTAACTCCTGAAGTTGCTACACTTCTAATCTTGGACTGTTTCTTCAGATTGCTGATCGTATAGCTATCCTTGAATCATGGGGCATGAAAAGATAGTGAGCCGAACTTCACATTTTCCACCCATCACTAGCTGGGGTTGTTCTGAACTCATTGCCAAGGTATCCACCCCAATCGTTGGATACGCACCTGAACCTCCATTGGTGTAGGTTTCAATCTTGTTCGACCCATGTACTGGAAATGAAAGCCAAATAAAGCCAAATATATGATCAGATGATGTCATTTATTATATCAATTTATATCCACTCAACTATATTTAATTCACATGTTTGCTGATTTGTGGCCCTGTTTCAGAGCCTAAAATCACAAAAATAACTGGGGCCCCCAGGGCTGCTTTTTCTTTCCGAGCTTCAGGGTTCGTGGATCATAACTTTGGCGACTGCGCCGCACTGCTTTTTATCCCAAAAAACAGTTGGGTTATTTTTTTTGAGGCGTATTGAACCATGTATAGCAACCCCCTGAATTGAACCTGTTCTATCTTTTCTTGGGTGTTTTGGTGTTTCTATATTGTGTATATATGCATATATATATATATAACATATGATCTTTAAAAATATATACAATGTAACACCTAAGAAATATCATTGTAATATATGCTGCAGTTAATTAAATTCAGCATACAGATGTATGGTATGGGTATGGGATCTGGGCATGCATGCAGGCATTGCGATGCACTGCTACCTTATGCTGCAGCGCCGAAGGCTGGAGTTAGAAAGATTGGTAGGTGAAAAGAAAGTGCATTTCAACTGTAGAGATATGAATGCCGAATTCTAGTTTTTAAGCTGCGGTGAATTCGGTGATGGGGAACAGTGGGAGCACCAAAACAAAAGCCTTGGTCCATCCACAGGCGCCTCGCATCAATCTGAAACCCAAAGAGGCGTGGCTGTGCGTGGCTGTGAGGGGTCTGACGCTGGAGATCTTTGACTATAGGAAACCTTGGATGGATAGTTTAGCAGTTTAGTATAGTTTAATATGCTTTAAATATGTTTGCCATAAAATTCAAGGTTTGTTTAGATTGAGATTTACAGGATGTCTTTCTGATCTTCAGCCAGCGCAGGGGTGCTGTTGTTTGGGGTGGAGATTATGATACCTGAGGGTGTGTCCTGTCTGGAACTGGACCCCACAAACCCGTCATTTCATGATCTACCGATTGTCTCAGGAAATGGTAAGCTGTGCTGATGGCGGTAATTAGTCCATGTTATCTGGTAAAACATGGTAAAACCATATGTGTGATGTGTTCTGGTTCTTTTAGTTGTATCTCCACCTGTTTTTGTTTGCCCATGTTTATGTCAGTCAAATCTCTTGGTGACAGTCCCCATGGTATGGTGGGTTGGATGTCCAATTCCCCAACTTGTGAAAGTCGTGACCCCCCCCTTGTTGATTGGTGAGGGTTTTCTCAATGGATACATGTATGTATATATATACATGATATCCTCATCCCCCATGAGTTTCAAGTTGTATATGTACGATGATATATACCAGACAATTTATGTTAGTAACTACTGAAAGACACCAACATCATAGAATTGGATGATGGGAACATTTACAGGAAAGCCCGTCATATTTGATGGTAAAAACCACGGTTTCCTGTAGATTTTCCCTTAAACCAATCCAGTGAACATGTTTTTTTAGGAAAAGTCACATACCCTCTGGTAAATTAACATAGCTATTGAAAATGACCATTTAGGGTGGATTTACCCATTGAAAATGGTGATTTTCCATAGTTATGTTAGTTTACAAGAGGGTACAAAACCGGATGTCCAACAGAAGTGGAGATCCATCCTTTCACATGAGGTCTTGGAGCTCAAGAACAGGGGACCGGCATACATCATCGAAGCTGGGGACAGATGGGTTGATGGGTTGATGGATGGCGGATGGCTTGGTGACAAAACAACAAAAACATCGGGATTTCAAAGATCACTGGGGATGTCTTGATGTGTTCATGTTTATGTTCAAAACATGTAAAAATACAAGATTCACCCCAGATTTCTGGGATGCTGATCATTGACTTCACATATGTTTGATATGGGCTGAAACCACGTGGACCACATCACTCCAAGATACTCATCCAGGGAATCCGAGGTTGTTGGTAGTGCAGCTGATGGCCTGGCTGGAGACTCCATTGGATTGTAGTGAACAGGAAACATGTCTTTAAGGAAGATTCAATACATTAAGTGCCCTGCAGTAAACTAACATAGCTATGGAACATGGAACATTTATAGATGATTTACAATGATTTAACTATAAAAAACAGAGATTTTTCCATGGCTTTGTTAGTTTACCAGAGGGTAGCTCAAGATCCCCTGCAAAAAGATATCAGCTGACATATATTTTCTTGTCTGGCTAAAATATCAACCAGATAACCAGTTTCCTCGAATCACTTACTTACGAGGGAGCGCATTTGCAGTTTCTAGATCTTGAAATGAGACATCGTCATATCGTGGGGCAAGCTCTTGATCCATGATGGGAAACCATCTCAAAGTACCTTAAGTGGTTCATCTTGAATCATCTTGAATCATCTTGAATCGTCTTAAATCATCGTATAAATTTAATCATCTTATAAATCATTTTATAAAATCTTATACATAATCGTATATATAATATTTCATGTTATAAATCATCTTATAAATTATCTAAAACCATCTTATAAATCATCTTAAATCGTTGTTGATGGATGACACACCACTTTCCCACGCGCCTGAGGAAAGTGGGGTCGTTGAAGTAGGGAGGCTCAGCCAAAGATGGCAACCGTGGCCAGCAGTGTTCTTTTGATTGCCCGCGAATCAGGGCCGGAAAGCTCCTGAACTAAATGGGCATATAATGGCATCTATGTTTAATTATATACATATATATATATATATGTATGTATGTATAATTATATATAATTATATATACTTATAGATACTTATATATATAATTATATATTTAATTATATATAATTGTATATATATATATAGAATATATATATATGTATGTATGTATGTATGTTTGTATATTATGTATATATAGAGATGAGAGCATTATCTATAAATGGTGCATTTTCCAGCCATGGAGCTGATGACATTGAATACCTTCAGTTATGGCCCCTTACCAGCTATAAGTCAGTTACAATATGTTATAACCCCATTTCATTTACTGAATGATAACCCCGGGTATAATAATCTAAAACGGAATGAGATTCTTTTTGGATGGGTGTGTTTTAAGGAAACCTGGTGAGTGGTTGGAAAGTCATCGAAAAGTCCAAGAGACACCGATCAAGCACTCCCATCTCAACTGTATGGGATGCTGGCTCCTAGATCACAGTTCTGTTCTGGTAGATGATACTCGAGACTAGCTTCATCTGTCTACAACATGTTTTTCAGGGTGTGAGTGTCTACATATCAAGTTACGCTTTCAGAACGTACATGAACCAACCATGCTTCTTCGACAATCTTTTGGGAATCCCCAAGTTTTCCCCGGTATGACCTGGGTATTTTTCTTGGCCGTGGCTGAAGTCCTCCGAATGGAAACATGTGTCATATCTGCCAACAAAACACCAAGTTGTTGCACGGAATTTCTCAAAGTTGACCAGAGTAGTTATCATATTACCCTCTGGTAAACTAACATAACTATTGAAAATGGCCATAGAAATAGTGGATTTTCCAATGAATAGCATGGTGGATCTTTCCATAGTTATGTATGTTTACCAGAGGGTACTTATACTATATAACTATCAATAGATATAAATGGACTCATTATGAACATTATGAATGGTCTGATGCGTCTGTGTAATTGTAACTTTAATACACTTTTATTCAAATATACTATTGCTGTTTAAAAAATAACGGTTGTTATATTGATCCAATAATTATGGTTATATAATACAATAGTTAATGAACGGGATATCAATAGAACCATAGTCATTATCATCATTATCCCATTCGTAGGAGTAGTATGATGGTAGCAATAGTTGATGGCAACATGGATAATGTATTGTAATAGTTGATGAATAATGTGGTTATGATAGTTGATTAATAATATGACTACCATATTACTATGAATAACTTTTTTTTAGATAACCGTTCCAATATATTGCTACCATCATACTCCTGCACAGATTAGCATCATGGCCCGTTAGGTGCAAGTGGGTAACGGCCCTGTGGTCGTCTTCGGCGCCGGCCAGGCGAATCATCCAGAAACATGGAGTTTTTTTTTTTCCAGTTTTCAATGATGTTAGAGTCAGAATGATGTTTTGTATATCTATATATATATATTATTACAATGATGATTTGCTGTATATATATATATATGATATATAATCAAGGATATACCTATAGGTATAACAATGATGATTCATATTCAGATATCATTGAAGATAGCTGTGATTTCCAGTTTAGCATGATGTTGGAAATGATCTTAATTTGTCCAGAACAATCAGGATTTATTGAGCCTTCGTGCAGAGATAAGAATGGTTGATGGCTTCAATGTCATGATATATGAGGTCCCAAACATGATTGATTGTGTTTGCTAACTTCTTTATCAAGCCTTATGTTGAGGGCAATTGCAGATGTACTCAGGAATTCCACGAAATGTGCTGAACGACCAACCAGCAATGGAAGAGCATCCGACAACTTGGTTCACCAAGAAATCCCAGTGACCCACTTTACCTACTACTTCGGTAGGTAGAAAAGAGTATTTGACTTTCAAATTTGCATCCACTGGAAGGTACAGTAATAAGTAAGGCTATAAGTTTTGATAGCTCGAAAAAAAGTGAGCACAGATTCATCAAGTCAGAACTTGTTGTTGCAAGCTCATTTCAGGAACCCAACTTTGCGATGCATGTCGTCAGGGCAGGGCGACATGTGGCCAGGTGCTGAACACCGTGGGTTTTTTGGGCATTGCGGATGAGGTGACTCGGAACGACCATGGGCGGGGGACTAACGAAACGCTCCAACAAGTCGCTCTTTTTGGGGATATCCCAAGCTCGCTGGATGGTTTATTTCATGGAAAATCATGGAACATGCCAACAAGAAATGGATGAGAACTAGGGGTACCCCCATGGATTGGAAACCTCCAAATACAGCTGTTAAAATAGGTTATAATGCAGCCTATGAACCAGCTGAATTCTCTACTTATCCATACCTCATATGTTCTTGTCTGAACTGGGTACCTCGCACGTTACAGATGATAACGACAGGGGACAGTATACTCAGTAGTTTCCATACTGGAAGTGTTGAGTATGGAACTCCACACGAGAGGATGATCAGTCATAGACCTGTTGATAGTCCAATATGGTCATGAGATCTGCCAGGCAGAGCCCTTCAAGCCCTCAGGGCTGGAGGCGAATCAGTTGCCAGTGCTCAAGGTGGGCTGTTCCGGCCGCCCATGCCGGGTAGTAAGTCAGCTCATGGACTGATGACTCCATAGAAATAAGAACTATTGAAATAAACATCTGGTTGGTGGTTTGGAACATTTGGATTATTTTTCCATATATTGGGAATTTCATAATCCCAACTGACGAAGTCTTATTTGTCAGAGGGGTGGCTAAAAACCACCAACCAGACATTTATAAAGTGGCATTCGGGGCAGAACATGGGGTATACCATTAGCAATGCCATTGAAATAGCAATGGGGAACCATGATGATAAATCAAATCAACTTTTGGAGTAGTATAGCATTGCATGTTGTTCAATGGGGACAATTACTAGGTTTGATTTTTTTGAGCAGCCTATTTCAGACAAAGCCATCTAACTATAGATGTAGCCACCATGAATCCAAACATTAGCCTAGTTGGAAACTAAGTTTGATAACGTTTTGGGGGCCAACTTCAGTTGGATGGTTTCGCTATGTTTGATATGTTTTGTTTTTGTTTTTTTTCTGGGAATAGATCTAAGTCAATCTCACCACCAATGTGTTCTGCTGGCGTCCATGTTTTTCATGTTGATCTTCCAACTATGAGCAAAATTAGTTAATTAATGGTAGTGACTGGTAACAAACAAACTAACTACCTAACGAACGAACTAACTAACTAAAACTAACTATCTAACTAACTAACTAACTATCTAACTATCTATCTAACTAACTATCTATCTAACTAACTAACTATCTAACTAACTAACTAACTTACTTACTTACTTACTACTTAACTAACTAACAAACAAACAATCTAACTAACTACGTTTCGGTACTGACCATGACTAGTCGTTTCATTGGACAGTTCTCCAAACAGATGTCCGCCAGGGCGGCGCGGGGCGCACCACTGGTGGTGCCTATGAAATCTATCGGGGGCAGGCGTGCTCGGTTCGGATATCTATGTACTCAGAGGCTAGTCAATATGGGGGTTTCCATAAATGGGAATATCCCAATAGCTGGATGGTTTAGAACGGAAAATCGCAATCTAAAATGGATGAGAACTGGGGGTACCCCTATTTTAGGAAACCTCCATATGAATCCAGTTGTACTGCAATTCACTGCAAGAATGGACGCATTGAATCTGTGTATATTCTTTATCCTTTTGAAAACCAAACAACATTTTTATCCCAGTGGCTACTTTGAAACGCAGGGTGTTACTTTGATGATCTTGGATGTAGGACCCGCTTTCCAATTGGATGCCCTTTTTCAACATCTGGCGATATCCCGTAAATTGAGTGGGTTAAAAAATGTAACCCTCTGGTAAACTAATATAGCTATTGAAAATGGCAATTTATAGTGGATTTATCCATTAAAAAAATGTGATTTTCCATAGTTACGTTTGTTTACTAGAGGGTAAAATGATCCCAATATACATGGGTGGTACTTTCATGTTTGTTTTTCTCGAGAAGAGAAACCACCAACGGTGCAGTAAGATAGTTTTGATTCTTCTTGTCTTTGTTTCATTGGGGGGTGCCAGAATTCGGTGACATAGCATCATAGGTGAGTCAAAGTATGTCAAAGGTACAACACCTCAAGTGCTTTCGATGAATAAGCCATCGGAACGGTGCATCTTCTTTTTGTTTAACATAGTAACATAGTATAGTGGACTAGAGGTACCAGGCTTTGGACCATACTCTGATTTGTTTGATAAAATATTAATGATAAAACAATGGTTCCTAACTGATAGATATGTCCCAGTAACCTCCAATAGCCAGAAATCTACACTTGTTTTCCCGCGCATGTCGCGAATTCAGAGGACCCATCAATGGATGTGCTCTAAGATGAGCTCCGCTGTGCACACTGCCAACACTTCAGAGACATCCAAGTCATTATCATATGCCATTTTGTTTCGAGCAGAGAAAGCCTCATATTTTGAGCCTTGTTTGGTTTTCTGGTTTTAAGTTCCTGTAGACATACAAAAAGATGTGGTTGTCGCATGCTTTTCCACCATAGCCCATGACGGATCCATGGTGCTGGTATATGTGATAAAAAAGATGGGGTATGTTGATGGGATCCATGGCACACCATTTTTTTAGCAGCACCATGGATCCGTCATGGGAGATACCCTCTGGTAAATTAACATAGACCCTGAAAATCACCAGTTTTTAGTGGAAACTAATCTTCCAACCCCTATCTGCCAGGGTCTATGTTTATTTACTGGAGGGTAATGTAGATCATGTTCCCAACGGGCTAAAACCCCCTGGGGTTGTTATTGTTAAGCTACCTAAAAGGCACCATCCTCGCTCTTTGCTGAGCGCCGTGGGGATGCTGAGATTCGCGACGGATTCGCGACGTTGTGTTGATTGGTTGAGGATAGCCGGATAGCCTATATGAAATATATCACTACAATCACTGTCCTAAGTCCTAAGGTTAATATTTAGGATAAAAATTAGGATTAATATTGGTTTACGTCATATTTACTAATTAAATTGGGATGTGTTTTAGCCTTAGGTTAAGTTCACAACAACTGTTGGTTTCTTTTTTATTGAGGAGTATAGCAATCTTCCAACCCGCAATGTGGTCGGGTCCATGTTGGCTAGGGGAACAGTACATGACGGGTATTGTTTGAAACAGACAGCTTGTGGGCGGCCAGACCACAAGCTTTATCGAACAACTAGGTCAAACATGTCTTGGACTGCGTGACGTTTAGGATGGAATAACATGGAATAACCCTCGTTGAGTACCGAATTCTATCATTTTTGGGGGTTGGCTCGTATATCAGCATAATTTCAGCTAAAGGCCTTAAAGGCCTAAGACTTCCTGGGTTGTGTGGTTAGCTTGGACAGGATTCTGTTTGAATCTTGGTGGGCTCCCATTCCGGCTTGGGCTGCACATCGAAATATCACAGGTTTCAAGTTTCAACACATGTTTCAACATGTCTCAACTGCTTGGTGATTTGACAATCAAGATTAATACTTCAGAACTGGTTACCAAATTTGGAGGCTCGAGGCAAGCTTTCTGAATACTTGAACTTTGGACCGATGCGTGGAACCTGGGCTCATGACGCGAGCTTTGTTGGTTGACATGCAACTGAATCATGACATGGCCGTTCTCGTTGAAGAAAATCACGAGTTTACCAACAGAGGGCGATGTGCAAAGTAAGTTATCGACATGGACCAAGAAATCTCAGAAATGCATTGGCAGACTAGGAAGAACATGGAAGAACTTGTGTCAAAGGTCCAATGCACTGACCATTTCTCCAGAATCTGGCTATCCAACGCCGCGTTTCTCCGGGGCCTTCCAAGTTCTTAGCGATGGACAGCCTTGGAACATCAATGAATCTCACTCATGAAACATCGCAACATTCCCCTCTGGTAATTTAACATAGCTATTGAAAATGGCCATTTATAGTTACATTTACCCATCAAACATGGTGATTTTCCATAGTTATGTGTATGTTTACCAGAGGGTCACTCATATTAAATCCCAGGGTTCTGGAGATGTGGCGTTATCCCAATTGGGTTTAGGGTGAATCACAGCTACCAACTTCGCACGCCATGGCGCCATCTCAGGAGAGCCACGGATGTCGTAACTTTCGCCTTCCATCACCCTGATAGCCTGCTGCAGGTTTTAAGTCCCAAATTCTGACAAATCTTCAATCTCAAATCTCCATGGGAATGACAAAAAAAGACTCAAAGACTCTTAAAATGACAAGAACTGTAGTGCCATTAAAATATATTAGAATCATTATTCAGCGATAATTATGCACACTCTATTCAGTGCCATGTTCCCTCAAAATTACTCGCAACTGTCTTTTGCAGGACCCGGTCTTGCTGGTGCGTGATAGCTTCAAGCGCTACTTGGAGGCGGCTGCTTTGACCTCAGTGGTGAACATATGGATAGGTTGACCTCTTCGTCGCTGTCTTCGGGCGCCAGGATAACTCAAAAGACAATACGCTTTGCTCTTTTGGACGGGGGGGCTGATTTACCCTCTGGTAATTTAACATAGCTATTGAAAATACCTCATGTATAATTGATTTACCTATTCAAAATGGTGATTTTCTATAGCTATGTTAGTTTACCAGAGGGTAATACACCACTGGCTGTAGGTATCGCTTCACACTTCCCACTTTATGGCTGGGTTCCCCATGGTTTCTGAATGTTCCCATCAATCCATTGAGCATAGATGAAACGGTACCATTTTGCCTGGCGAAGTGTCCATTTCAAATGCTTACCCGGCCTGGTAAACTAACAGTTTGCGAACTGGAAAGATCCAGCATTTTTCATGGGTAAATCAACTATTTCGACTGGGCCAGCTATTCAAAAGCTTTTTGTATATGTTGACCAGGCCGGGTATTCATATGCTGAAAACTCATCTCGAAAATCCACACGTTTCCAGTGGGTACCCTCTGGTAAACTAACATAACTATGGAAAATCACAATGTTTAATGGGAAATGTCACTATAAATCACCATTTTCAATAGCTATGTTAAATTACCAATGGGTAAATCTATCCTTTTCCCTATCTCGCGATCCGAAACCGGAGGCTGCCTTGTTGCACCTCTCCGATTTACAGAGGCTGGATGAACGGTGGATGGTTGCGATTCATCCTGCACCAGAAATCCAAACGCTTAAGGGAACTATATGAAAAAGCGTTAAACATGGGATTACCCTCTGGTAATTTGTTACATAACTATGGAAAAGCACCATTTAGTTCGTGAATTTTCCCATGAACAATGGTGGATCTTTCCATAGTTATGTTAGTTGTTTACCAGAGGGTATCATGGGATGTTTACCATGGCCCCCAACTGGTGATGATTTCGCGGATACCCATCCGAGTGACCGGATGGATTGAAACCTGGCCCTTCCGAGTTTCCATGGCCATTGGGCCACTTTTCGGTGGCGGAAGATGCAGAGCTGGACCAATTGTGCGATGAAACGTTGAGTACCTTGATACTCGTATCTAAGATGTTACAAGTTACTATATAGACTATATTGATTGTATGGTCCTAAATTACGTCCATTCGATGTGAAGATTATATAGATATAGATAGAATGATTACCGATATACCCGTATCTCTGAGAATAAGAAGTAAAGGGCACATCTAATCTACAGACAGCGGCAACAACAGGGGACATGTCCAACTTACAACCATTCGGCGGTGACCCTTGTGTTGCATGTCTAAGATTTACGTGGGAACTGCCAAAGCAGTTGTCTCCCATAAAACGCTTTCATTCAAAATAGTCAAGCCATTTTCCAGTCAGTGTTGATGTTCAAGGATATGTTTTGCTCATTCATCAGTCTGGGTAAGATACAACGAAGAAAAAATGCGACGTCCCTGGAATGATGGCTTGTTGGGATAACTATCCCTATATTATGGCTTTAATTCATAGTTAAATAAGTGAAATATGTCACTTTATCCAGAATCAACTATGAATAGTGTTAAATTGAACTATTTATCATAGTCAATCAATCATAAGCACTATGTCGGACACTTATCATAGCACTATTTCAATAATCCTATAGTGCTTATGAGAGTTAATAGTGTCCTATAAATTCATAAGCACTATGTCGGACTAGCTATTTATCAGTCAGTCAATCCAACTGACTCCGTCTGACTTGGAGCCAAGGCAATTCCGAAGTTGTTTTTTCTGTGGATTTCAAAGCATCAGATGATTAGCCACTGGTGAACATACACAAAACTATGGAAAATAACCATTTTTAATGGGAAAATCCACTATTTCTATGGCCATTTTCAATAGCTATGTTAAATTACCAGATGATTACCCACTTTTCCCATTACCCTCTGGTGAACATACAAAAAGCTATTGAAAATGGCCATAGAAATAGTGAGTTTTCCCATTGATAGCATGGTGATTTTCTATTGCTATGTTAGTTCACCAAAGGGTAATGTCAACCCTGGATTAATAAACCCCTAGATTGTTTAATTGGGAGGGTACCATTTGAGTATCATATTATGACTATTTGGGGAGTACCCCCCAATTAATAAACCACGGTTTATTAATCCAGGGTTGACATTACTAACCTTACAGTGCAATGGATGATTTGAAATACTTATTGCTGACCTATCATTGACTAAGTATCAGGTATTCCCACTACTAACCTTTCAATTCCCACTTTTCCCATATTAATTTGGTTATACCATGACTCTTGCCGCTGATTCAATACATGGGAAATGGGTTCGGATACCCACAGAAGGTGGCACCTGGGGGTGGTGGATCTTTGTTGGGAAAGTGACTCACCTATCTAACTCTAGTAATAACCCAACTTCTGAACGAAGGGGGAACCCAGTCATAAGTTGATATTATATATATATATATACTGTATATACATATAAAGCCAATGACTATAGATATACCAATAATATACTCAATCATCAGTTGATATGTATAGCCAGGTTGATAATGTCAAGAACTATATATCTAATACATATATATATATATATCAGTAATCCCTTGTAATATTGGCTTTTTTCAACCACCACTTCTCGATGGCCAGTTACCTCCGTGGCACCTCCCCGTCTGTGCAGCCGACGCAGGCGTTGGCCAAGTGAAAGCACCTCCCAACGCTGGCAGGCACTCATTCTGGTTATTTTTGAGTAGCACCAGGTTTATTACCCTCTGGTAAACATACAAAAACCTATGGAAAGATCCACCATGCTATCAATGGGTAAATCCACTATTTCGACTGGGCCATTTTCAACAGCTATGTTAAATTACCAGAGGGTATTCATATTGGGATGAACTATGATAAATAGTATCAGAACTGGGACTCAAATGGAGATAGTGTAGTCAATCAATCCAACTGAACTATTGAGTAGCATTCTGTTATTCAACTGGGATGAACTACCCAACTTGAATATAGATTATTGATCATGATTGATGATCATTGATGATCGTTGATGATTATTGATCATTGATGATTGATCATGATTGATGATCATTGATGATCGTTGATGATTATTGATCATTGATGATTATTGATGATCATTGATGATTATTGTCCAAAAGTCGGTGACAAGGGCTCCTAAATTGCTACTTCTCACCACCCATGAATTGGGTGGGTTATTTTGTTCTGTTGAAACGGTGTCTAAATGTAGTGGTTCTGGTGTCCCCCCCAAGAGATAGAACAATACAATCCTATATATATATATACATATAAATATATATATATATATATCTCTACATATTATATATTTTACATCAAACATATTATGATATGTGTCATATCTATGTCTCATTTGTATATATATATATATGTATCATATTTATCCCGGCGGAAGCGTTACCGGCGTGCGAAAATGATCAAAATTACTACGTCCTCACAGCGAGGAGCCAGTTTTTGCATTCAAAACCTATCAAAAGAAAAGGTCCGTCTACTGTGGGAATGACAACCCTTCCATCACTTCAGCCCCAAAAAGGGCAACCACAACTTTTTCTCACATTGAAGATCATAGAGCGTAGCATCAAGTTCATGGGGAAATGCCAATGAAGATCATAGAGCGTAGCATCAGGTTCATGTGGAAATGCCAGTGAAGATCATAGAGCGTAGCATCAAGTTCATGTGGAAATGCCAATGACGCTATTATCCCACCCCACCCCACCCCAACCCAGACTATCGGATGCAGATGTGTGGAATTGCAATTGAAGATCATAGAGCGTAGCATCAAGTTCATGTGGAATTGCACTTGAAGGTCATATAGAGCGTAGCACCAGGTTCATGTGGAAATGCCAATGACGTTTTTATCCCACCCCACCCCACCCCACCCCACCCCAGGCTACCGGATGTGGATTTGTGCGACGGTACCGAGTCCGTTGGCATATTTATGATATTTGTGATGTTTTTTGTTCAGTCTTAGATCATGTTGGCTCTCCCTGTTGGGCGAAGTGCCTTTGACTGGTTGATACATGTCTTTTTTCACCAATGTTTGGGAAGACGATCAACAAATCAATTTGATGGATATGTGTTGCCATGTTGCCGTTGGCAAGAAGACATATTAATTAGTCTGCTCTATGCTTGACTTTCAGTGATTCTGCGGATATATTATCAGCAACATTGATATATTATACCTGTAAATTCAATATGGCTAGATCTGACATGACAAAGCCTAAAGTTCTCACCACGAATCCAGGTTGTTGTTTTTTGTTTCGCAGACTTGTTGAAACTAGCATTCTCGGTAAGACGCCATGACCTGTAAAACTATGGATTCCTTTTTCCCTGGCAGAGCTTTTCTCTTGCTGTAAAAAAAGAATTGATCCAATGGGGATATCCCTGGAGCTATCATCAACATGGATATCTTCCAGGGAAAGCATTGGGGGTGCAACCCGTGGATTGCTGTACAGTTTCCCTTCAAATTGTTCCATTAATATCCATCATAGCCATCGATGTTTCTTAGTTTGAGGCAAAATGTGGTAACATACCAATTTATGGATATTTATGGTGTTCATCAACATGAAAAAACTTGTGTTTTTCTCCATGTTTGATTGGTCAAAATTATCCAAAAATGGTCGACCTCTAAAATTGATATGGTTTATATGTTCATATTCCAATTATTCCCATGATATTTCCATTCAATCACCATAATATGGTTGGTTGATCTCCCATATGTAACTTGACCGTGGCACATCTACCCTCTGGTTACTTAACATTGCCAAGGAAAATCACCATGTTTAAAGAAAGGTCATCTACAACTAGTGGAACAACTGCGAGTGAAAGATCACTGTTTTTATAGGCAAACACATCTGTAAATGGGCTATTTTCATCCATCTATACCATGGCAATGTTAAGCTACCGGAGGGTGTGAGTTTATGGGAAAGCCCATGGCTCCCCATATTTTCACAAGCACATGCTAGGGGGCGCAGTTGTGTATAACCGTATAACAATGATTATGAGACGCCAATAAGACGCCATAAGCTGGGATATAATCTCTATAATTGTGGTTATATATGCACTTATAACTGGAACTGCACTTCCAAGTATCGAAAAAGACACATTTTTTTTGTTGCACTGGCCGTCTCTGGAGGTAGAAGAGCTGACAAATTTGTGCAAAGAATGCGGCTTGGCCTCCGCCAAGGCACCCATGGGAGGTTTAGCTGAGATAGGATTACTAGCCAATATTACTGATTTAATGGAGCATCATGGGATATAATGGGATATGTGTATATATATATAATTAAATATATGATGATATAAACTGACCAACTATATTATATTTGGGTGTGTCTGAAAATGGAATAACCGGGTATGTGTCAAACTCAAATGTCCATGGTGATAGGGAAAACTATGTCTCAAACCATTGGATTTTGGCCACCTCATTTTCAGACAAACCCCTCAAACTTATACGACTACTTGAGTTAGTTCTAGATCATAAAATCAAGTTATAGTCTTTCAGAGATCCAAGAAATATTGGAAACAACCACAGGAAGGGGCCTCCTAGTTATAAGTTGGTTTATAACCTTGTCTAAATATAGTTGTAAGTATGATGCATCATTGTTATTATAGTATGTTATAGTTGTAAACCATCTTAGCTAACTACTATGATGCCCCTTCCTGCAGGTCTATTTGGATAGCGGATAGCAGTAGGACTCGAGGACGATTCTTCTGTTGGCACATCTTGACCAGCGCAAACCGATGTTTCGCTTGGACCGTTGTTGGTTATTATGTAATTGTCTCAGGTGTAAACGCAGCTGTTGCAACATCCAATCACAAGAAATCTCAATTTTCAAACGATCCAAACATAGATGCTGATGGTTGAGGCTGTACAATGAAATCATGAAATCTCCAGCCATGGTGAGCCAGCATTGCATTCAAAATTACCCACAAGTTTCAAGTTTCAACTTCCCAAAAAAATTGCCCTTGAAACCTCACGTTACCCAAACAGCTCTTCCGGATGATTTTTTTCACGAGCTCATTCCGACTTCACGGGAATGATGGTTAGTAGGCCCAGCTATCCCAAAATTAATAGATATCAAAATATTCTGTTATTTTTTGATATATATATAATTATAAGATATCGGTACCCAATACTGTAGGTAATATGTTTGTATCTTTAGTTATCTTGAATAGACTTTGATCTTTGGTGTATTTTTTATCCGTACCAACAATCCAAAATTGATGCTTGGAATATCATTTTTTTGGACTTCTCCAGAAATCCTAGCTATTACACCCTCAAAATTATGAAGACAAATTATTGAGGGAACAATCTGTTGGTCCTGAATACTGGCTATTCCTCAATGATTCCATGATTTGTTCAGAAAATTAGTAGCGGTCCTGGGCACTTAAACCTTTGGGTCGGATTGACAGGCGCTTTCTTGTAATCCTGTTGTCCCATGGTGCACCGTTTCATGGTGCAGATTGACTCGTATTGTCATGTCTTTTCTTTTCCTTCCCCTACTTCATGGATGTGGGGGATGGAAATTCTGAGCGGCAAATTGTGTAGTTGCTGAATGTTGGTACTGATTCTGGCAATAATTAATGATTTAGCCTGAAAGGGAACAGATCCGCGCTCCTCATGCCAGGCAGTAGTAGCCTGCGAACGAGTGCTGAAAAGCCGTTGGAACGCACAAGTGCAGCTGGAGGCAGGCTGTCGTGGACGAAGGGTGGCCTCTGCCTCTGTTAGAACTATAGTCAGATAGACTTATAAAACTAACTTGTCACTGGGGGACAGCACCTCGCACTGGGTTAGCTATCAAACATGGTCGTTAGACATGGTTTCATGATGTTTCATGAACAACAATGTGGTGATGTAATCATAATCTAGCAATGTGGGTACACTCACTGAATCTCACGCGGAACCCAATTGCCAAGTCCAACAGAAACAATATTCCGAACTGTTTTTTCTGGTTCCATGTTAAACTTAGCGTTTCTTTTTGCAGGCAAACATTATGGTCCACCAGTGGATTTTGGTTGACCAATTTTGGACAAGCCCAAACTTGAGCTGACCCGATCATGTTTGTCTAGTTCGTGGTTTCAAACATTTTTTATTTTCCATTTCACATATGGGATGTCATCCTTCACATTGACGAACTCATATTTTTCAAATGGTTAAAACCACCAACCAGTTTCGCTTTGCTCTTTTGGACGGGGGGGCTGATTTAATACACCACTGGTTGTAGGTATCGCTTCACGATTCCCACTTTATGGCTGGGTTCCCCATGGTTTCTGAATGTTCCCATCAATGTACATTCCAAGTTGCCAATTCGTCAACAACTCGTTGACTGCTCAACTGTTTGAAGAATTTTCGGGTGGGTTGCAAAGATCCCAGAAAACTGCGGGCGGTAGAAATCATAAACACAGAGATATTATTAAACACTATTAACACATTGATATAACTTGAATAATTTTTGATTGCATTAAATATTTAGAAATATGTAATGTTTGATATGTCATATACATAAATGAATGACAATAATCATATTAACACATTGACATAATTGAAATACATTAAATATGAATCAAATAATCCTGGGATTCGGCGCTCAATTGGTGGTCTCAGTTTCCAATGTGCGTCCCTACCTGGGATGATGAGTTACCTACTCTCCAAGAACACTATTTGGGGTGTGGTTGACATTCTAAAATATATTAAATATATATATATATATGTATATTGATATTATATATATATAAAGAGTCATATATTGTCATATATGGGGCAATGCTTACACTTAAAATTTGTTTCATATCTGTTGAAGCCATGGCCCATTTAGTTTCATATCTGATTATCCGCTCTTCAAACTGGTGATTTTCAATAGCTATGTTGAATAACCAGAGGGTATTTCAATTAAATTCATGATATCTCATTATATCCCATTATATCCCCCTAAATCACCTAGATAAATGATTTAACATGATACAAAATGTACACATCTACCTGTTAGACTCCGTCCAGGCAGAAGAACTTGCCAGAGGAGTTCCAATGCCCCTTGATCTCCGGCAGAGTTTGGAGGTCTAAGAACTAAAACCTGGAGGTGTGAATGGGATTTATATATCATGTATATGGCTTGATTTAATTGACAACAATAATGATTCGCTGGGATTTGATACCCAGTCATCAAACATGGCTTGCTGGACACTGCTACATTTTGCTATACACCTCCATTTAGTTTGTGGATTTCTCAGCCAGCAAATTCTGTAGATGATGACCGCAGGGGTAAGTCTGCATTTTTCTACAAGGCCTATGTTATTTTTTCGACCCCAAACTCCAACCCGTGAACTATACATACAATAATGTATAATATGTTCATTTTCCTCAAAATCCAGTACCTAATCAATCAATGTATATCATCGATTTCTCAGTTCAGTTGCCATATATTCAGTGTAAACCCTCCATGTTTGTACAACACCGCTTCACAAAATCTGGAACTTGCCGGTCAAAATCTCTGCTTGAGTTTGTTTGTTAATCTTCGATGTTGCGATTTTGCAGAGACTGCTCGTGGCTTCCTACAAAAGCCCACGAAGATCTACAAGCCGACAAACCACGTTTTGTATCTTGTTGTTGATAAACTCTGGAAGACTGATATAGTAACCCCCGAAGATCGATGGAAAGGTAAAGGAAAGCTGGAACTTTTGCGGCACGCATGATCTGTATGTACACCCTCTGGTTATGACTAACAGTTTGCCATGGTTAAGCCATGGCCCATAGAAATAGATGGTTTACCTAGCTATAAAATGAGGATTTTCCATGGCTATGTTCAATAACCAGGTGGTAGATATATATTATACATATATGATTTATGTAACATCCTGGAAAGAACTCTATCTTTCTTGGAATTCCTATACCATCAAAGAAGGATCAGTGTCTGAATCAGCCTCAATGTTGATGCTTGACTTCATCCTTCCTGAGGCCTGGCTTTGCGAAGCTCCAGCCACGAGTTCCGAGCAAAGGTGAGAAACGCGTGAAATCGTCACAGCAACTCGACGTGGTGGTGTGGTGAAAAAAGGGTACGGTTTTAGGTTACTTTCATGGGTATAAACCATGGAAAATCATGGGAATTTGCACACACCCATGTTTGTTCCCAAACTAACTGCGGTGAAATCTATCCACCTATAACTTGTAGCTGGTAACCTAAAGATACCATGCAGGTACGTAGAGGGTAAATGGGACGGGTCCTAGATCGACTCCTCCACTCGCAAGAAAATGCAGAACAACTCGAAAAAAAACAAATCCCAAATACTTGTGTTGATCCAAGTGAAAGTGTTCAGTCCAGGAATTCCATGTTCATCCAGTTTTATTTTTTTTTGGCTTTAGATATCTTTAGATGGCTTTAGATCATTTACCAAGTTTTTTATGGCTTTTTTCATTGGAATATCAAGCGCTCAACCAATGGTGAACTGTGACACCAGGATTGGATTCCAGGGATCCCCAGCCTCGTTGGTTTTTGGCATCGGAATCATGACCATCGGTTGAACAGCGATCTTGGCAATACCATATCCTCAACATGGTCATGATAAACAATAAATCAAACCAATAAACATGGTATTTATATTGGCAATAAACGTGGTGTTTAGAACATGGTTTATTGGTTTATATTATATTGGTTTATTGTCCTCAACATATCAAACCACCAATAATAATATGGTATTGGTCAATAATATTGGTCAAAAACCATCTATAAATATTTATTATCAATAATATTATCCTCAACATATCAAACCACAAAGAAACCACCAACAAACCACCATCTACACGATAATGAGGTTAATATGTTGAGGATAATATGATATCTACCAATGGTTAATAAACAGCAATATTGGTCAAAGACCATCTCAAGGCGACGTCACCTTTAACAACAATGGCCAGTAGCCATCATAAACCGACAAGGTCACGCCCCCTGGTGATGTTTATTGGTTTACAAACTCATCCCCTAAGATTATATCATAAACCCAAACTTGAAACCAACAAAATGTGCGTCAACTTAACTATCATAAATCAGCTATAAATCAGCTATAAATCAGCTATAAATCCCATGAAATCCCATATTGAAGCACCATGATCCATCATTTTCCTATGGTTTGTAGCAGCCTGGTCATATAACATCCCTCCCTTCACCGTCTCGTCACCGTCTCGTCCGAGGTCGCCTCACCAACGCTGGCGCGCGTTGAAAAAAGGCGCGAAACCTTTGGCGATCCAAGATGTGGCGGCCAGGACTGACCAGATGGCTGCGATGAACCCCTGGCAGGGTTGATTACAGTTATGGCCATAAAAACCAGTTATTTTTGTGATTATAAAATATTATAAATGGGATTATAGATTTTATAAATGGGGTTTTGTTAGTACTTATAACTGATAAATGGCCATAACTGTAGTTCGGGGGTTATACTCCTTTTTTTTTGGGGATTCGAAGAATCCAATAGGGAAATCCCTACAAACTAACCAGATGAACATGTTGGTGCTTTGGCTTATTGCAGGACATGATATGTAAACATAGTTAATCAATATTAATGATCAATAATAACTGTTGAGAATCACAATCATAGAAACAATGAGAATGATGGTAAGTATTATTCATGTACAATGAATATATACATATAGTATATCATACAGGATATAGGCGCTTGTCTCGCCAACTAAGACATTGAGACATGGGCTTAAACAACCATTCTTTTTCAGAACGTCCCCTCATGGGGGAGTGATTTTTGCTCTAAAAATGGTCAAAAATACTGGTATTTACAGTGTTTTGTGACCAAAGTAGGCTTAAAACCATTATTTTAGAGCAAAAAAATCGAGTTCACCTGGTGTTTTATCATCATTTTTAATGAAAATTCACTCCTCCACAGGGTGCCGCCCTCTTCTTTTTTGGGATCGCCGACACTTGCAAAATGAAGGAAGGAATTCAGCACGAAGCCGGTGGGAATTCGTCCCGCAAAACAGGGCTTTGCCCGAAGAATTGGACTGTTTACTGAAAGGTGGCGCCCCTAGATAGCTAATTTGGTTCATCATTAGGTTCACCATGGTTTATGATAGATATATTTATAGTTGATGGCACAGTTAATGGCTTTGATAAACCAACTTATAACTGGGGGGAGCATGCCTCGTTGAATAGAAAGGTTTTGTGTAGGAGCCAGACTGCACTGATGCCGCAGCCTTCTCCAGATGAGCAGGCGGGAACTGGTTTGAACAAAGCCTTGGTGGATGATTCAATTAAAGAAACTTCAGCTACTGACAATCGTTAACTTCCAGGAATAGTGAAATATTTTTTTCCTTACATGTACATGGTTTTCTCATGTTTGTTGTTTTTTATTTTTGCTGATGTGTGTGTGTTGTGGGTAGACGTTACGCTGGATTCAGGGATCACAATTCGCTACGACCGCAAGCGGGTGTTTTTTATCCTGAAATGCATCATTTGGGTGCGTCTGGAAAGGGAGGTTACCCCCCTAATCTAGTTATTTTCAGGTTGGGACATCTAAAAATGCTAAACCATGATAAACCATCCACTTTTTTTTTGTTACACTATTTTTTTTCAGACAAACCAGCTGTCAGTTGTTTGGAGTTTGAACATTGACCGTCACCCACATGATGGATTTGGGCTCTTTGGGGATCACCAATCCTTTGGATCCACATCACAAGGGCGTTAGGACACGGTTCTTCACCACGAAAAATGGCGTGTTCCATCATGTTCCATCCTTCCGTATATGTGCAAACAACAGCATGTGTGTACAGCATATACATTGATACAGTAATATGATCAATCAAATATTTAATTATATATATATATATACAACTATACAGGCCGCTTATATATATATACAATATACTGTATACATAGTAAAATCTAGAGCACAACAGAATCTAGTCGCTCTCAATATCAAGTCATTCCATCTTGTGAATATTTTTTTTCTGTCCAATGTAATCCCACACAATCATAAGCTAACCAACGAGCTACTGACACTCGTAGCTTTATCGAAATTTGTCCATATCTCAGATTTGAGCCCATGTATCTGAGAACTGGATGAAGGGTAGATAAAAAAGGACCCCTCTATTTTAACTGTCAAAAACAAGCTATTTGATATGTGTTCTGCTAAACCATCACACAACTTGGTGCGCAGTTATAAGTTGCTTTACAACCTCCAATATATTCCAGCCTATATACAAACCCCACTTCTTGTCATATCACAACGAATGAACCAACTTCTGATCCTTCGTACCCGCGCAGTACCGGGGCTCCCACCCCTGGCAGATGGAAAGACGACGCTTTCATGCTGCGGTGCGGCTGCAACGCGCCGTTCGTCGCTATGTCCAGCGCTTGCGGCTGCGGCAGCGGCAAGCAGCGGCGGAGGCGAGGCAAAAATGTTGGCGGCTTTGAAGGAAACACATGGGATGTTGACTAGGAAAACTGGGGATATCATTTTTAGTGTGGATCATGAGATATATAATGATATATAAGCAAATGTATGGACGTGTCATGATCACTATTAGTTACTGTATCACTATTTGGGAAGTCCTTCTGACTTCCCTTTTAGATGTGATTTCTGAATTTTCCCAATTCATGGGGCTGAATTCCCAATGGTTTTGCATGTGGGTTGCCGCCATGACAACCCTCTGGCCTGCACCCTCAGCACTGTTCTATAACACCAAAATATCGCCATTATATCCCATTACCCTCTGGTAAACATACAAAAAACTATAGAAAATTGCTATTTATAGTTTATGTTCCCATTGAAAATGGTGATTTTCCATAGTTATGTTAGTTTTCCAGAGGGTATATCCCATTAAATCATCATATTCCCTGTAGTTAATGGGGATATTCCCAGCGAAATACGGATGAAGATCAACCGCATCAGCAGGTTTTGGCTAGATGGTTGAGCCGCCGTCTGGTGCATCGCCTACAGCTGGGCCTCAAGCACTGGAGGCAGGGCGCTAGAGACCTTGCCTTACAATCAACGAAGCTTGAGCCATGGAAAATACCGATTGGTTCATATAGTGACTGATACTACCTAATTTATTGGGGATTATGATAAGCCATAATAGGGAAAATCCTATCAATCAAATGAGATGGGATTGGGGTATTTGAAATGGCTCACTTAGGGATTTCACCATATTTCAGCATGCGTTCTTATTTTTTCCTGGATTTTAATATCCGAGTTTGCTGGACACATTCTCCAGCATGTTTCTTGAAATCTGATTTTGAGTGGGTCAAAGGAGTAGTTGTACCCTCCGGTGTCGTCAAACGTGACTAGCTGGGAAAACCCCGCACTAAATGGACGTTTATAGCGAAATCATCGATCTAAATGAGGGATCCTCCGGCAAGCCACGTTCGATTACCGGACTGAGTGAAACTTATATGGCTGTTGTTCTCACGTTCTTATATTACCTGGGTAGATTGTAACTTCCAGAAGTTCATCATTCCATCTTCTAATCAATGAAACTTGGATTGAACAAGTGAAAATCGGGGGTTGGACTGATTGAAGCACAAAAGCCTGGATTTAACCAGCAAACATAGGGATTGAACGTGATTGAACCAACAAATATGACGGTCAATGGAATGGGCTTGCTACGAACATTTCACAGGAACCTTCGGCTTTTCCATTGAAATACAGGTGCGTTCCAGTTCTGAGAGTGATCCCCATGAACTTTCATATGTGTTGACGGGCATGAAGCTACCAGTCGTTTATTCTGGATGTTTCCAGTTGACATTTGACGATTCCTTCGATACCAGATGGGAGCCAAGGGAAACCCAGATTTGCATGTTATATTAGATATTATATAATATTATCTATATATTATACAATATATATATATAATACAATATATATATAATATAATATTATATAATATAATATAACATAATATAATATAATATAATAGAATATAGTATAATATAATATAATGTATGTTATAATTTAAAATATATTATAATATTATATATAATATAATATATCATATAATATATAATATAATATATAATATAATATAATATATAATATATAATATAATATAATATATAATATAATATATAATATAATATAATATATAATATAATATAATTTAATATATAATATAATATATAATATCATATAACCTAATATAATATAATATAATAAATAATATATTTTCATGTTTTATCATATAATCTAATATAATATAATATAATAGAATATAGTATAATATAATATTATGTATGTTATAATATAAAATATATTATAATATAATATATAATATAATATATCATATAATATATAATATAATATAATATATAATATAATATAATATAATATATAATATAATGTATGTTATAATATAAAATATATTATAATATAATATATAATATAATATATCATATAATATATAATATAATATATAATATATAATATAATATATAATATAATATAATATATAATATATAATATAATATAATATATAATATAATATATAATATAATATAATATATAATATAATATAATTTAATATATAATATAATATATAATATCATATAATCTAATATAATATAATATAATAAATAATATAATTTCATGTTTTATCATATAATCTAATATAATATAATATAATATAATATAACATATTATATTTCTTGGTTGTCAACTTGTTTGACTTAAGAACACACACCAGAATTGTGGCTTCACAGGAGACATTTCACAAACAATGGCCTTAGATTTGGTAGAATCTACTATGATTTGCCGATACAAACTTGTAATGGTACCCTCTGGTTATTTAGTATAGCCATGGGAAATGGCCCATTTATAGATGGTTTACCTATTAAAAATTGTGATTTTCCATGTCTATGGTAAATAACCAGATGGTAATCATTGCAATCTGCCAGTAAGAAATTTCCACAATTCTCTATAAATTCCATACGATAACACATACCTCAGCTTGTGGTTCACTGGTGATTTGCGTAAAAAATTGCAGACAGATGGTTGGAAGCCCTTTTTGGGATTGCAAACCACCGGCCCCTGAAAAAAGCCACTTCTTGCTGGCTGTATCCGTATCCCATCTATTGGCTAGTACGTATTTTTGTTGGTTATATCAGTTGTATCACTTATATCATCTTATATCCCATTAAATCTTGTCAACATATCCGCAAAAAGTGGATGGTTTCATTGATAATTGCATATTTGGGGACCCCTTTCACTGGCGGGAAACTCCCATAGTATCACCACTTATCATTGGGTTCAACCCCCATTTGCTATTCCCATTATGTACTTGGATGATCAGATTCTATCTTGATGAATGGGATATATAATCAGCACCTGTTGCTTATCCTTCTATATCCTTCTTATCTTCTTGCCCTTGATATACTATATATTAAACCTAAACATATATATATTATACAAATATATAATATATGAATACACACCCGATGGTGGTGTTTTTATGTTGACCAGCGTCTCTTCATCTTGAGGCTTCTTTTAATCCTGGTCCTCTCCATTACTCGTAAGAAATTCTTGAGGCTCTTCTTCCTGAGAGACTCTGGTGATATATATATATATAATATATGTATATATATACATGCACTCTTCTGTTTTATCAATTCATTCGACCTTCTTCGCCCATGCTTTTCAGCTATGATTTCAGGTCGGTGAGCTATTTTCAGTCTGCAAAAGGGTTTTCAGAAACAGGCCTTATGGCTATGAACAAGTGTAGTATCTGTACTACAAACTAAGACTGCAGTGAGTAACAACTACTTCTTGCTGCAGGCTTCTTTTAGCCCAAGAAAAACAGGTGCTCACGCTGCTCCGCAAGCAGGTTATGAGCCCAAACCGTGCCTCTCGTCGCTGAAACATGGCGCATCGACGAGGTAGAAGTGTTCCAGGACACCGAGAAGGGCGTCTTCACTTGAATGAAGGTGAGCCGGTGAACCCTTTTTGGTCCCAAGGAGTACAAGAGGCAGCAATGGTGGACAGGCTGAGACCAGCCAACCTACCGCCAGTCCGGGTAACTCCAGAAAGCCTACCTCCAGTACCAGCGGATGATTGGGATGGAGATGAAACACCAAGACCGGTGCAGGGGCTTCCTCGAGCGATGGGCAGCGGTGGGGGACTGCTGAGAAGTCAAGGCAGAATGCCAGCTGTGGCATTTGAGACACCTAGCAGCTGGGAGCCTCACACTCCAGGACCACAGGGCACTCAGGTGTTCAGGATGGAGGAAGAAGCTTCGAACTTCAATCTCTTTGACTTTGATGAGGACCTGGCGCAGCAATCCTCATGTGCAGGAATTCCTCAAGTAGATCTTCTTGGCCCTCTTGGTGGTGAAGGACATCGAGGGAAAGGTCAAGGGGGAAACGATCATGGAGAACGACAAGGTGATAGACTTCGTTCTCAAGGACCTCTACGGCAAGATCGAGACGGAAGGGAAAGGGAACCTCCTGGACAAAGGCAACGTTCTCTGGATCTTCTGGGTGATGTTCTAAGAGGTTCACATGGTGATGTCTCAGCTCTGCAACGTGGAAGGGCCCAAAGTCCAAAAGATCCACAACGTGGAGGAAGTCGTCATGGAAACGATCGAGACTCACGTGGACTTTCTGGAGACCGTCATCGGAACGATCAAAGTAGGTCTAGAGGTGAAGATCGTGCCAAAGATCATCTGCAAGGAAAAGAACTCCGTGCGGAACCCAAGAAAATCCAACCGAAAGACCAGACAGGTTCAACGTTGGAGCAAGATTTGAGTTCGTTGTTGGTGCAGCAGTTGATGCAAGAAAATGAGGAGCTTCGCAAAAGGTTGGATGCGATGGACAAGAACCAGCCTTCTTCTCATGGACAACAAGGTCAACATGCTCAACAAGATCAACAACGTGATGAATTAGATACTTCGAGTTGGGAATCGATTCCTTCAAGGGCGACTCCAACAACACCTACAAACCGCCAGACCGAAGATGTGGCCAAAGTCACTCCTGGTGGAACTCAACTTCCAGATGGACCACCGCCCATTGACAAGGTGGAGAAGGATCCTATGCCGCCGCCATTGCCTCCGGTGCCACCAATGTTTTTTGGGGGATATGAGGAGCACAATGAAGCGGGGGTGAACAAGTGGCTTGGACCTCAAGCAGTACGTGTTGGTGTTCAACAAGGTGATGGAGAGGTACATGGCTTCTGGAATAGCAGAAGAGGAGGAATCCAACAAGTACCTGATCCCGAAGCGGAAAGGGTTCAACGACTTGAGCAAGAACTCAGGGATCTTCGCGAAGCGTTGACTATGCGACGACTACCTGGTCAAGAACCTTTGGGTGCATATGGATCTCAACCATTTCAAAGAGTGGGACCTCCAAGTGCTGATCCGCCGGGAGCTCAATGGCATCTTCGTCAAGCTTGCAATGACGTCAACATGCGCGACTGGATCCAGGTGAACAGTGAGAATCCATATCTTCATCAACAAGATCCGTCTATGGCTGGAAACCAACTTGGATATCAAGGAGGCCAGTTTGGGAATCTTGGTCAAGGGGGAGGTCAACATCAAGGAGGTGGAATTGGTGACCCAAGAAGTTCCTTGGGTGGTGGAGTTCAAGATGATCGGCCTCGTGAGGAAGAGCTCAAGCCGGTGACCATCACTCTGCCGAAGCTCCCGGAATTGGGAGGGAAAAATCAAGGTCTTGAAGCAGGTGACTGGATGGCCCAAATCCGTCCACAAATTGCTGATGTCAGTCACCGTGCAATGTGGTGGTGGGATACTTTGGTGACCATGACCACTCAACGTTATCAACAATGGTTGGGAAGTGACCCCATCACTCGACTCAATGTGCAACCTCCTACAGTTGAGGAATTGCCAAAAGGGTTTACGAGGTTGGAGCAGAGGGTGACGTCTTTGCTCATGCAGGCCCTTCCAAAGACTCTGGCTGCTGAGATGATTGCAAATCGCCAGCTTGGGGCTGCTCAGATCATCTTCAAGGTGATGAAGGTCTACCAACCA